ATAGTATTTTGACTTTCATATCTATACTTGCAAATGCTGTTAGTCTGTACTTTTCTCCCACTGAATTGAATGTGTCTGATTCTAGTACAATAAGTTATACTGGTCTCACAAAATGAGCTTACCTATTCTTTGGAAGAGTTTGTATAAAATGTTGAAATAATACGGTCCTTGAAAGAGGAGTAAAACATCTGTAAATGGAAGCTATTCTCTTTGTCAAAAAACTCTAAACTATTATTTACTATTCAAACTATTAAGTCTATCTAGCTGGTAACCTCTTCTTGAGTCAATTTAAGAAAACTGCATTTTTCGAGACCATTGTCTAGATTAAGATGTTTCTGGTAGTCTCTTACTCTTGTTATCTTTACTATATGTATAGGTTAGAACTTGAGTCCTGCTTAATTCTTATTCAAATGATGTCAATTTGATCACGGAACAACTTTGGCACTGTGTTTTTTTTAAATTTTTTTAAATTTATTTTTTTATTGATTATGCCATTACAGTTGTTCTATTCCCCCCTTCATTCCCCTCCACCCTACCCCCCATCCCCACCATTACCCCCCCTTTAGTTTATGACCATGTGCCTCAAGTTCTTTAGATTCTATATTTCCCATACTATTCTTGCCCCCCATCAATTTTCTATCTACTGTCTATGCTACTTATTTTCTGTACCTTCTCTCCCCTTCTCCTCCTCCCCCTCCCCTATTGCTAACCCTCCTTGAGATCTTCATTTCTATGTTTCCACTCCTGATCTAGCTGTCCTTTTAGTTTGCTTTTGTTTTAGGTGTGGTTGTTAATAACTGTGAGTTTGCTGTCCTTTCACTGTTCATGTTTTTTTAACTTCTTTTTCTTAGATAAGTTCCTTTAACATTTCATATAATAAGGGCTTGGTGATGATGAACTCCTTGAATTTGATCTTATCTGAGAAGCACTTTATCTGTCTTTCCATTCTAAATGAAAGTTTTGCTGGATAGAGCAATCTTGGTTGTAGGTCTTTGGATTTCATGACTTGGAATAATTCTTTCCAGCCCCTTCTTGCCTGTAAGGTCTCTTTTGAGAAATCAGCTGACAGTCTGATAGGAACTCCTTTGTAGGTGACTGTCCCCTTAGCTCTTACTGCTTCTAGGATTCTCTCCTTCATTTTAATCTTGGCTAATATAATTATGATGTGCCTTGGTGTGTCCCTTCTTGGGTCCAACTTCTTTGGGACTCTCTGAGCTTCCTGGATTTCCTGGAAGTCTATTTCCTTTGCCAGATTGGGGAAATTCTCCTTATTATTTGTTCAAATAAGTTTTCCACTGGTGGCTGTTCCTTTACCTTTTCTGATACCCCTATAATTCAGATGTTGGAGCGTTTAAAGATGTCCTGGAGGATCCTAACACTCTCCTCATTTTTTTGAATTCTTGCTTCTTCACTCTTTTCTGTTTGGCCATTATTTGCTTTCTTCTGGTCCACTCCATTGATTTGAATCCCAGTTTTCTTTTCATCACTATTGGTTTCCTGTGCAATTCCATTCATTTCAATTAGTTTCACCTTCATATGTTTGTCTAATTTGTGGCTATAATCAACCAGTTCTGTGAGGATCCTGATCACCAGTGTTTTAAACTGTGCATCTGAGAGTTTTGCTATTTCTTCATCGCTTAGATTTATAGGTTCTGGGGCTTTGAGATCTTCTTGAGCCATTTTTGGTCTGTTCTCGCCCGTTAAGTATGAGTAGCGGAGCCGTGGACTCTCAGGTCGCTGGGTTGTGTCACTATATGTGGGTGCGTGGTCAGAGCGGGGAAATGGCAACCCCCTCTACTATTTCTTGCCGCTGGGTGAGGAGCAGAGCCTTAGGTGGTTCACCAGGGCGGGGCCACTCAGAGTCGCTGGGTTATGACACTGCATGTGGAGGCGGGGTCTGAGCAGGGAAATGGCAGTGCCCTCTGCTGCCCCTCACCAACCACAGTCAACCCGCAGCCCTGCTCCCTTGCTGTTTCCCCGCGGTCGCTCGCTGAGTCGCTTATTAGGTCCAACCCTGCACCTGGGTTCCACGCGCCCGAGTCCGTCTGACCGAGTTTTTCTGTGCAACCCCGCTCCAACAGCTGCCCCTCTTACAGGTCAGGCTGAAGAATTTGTTGTTATCAGACTTCCGAAAAGTTCAATTTTCTGTGTTCTGGCTGTGTTTTCTGTTGCTAATATTTAGTTGTCTCTAAACTTGGTTGTGAGAGAAAGCACGGCTTCTCCACCTATGCCTCCATCTTGGCGGAATGGCACTGTGTTTTCTAATTCACTCATGTCTTCCATTGCCTACATCTCCATGTTTCTACATTGCTTGTTCTATCATTCTTTTCCTAAGTTACACACTTAGCCTTTTTCCTTAATTTAAGCAAATAAAATCACGTCCCCAACGTGCTGTTTCTGCTTCACAATCCAATTTTCCAAATGTAGCACTTATAATTTAGATTCTAAGTATGTTTTCTTCTTTAATCTATGAAGATTTATTAAACTTGTAAGTATACAATTTTAAAAAGTTAACCTTTATTACTGACCTCTAACTTATTTCTGATTATCCCTTTAACATTAACTTTTTGAAATTTACTCTGCCTGGTAACGACCTGGTCATTTTTGCTAATATACAATGGTTAAGAAGAATATTCTCTAACGTTGAGTATTCTAAATATGTTCATTGAATCAATAGTTATTCAAATCAGTATTCACTCATTTTTAGTCTGCATGATTTATCAGTAATTGAGAGCTGTTGATTTAGCCCTGTAGTTCATACATTTTGAGATCATTTTATAAAGAATTTGCAAATTTATCCAGCAAAAAGGAAAAAGGGCTCATAGACATAGACAACAGGGTAGTGATTGTGGGCTTGGGGAGAGGAGTAGAAGGGGTTAAATGGTAATGGAAAAATGCAAAAAAAAATCCAAATATAAAATTGTTCTTTCTAATGAATTGATCCTTTTACCATTATTTAGTAGCTTTTTCCACCTTTAACACTTCATAAAGTCTAATATTGATTTAACATCACTGAAGTTACAAACATTTTCTTTTGCTACTTGCCTGATTTTTTTAATTCACCCTATAAAAATCAATATGGTGGTTAATTTAGTCTATTCATATTTACTTTAATTGACTTCTATTATGTTTCTAATTTTGCCCCTCCTCCCACTCAGTTTCTCCTCTTTTTCTGGACTGAGTTATTGACTTCCTATTTCATATTTTAAACTTCTTTTCCTCCAGAATGATTCATTCTGTATCTATTCTTTAGCAGTTACTCTTGAAATCTGACTATACACTTTAAACATATAAATAGTATCTTACCCACTTTCTGAATAATAAAAGCACCCCAGAATACTTTAATCACCCTCCTCTCATCTTATAAACTATTGTCCATTTTTCAATTATATCCTATTTTAAAAGTACACATAAACGTTGCATAAAATGTTTATTTGGTTTTATATTTGTTTACAACTTTACTTCTTATAAACACTTTACAATTGTTTTCCATGAATACTTGATTTACATGTTTCTCATTTTATTTGCTCACTAGTTCTTCCATTTCAGATCATCCTTTTGCAGTCTCTTAATGAAGGTCTGTTGATGGTAAAATCTGTTTTTCATCTGAGCATGCCTTTATTTCAGTCTTGCTTGGTATAAATTCTAAGTTGATAATTAGGTTTTCTCATAATTTTGAAAGCATCAAATTACCATCCTTTGGGTACACCGTTGCCAGTAAGAAGCCTACTCAGTATTTGCCTCACCTTCATTAATCTTTTTCCTCCTTTGATTACTTTAAAATCTTTGGTATCTTGCAATTACATGGCATTGGGTTTAAGTATGAATTTTATCTATATATGCTTGGGGTATATTGTGCTTCCTGAATTCATGTTTTTCCAACAAATGTGGAAAATTGTTATCCCTTCAAATATTATCACTCTTCCATCCTCTCTATTCTCTCTCCCTGATGCTTCTGGTTTTTATAATTTTCCCTCTATAACTCTTAGAATTTGTAACTTCTAGCTCATTTCTCCTTGCTGCAAACTGAGTCATTTCTTTAGCTTTAGCTTCCAGTTTATTCATTCTTTTCAGCTGAGTCTAATATGATGTTCAACATGTCTAAGGTTTTTTAAAATTTCAAGTAACATTTCTCTTTCTAGCAGTTCCATCTGTTTCATGTTGCATATCTGCCAGTGGTTCCATCCTTCATGTATATTGGTGATGAGACCTTAAAAAATTTAATCCACAGCTGGTTCTTTCTCATGCTAGCTACTTTCCTCTTGTGCCTGGCAATCTCTAGTCATGAAATAACATTGCTTATCTTACTCTGTGAGAGTCCTGGGCCTGTATCCTGCTTCTGCCAGGGGTCAGAGGGCACTACGAACTGAGGGCACCTCAACTGTCCTGGCTGGGGAAGCCTCTCTGAATCGGACTCATCTCCTGGTCTCTGGCCCGAGGTAACCCACACAAAGCAGTGCTGCACTTGGCCTCTGCTCCCAGCAACCACAGGCCACCTGTACACGCAATGCAGCGCACACGGTTCCCGACTCCAAATGCATTTGTTTTGTAGGGAAAGGAAAACAAAGGTATGGTTCTTGGAGATTTCCCCTACTTTCTCTGAGCCCATGAATGCATTTAAAGGTAAACTTTTATTTAGGATCTAGGTGTTTTACAAGACCTAGTCTGAAGTACTGCTGGAAGAAGAAGTCTTATTTAACATACTAAAACAACTATGATACACAAATGTGAGAAAGTGCATCATTTATGACACGCCTTACCGATTCAAACCTGGAAAGGCTTCCTACCTCTTGATCAGAGCTGGATCAGTACTTTGGAACTGAGTATACAGGTGCTACAGTACGAACTTGCCCTACAGGTTGTTACCCCACTTTGAGGAAATTACTCCTGTTGTTCTAACACTAAGATGCTCAGCCAACCCTGACTATTCACATTGTCAATGTCCTGATGAGCATGTGGTCCACATCAAGAGGTCTAAAATCTGTGAAAATAAAGGACTGTTTTGAACATTAAAAAAATAGGTATAATGACTTGTTACATGCAGCTTCCATCTAGATAAATAACTTTATTTTTGGAAGCCTGAGCAGATAGAAGCAGGGCTAAACAAGGCAGCTGGTGATTTCACATTATGTTAGAAACACACCTAAGAGGCATTTGGCAACAGATCTGGCTGCTACTCTTAAATGCAGATGGCTTGGTGGCATATTTATTATTCATAATTGCTGGACAGTGTTCTCCGGATGATCAGAAAGGTCTTTGTGCTTTATCCTGATTAATCACTGAAGTAATGAAAGGAGATACCAGCAGCGAGGATTCCCACTGCAAAAGCTGCAATCACACCTAAAAGTAAAGAAACACAAAACAAGTGGAAACGGAATGAGCAAAACAAAGGCTTAATGGCCATTAGCCTCTGACATATAGGTACTGACGGACCGAAACAACAACACAGCCACGCAAACACAAACACAAACGCAAATGCAAATGCAAATGCACACATGGGCATGTCCTAAAATCTGACAAAGTCTTAAAGGAAAATATAGCAATAAGCTGAAAAAGTCTGATTGCAAATGTCAGACTGGTAATCATGTATTTCCACATCGTAACAGAACCTCCAACCACAAACTCAGTGTCTTTGTCACACATGTGCACACTCACATACATGTAAGGGAAAAACTGACACGCACTGCAGAGGGTGCTATAAATTTATACTGACATTCAGCTGTCTCCTGCTACTGGGCCTAAACCAAACAAGACAGCTCCAATGTGTAGGGGCCCTCGGTCATTTCACTGCAAAGTCATTCGTGCAGCTACTGAAAACTGCAGAAGCCAGATTCCACCATTCTAAGAATTAATAACTCTATGTTGGTAATTCATTTTTACCCCGATTATTGTTGAGTTACAACAGAATGGACCAGAGTATCCCAAACACACACATGCACATACACACACGTACAAAGGATTCACCTCATTAACAGGTTTATCTGGTAAGTGACAAGAAAAACAACTAAAACTGGCTCTCAGTCAAAAATCCAAATACTTATAAAGCATGTCTCAAAATGGCATTCCACGAAACGATAGCTACATGTTCTTCGATCAGTGAGTTTGAAACTCTGAAAGTGACTGCCACATTATCTTGGAGCCTTTGAAACACTGAGGAGAAGTACAAATTTCCACACTGGAATTTGACTTTTTTTCATAGTATACACATCAAAATCTGCCATAGCAATCCTGGGAACACCAGTTTGGGAAACACTGTTCCTACTGTACTAATGAATTCCCAACACTCAACATGCTTTTCTTCTAAAAACACAAAAAATTAGTAGGAAGTGTCATTTTTGCAGGCACTGGGGCTAATGTATTACTTATAATGTTTCTGTCTCCGGGGCCTAGCGCTTTCCTCAACACTCAGTAAATACTGGCTTAATCTAGCACTTTTCAGTAAAATAAAATACAGTAATTTTAAAGTAACAAGGAAGCTCAAATGCAAAATACCATTTTCAAGTTATAAAAGAAATAAAATACCTATATTCTGATGAATTTTCACCACTATTGCAGTTTTAATTGGTTCTTTTGGTTGTTCATCATCCGTGTTGTCCGATGAAGCTTCGGTATTCATAGAGGAACTTATACAAGCTGCAAAAGGACAATAATGATTCTTGCTGTGGTTTTGGCAATTAACAATTTCAAGTAATTAGGTATTCATAATAAAGACAGGGTCAGCAACCTGCAGGCCTCGGGCCCGCCCTGGAGCCCATTGGGCAGACTTTCTGTGCTCCATGAAGGCTAAAATACTAACTAGTTGGCCCTATACAGAAATATTTTCTGAATCTTCATCTAACATGATATTTGAAATATACAAGCAAAATATGATCATAAATTTGGACTTAAAACGACTCAGTGCTAAGCAAGGGAAGCGCGTTATCTCATTTTACCGATGGAACATGACACCTGAGAAGTTAGTGCAGATATGAGGGTTGTGGGCAGCAGACTGCAGATTCAGGTCCGGGTTTTCTTTCTTCTTGATTATGCTGACGATTTCTGTAGGTCTGTGTGGCTGAATTTATTTAACACTGACTAAAAGTATTGGAACTGAACACATGCTTAGAGATCACAGGGACCACAGGGTTTCATTTCCCCCCAGTAGTGAGGAGCCTGACAAGAACCAGCCCCCACAACAGGTGAAAGGGGAAGGGGAAGGGGAATCACTCAGGTCGGAGAACAGGGGGAGGCCCCTTCTTCCTCTCTGAGGTGGCAACGGACTACTGCTCTCTAGAACTCTAGGGAACTGTGTGTGAAGGTGACTACTTCGTGTCGATCCCTTCAGAAGAGAGCCACAGTCAGAGACAGTAAACACTGCTGCTTAAATTCAAAGTAAAATGGCCTACTGTGTGGCCTGCAAATGTCCTTACGGACACGTGTGCACCCCAATGTACTAGCACACGCTCACATGGGTGACGCATTAACTTACTGAAATGGGAATCTGTGGTTCCTAAATCCTTATATCAGGTTACCAGTGAACAAAAACACTGACTAAAGCGTGAGTTACACCTATTTGCCAAAGACGTTTTTCACTTGAATGCTTGTATACAAAGAGCACAAAAATGGTTTTGTCATTGTATGTTATACATTTAATGTTGAATTGTTATATGTAAAGATCATGCTCTGGTAGGTCAAGTCCTCTGCACAAATAATTTATTCATTTTAAAAAAGACATTCTACTGCTCTGTTACTTCCATTTTTTAATCTGTCAAAATCCTGTGGTTTAATACAAATGCAAGATGATTTTACTGAAGCAGAGCATTTTTCAAGAATGAATTAGGCCTTGTCTTATCACGACAATTTATTTCTGTTTACTTTTGGTGGAAATTGTAGGATTTTAATTTTAATTTCACACATGACGTTATTTTTACCAAAACTTTAATATGTTATCTGAAAATCAAATGCAAATGACATCTGATGCAATAAGAAATTAACTATTTCTTGCAATAGATCTTAACTATTCCTTTAAACTGGTAATTTAACTTCCGACAAATCCCAAAATAATCAGTAAGAAAACAAGTTTCTCAAGCAATTCAAAGGGCCATCATGAGTACATGCTACGCTGTCAGTGTGTTTCATTTTATTCCAAGCGTTGATAGGTGGACAGGGCTATTTGGAAGTTTAAAATGATAGGTCAGGACTTGAACTCCGTTGGTTAGCTGTCTTCCTCATCTTCGAATCCTAAGTTAATGAGGTTTCACTATAGTCAGTGATCTAGCTATAAAAATACATCCTCAGTATTACTTTTTCTTTATAATTATATTATCAGTGTTTCATCAAACAGGAGAAATTAGTTTCAGTTCAGATATCAAGGCCGAAATGGCAAAATGAGTTTCATCAGATTTTAAAGGCGTGTCTCCAAAATTTTAGCTGATGCTGTGGATGTAGCACATCTGCACGGTTAATGTCTCCTAGGAGACGACTCATGCACCTAAGAAATTTTAAAGCCGTAGTTGTCCCTCACCTTGTGAGTCACTTTGACAAACAAATTGTTTTCATCCCTTAAGTCATTTAAAAGCGTGTTATTTTAAGATACCTGGCAAAATATGTATTTTAAACATAGCAACTACTTGGCAACTATATTACAGAAGTTATCAAATAATAATCAAGCAAATAATAACGCTGAATACTTAGAAAATAAAGCATATCCTTAAAAATTTAATGCTGACTATATAGTAATTCAATTTTTAAATTTAAATATTTGAACTCCAATTTTTCCGGTTTATTTAATACGAAAAGACTAATTTCACATATTTACAAAAGTCTATGTATACTATAAAATATCACTTTCGTGGTGTAATATTCATGTTTTTCATTACAATTCAGGAGTCATTACTTTAAAGCCAACAATGCTAGTCGATATCACACTGCATTCGTGTATCTTTTTCTGTTTCGAAAGTACCTTCCCTGACAATTTTACTGAACTCTCCCATCAACCGCAGGAGAATCTGGGGCTCAGAAGGAACCTGTTTAAGGTCATACAGCTGTAAGTGGCAGGCCTGGATGCAGCTAAAATACTGTCTTCGTAAAATTAAGCATCTACTATTTTTGAGTAAATTAATAAATGAACAAATGAGCTCATGAGCAAGTCAATCAGATTCTAAACTAATAGGATGTTTATGTAAAAGCAGTTAATTTTTCTATAAAAATGTCTGTTTTCACCTTATCCTATAATTTGGGAACATGTCACTTCATTATTAAAACTATAGTAATGACTAAATCATTTCTCCAAATTTAACAAATATTTGATAAAGCACAACTAACATAATTCTAGAAAAGTCACGTTCTTGGCCATAATACAACTGATGCCACTGTTCGCTCCCGAAAAGGCCTAGGATTACTTTTACTGTATTCATCCTTCAGAATGAACTCAGATGTCACGCTCTGAGGAGTGTCCTTGAATTCCTCATAAATATACCACCTGTGCTGAGTGTCCTGATAACTCTCTGTTCCTCTACTATGGAACCGGTCATCTTGTTTTGGAACAGCCCATTTCTCTGCATTTCCCACAATACCATGAGAGTCAGAACTATACACCTGATCCCTAATGCCTAATAGGCAATCAACAAATAGTAATCGATCACTCAGCAGAGATACATTAAGTTTCATAAACAGAATCCTAAAAGAATCATACCTATTTTACTGAAGTAACATCTTCAAGAACACATTATATGACACTAGAAAAATATATAATGTGGTCTAGAAACTATGAGTTGATATGGTGTGTACAGGGTGGGGGCAAAAGCAGATTCACAGTTGCTTGAATGGAAAATAATAAACAACACAAGAATAAACTCTGCGTTTCACATACTCTTGACCCCACCATGTAATGTATGTAAGTGCACACACCTAAACTTGCCAAAATGCTGTTTTGTTTCCTTTGTCCTTATAATATTAAACTCTTCCTACTCAGATAATGCATCTCTATAAACAAAACACTGCCAAAATAAACAAAAATAGACAGGAAATAATTTTAAAATACAGTGCAAAACATACAACAAAGTGCTAATGTTAAAAGCTTATAAAAGTAAAAAACTACAGAAAAGATAAATGGGTTAATATTTACGACATTTAAGATTTTAAAAATTTAGTCTAAAATACTTTATAACTACTAGTAAATGCTAATATTTAATAAGGCAATGGTAAAGCTTCATGAAGAAAAGCTGAGGAACAGGACATTTACTATATATAAATAATAAGAATCATTCATCAGGAAATAGCATTTAAATTTGATAATAGATGAGGAGTATATTATCTTAAGGCTAAAAACAAGTCTTTTAATTATTTGTAAAACTATTTCAAGGGATCTGAACAATCATTAAAACCATGCGACTTTTAATATACTTGGGATTATACTTTATATATTATAGTAGCATTATGTTACAATCAATTTATACAATACATGTGCTTTCTATTAAAATGAAATACAAAAGGAGAGGAGTAATAAAGCATTTACAAATGGAAAGAATTGACTAAAATTTAAAAATACTAATGTCGAAACTTTGCTATTATAGAATATAGGTTATTGCTGACCAAAAGTCAAAACATTTTTTTCTGATTAAATCATTAACTGAATCACTGGAGACCCTAAACTTCTGGCCATTAATCCTGACTACATTCTCGGTCACCATCAGGGACGCACCACGTGCCCTGCGTAGGTCATAACGCAAACGCACTCTCTCCTCCAGGTCAGACCGCGGTGTGGCGGGTAAAGAAATCTGCTCACTAGTTTGTATCTATCAACTGCCCTCAAGACAGCAGATGCTTCACAAATATTTGACAAATAGACATACTAAATGCTGTAAACCAGAACACATATTTCTGGGGCAATGCTTTAAATGTTCTTCACCCCTTAATAGGCTCTGAACTACTGAGCCACAGAGCTATGACTATCACGCTCTTTTAAAATCTTCCTCGTGTTCAGTGTAGTGCACTACACAAGCCTTAAAAACTTTGTGTGGCTAGGCACAAGCTTGTAACTTTTCCCACGTAAAACAAGTATCTCTCAGTCAGCTGGTAATGACATTTACGAATACCTATCGTGTTTTAGGCAGGGAGCTCAGGGAAATAAACATTGCAGGTGCTTGCTTTAAAAAATCTTATAGTCTTGTGAAAAATTATACTGACATAATCAAGGTGAAATTAAACCAGGATAAAGTAACATCATTTAAGTTTTAAAAAAATTTAAATATCAGAATTAAGAGGGCCAGGCTAAAATATGTATCTCAATCATAGACAGTAACAGTCTTCGAGTGTGTATTGGTAAGGTCCCACGGAAAGGTGGTAAAACAAAACAGAGAAAAACACAGATTCTAGAACCAAACTTAAGTTTAAGTTTAAGCTTTACCATTCACTAGCTTTGTAACCTGGCAAAGGTACCTGACCTTTCTGGGCCTCAAATCTCTCATTTTCAAATGCAGCTAATAATATCTACATCACAGGGCTGTTATAAGGAGTAAATGACTTTGTATTTGCAGTGTCTGGCACAAAGTAGCTTCTACACAGATAGCTAATATTGTTATTAGAGTATTAGGTTAAATTCAGGGTAACATACCTCAAGAATTGGCAGATCAGAGTATATTTAAAGAAGTAGTTTTCAATCTTTCTTAAGTCACCAACCCTTTGAAAACTATGTATCTCTTCCCCAGAAAAAACTATACAATTACTTTCCAGCGATTTGTGGATCTCCCTAAAACCGTCCATAACCCCAACGGTTCTGGACACCCCAGGTTAAAACTTCATAACCTAGAGGAGGGTAACCAGAGTGGTATGAAAAAAATGAGGTCTGGAAACTATAAGAAAGAGAACAGTTGAAGGGAGGTGGGAACACCTGGCTCTGAAACATTCGGAAGGTGACAGGTGCCCTGAAATTTAAAGCATGGTCCCCCAAGGGAAGTATTCGTGTTTTACTGCTCCAGATTCCTGAACAGAGTGTAAGTTGCAGGAAGGCAGACCGGCATTTAGAATAAGGAAGAATAGGCTGTACATGCCCATCTGCTAGGAATACAGATTTCAGTATGATTAAACCAGAGGATGGACTAGGTCAATGCTAATGATCACACACAAAATTCATTCAGATTATCAACACCAGGATGGGTCCAGAACTACTGGGAGGCATTAGTGGAAGAAGTAAACAAAACGAACAAAAATCCCTGCCCTCGTGATTCCAAGTTTGGTCTGCAGAGACGTCACAGTCGCTAACGTGGCAAAAGGTACTTTGAAAAGGAGTACTGGTGAAAACATTTTCACCAGTCTACTTTCAAAATCTTTACCGATTAGGCGATATGATGTAGCTCTTTAAAAATACTAGTTTTCAAAAAACTGAAACACAGCTGCTGCTTTTTTTCCCCTTTGAAACAAACTTACTATTCCACACCATGATTAATACCAACCTGGACCTATTAAAAAACCAGAGGGAGAAGAAAAACCCAACCAACCACCCAAGCTGGTGGTCTCCCACTAACCTGAGGCTTTACTGACAGATGGCTAATCCACCAAATACCTACCTGACTCACCATACTAACAAGAAAACTCTGAATCAAACACTGCTCTTGGGAGGGGTGGGAATTAGTTCAACAACAGAGAATAACTAAGGAATTAGAATTTAAAAAGGACTTAAAATTGCTACATTCAAATTTCATAAATATCCATATTCACAAGGAACCTAAAGACTTTCTACTATGATACCAGAAATTTCAAGACTGGTAAATGGCTACGTACCCAATATTCATTGCTATCTGCGAATACTTTTACCACGTATTTTTAAATGTTTCCGGAAGTCTGTCATACACGTACACATTTATTTAGAAAGATGTTTTCATAGCCTGCTCTCACTAGAAACAGAAACAAATCATGAAGCAAAGCAAAGCAAAATAAAACAAAACAAAAAACCAGCTTCCCAACACATAAGGTCAAAAGTGAAAATGATGGCTGGGGGAAGACAACGTGTCACGTAATTCAGATAGCATGGTCAATCTGTGCCCTTAAAAATAATACTGACCTACTTTCTGGAACTCTCCCCATTTCAGCTTAGCATCCAAATTTAATATAAAGGGAGTAGGAAAATAGTATGGACAAGATATGTCATTAAGTATTTTTAAAAGCTCTGTAAAGATGTTTAACCAAATGATTAATCAAAATAATGGGTTTTCAGAAAATTTCTTTTAAAAGAAATACCTTAAAACCATAATTTCCACCTACTTAAGGCTACCGTTGTTTTACACAGATCTACTTGCTAGGCTTAGAAACCGTGAAGTACAGTAAATGTTGGCACAATTTTCCAGGCAGACACTGACTGCGTTTATATACGGAGAGATTAGACACGTTTTTAAAACCATGCACGTATCCAACATAACCAGTTTTAAGGAACTCTAAAGACGTGTTATTTAACTAGATGTCTCATAGGTAATTTTAGCAGTAGTCCAATCGGGTTCTTAAATAACATCACATAATTACCTGTGTTTATTTCCTCTGCAATTTCCAGATCTTCTATTTGAATCCTATGATCTAACATCTCTATAAAATGGTCTCTGATTTCTTCAGCTGACTCATCGCCAAATTTATAATCACATAACATGACTGCGGATCCCGGAATGGGGGCAAAAACTCGGTGAGGGAGGATGTGAAACTCCTTTTCGGAATCTAAAAGGAGAAGAAACATCATCAATATTTAGATGGTCTGTCATGGACATCAGTGATATATATTTTATAAGTATATGAAAGCATCATACATATACTAATAGAAATAAAACCTAAAAGTCATTTTCACTTTCTAACTGGCCTGGCACAAGATTGTTCTTACTGAATCCTCCTGTACCTCAACACACCTGGTGTCCACGAGGAACCTAAATTATACTCCCATGAACTATGAACTCATCACTGCCTTCAATATGAGGATGTTGTTGATTACACAGTCCTGTATTATCTACTCTCCTATGAAAGAATACCCAGGAGAAAATTTTGTTCCTGGTCTCAGGAATTGCTATTATTGTTTTAACTTTATAAACAATTCTCCCCTCTTCATGCAAGTTCAGACCCAAATTAGTAGCCAATCTATATCAAGTGTCTAGAACATGATAGCATGCATTTTTGTATATGTGTGTATATACATATAGATACACAGTCAGCAACCTTATTGCCGACTTCATCTTATGAGATGCTAGTAGCCCCCTGTGTCAAACATATGTATTTTATATACTATATATTTTATATACTAACATCAATATATATTTTGTATAGTAACCTCACTACCAATTCCAACTTGCTTTCTTTTCATTTTCCCTTTGCCTCATTCTTATTACTAGTATTTATTATCCTGATCATTAATCTTGATTAAGTTCTTAGTTACTCTTAGGAACTTACTACATGCTCTCCATAATTAGTAAGGCATACACATCCTATCTTTCAAATCAGATTATAGGTTTCTTGAGCCCAGGAATCTGGTCATTGACTTGTATCTATCACGTTGCCTTGAACTGAGCAAACATTTAATGAATATCTAATACACAGACATACTAAATGCTGTACACTAGAATTAATATTCTGGGACATCAATCAGCACTACATATTGTCATAAACAGCGTTAAGTAATTTTTAGAAAAAACAATCTGGACCTAAATAAATAATGAGAACTATGTTTCCTTCTTCTTTGCATACTCAAAATAAAATGTATTTCCCCCAATTTTCTAACTAATCCCCCGAGATTTCTAACATCATCTCGGGTCCACACGAACACAGTTTTGTTTGGCTCAACACCAGGATTCCAATGAACTAGCAACAAAGATCAAGACTTTGTGCACAGAATGACCTCTTCCAGCAATGCATGTGATTTAAAAAGCTATCAATACATAGACCAAGTAGAAGTGGGCTCACTTTGATAGTAACCTGCATTTCCTGCCAAAGAAATGAGTGGTAGCTTTATGTAACCACAAACAGAAGACGAAGGATGTCTTAAATGTCAGGGGAAATGCAATGACTTGAATTCTATGTCTCTGCCGTACTCTGCTTATCATCTTGTCTTCATAAGAGAATTAGAACAATTTTACTTTGACCAGACTGCCATCTAGCTGTAAAACTATATTACTGAAATTGGTACTGTAACACATAAATTGTTCACACACTGAAATCAGGAATATATTATTTTATTTGAGGCCACAGTTTCTTTAAACAGGTTAAGTTCAAAACTTTCAATGATGGCTATAATGTCTATGTTCAATTGGCATTCAAAACTTAAAAACTATTTCAAACTGCATTCTTTCTAGCTTTTCCTAAAAAAGAGATAAATATGCTTGCTATAAAATTAAAAGTTTACAGTATTGGTTGCAATGAATTTCAATTACTCATTAAAAAAGAAAAAGCACATAATTTTCAAATTAAAAAGTTAAATTAGCCATTTGGTATCCAAATAAGACCAAGTTTTCTAGTTGGTCTGAAGTTTAAAATGGGAAAGGGGAACCTTTTAAAAGACATATCTTAAAAACTATTCTAAAAAGAGTCCTTTAGGAATATTCCCACAGCAGAACAAACAGTTCAACATTATTTGAGTAGTTCAAAACAGAAAAAAATTTAAATTTAAGCCAATATGATAAGAACTGGGTATCTACTGATTAACAGAATCCTAACTCATACTCAAGTATTACGGCACTTTTTGTAGAACAGGTGATAGCTGAGCTGACTCCTGAAAGATACGCGGCCCTCTGCAGGAAGGGACGAGAAGTGCCGTCCAGAGCGAGAACCCTGACCGCAGGCGGAGGCTGCAGTTGCTCAGACAGTGAGGACCCAACACCAGGAGAGCTATACTGTACACAAAGTCAAGGAGCAAAAATAAGCCGCAGTGAGATGAGGCTGTTAGGCTGACTGGGTGTCTAAGTGAGCAGGTTTCACACAAAAGTCTCAATCTAATTGCTACACCTAGGATTCAAATTCATTTCTCAGCAAAACTATACTTGGCAAACACTATACATTTCACTACTAGTGGACAGAAGTTCAGGGTTATTTGTCAAGTACAAGAAGGACAAATGTTAAACCTGGCAGTTCCAGTAATCTTTCAAACTAGGAATACAAAAAAGATTACGATTTGCCCATTGAACCTAAGGTACTGTCAGTAGCACTAAAGGAAGCCAGTTTTACAGAGGAGCTACGTTTTCTTCTATAAATATAAACATATTCCCTTTAACAAGCTAATACGTATGTTTCAATTACGTGTATATTCAACTGAATTCTAATCTACTCACATCTGGACAGTGGCAAGGTGAAGATGAATAAATGTGTAGAATTAAAAAGCATACTCAATATTATAATTTTGTTTGAATAAAATAATTGTTTTTAATATAAATTATAGGAACACTGTAAATTATGTTTCAAAAATATAATAGTTATGATAGGCTATAACATGATGACCCAGACTTTTTAAAATCTAACAAAGTCTGTTGAGTAGTAGGTAAGAAGTATATATAAAATAGCACACAAAAAATTTGGTAGGAATAAGATATCAATCGCACATATACCACACATTAATACCTATTAAAGAATCTATTATATAATACTAAACACAAATAAAATTTTTTATTGCAAATTATTTTAAGAAACCTAATGCATATTAATTTTAAAAGTTAGGTTTAAAATGTTACCACAGTTTTCCAGTCTGGCAGAAATTCATGAAGAATTGTTTTAAAAACCTTCCCAGAAATTGTTAAATGTTGACAGATTTGCTATTTTAAGGTGCTCAGAATTCTTTTTTGGTGCAACTGACAATTTTTCATCCAATAAGAAAAGATACACATGACACATTATTGTTAAAGACAGATACAGGCACTTATAAAAGATGACATATACATCTTGACAGCCATCAATTGAACACATGCAAAAAAAGTACTTAATTTTATACTCATAACTTTTTTCTCTGGAATCTCATTCAAAAGCAGATCCTCAAATAGTATTTCGCAACGATCAGCAACTGTATTCAATATATCTCTCTTCACTGCCTATGGAAAAACAAAACAAAACAAATTACAAATAAGAAACAAAACCTGTTACTTTCAATTTGCATTATTTTACTACCAAAAACCCTCACGTAGCTGGTTTCCCTGTATAATCATGTCCACTAAATAACTGATACATTATTCTCTTTTAAATGTCCATTTACTTAGCATGCTTACTAACATTAATAGTTTAAAAGCAAATCTGCCTACCTCATCTAAATAATAAATTAAAACCAAATAAATAAATGAAATTTTGCATCTGAACAAATAATACTAGCGTTCCAAATTAGGAAATGTGTAACTCTGACAAAAGTGCCAATTATCCTTTTTTAAATTTCTGAATTATAGAGATTATAGAACACTACCTAACAATTCTCCCAATGGAATGCTTTTCCTGTTATTTAAAAAGTTTGATTTCCCTTAGCAGAAACCATTTCCAATGTACTAATAACTCACAGATAACTCGCAACTGTGGAGCACTTACTAAATCTGTATAACCATTACTTTCAAAAAGTCACAGAACAGATATTCTACATATGAAAATCTTGCAACCAATTACATGGTATAACTGTACTGTCCAACCAATTGGACCTTTATTAGTTAAATGAAATGAATAATTATGAAATCTGAGAGTGGAAAAAATAAAATTCTAGCATTTTTGAGTAATGACGGGAACAGGCTTCTGTTTTCCACGTGCAGTACCCCCCTGGTACCTGCACAGCCTCTTTAACCTTGGGTTTGTTGCTCTGGATGTAAGCTCTGCACTTCACAGCGCCCTTCAGGTTCACGGAGCCGCTGCAGATCTGGACAGTGGCTGTGGATCTGTGGTCTGAACTCAAACGCTGAAAGACAGAAACCACTTTAAGTTCTAATGGCCAACAGTATATTATTACCCATATAAACTACATTATTAAGTAATTGAAATACTTAAACATTATAGAAGCCATTTCATAAAGAAGAAATTTTTGACTGAATCATGTGTTTGAAAATATTCTCCACATTTATTATTAAAAGACGTTCATATCTCTCTTTGTAAGTTACATATTATTTTCTGAGAATTCTGAAGATAGTGTGAAAGTAAACACAACTACATCTAAACTTTCTCTTACTGATCTATAATCCAGAACACCAATATTCAATCATCATATTCACTAAAATATATATAATTTGCAGATGACTCAGGTAAGTATTATTACCATGAAAAGATGTATAAGGAAGACATGATCTAACAGGGGTTACATGGCATGCAATGGAAGATCTGCACAGCACATAAAGCCGGATATGATAAACATGGCAAAATCATGAGCAATGTGTAGACGCCCGTTTATTTCTACACGGTCAACTCCTAACTTTCACAGACAGAAGCAATGCTACACGCTCCACAGCAGGAAGAAAGCAATCAACTACATCTGTCACCAGAAATGGCGTCAGTGGTCAGAAGCAGAGATTTTCATCTCGGAGTCTCGGTCACCTTTGTCTAAAGAGAGTTGGTTCATGCTGGGTGCTGGGATGTTTCAGAGACATTTCAACCTTATCAGTTTAACAACAGCCAAAATGAGGACACATGGGCAGCGCTACCAGGGGGTATGAAATCCCAGTGGAAGTGAAAACGATGTGTAAAAATCCCACACAACGGACACATAACATGGATTCTATGTACACCTGGAATACAGCGTGCAACGATAAGGTCAATTCTGAAGGACAAAAACAAATCATGCAACTTATGAACAGTGCTAACTGTGCGTGTGCAATAAAGAACAATCAGGAATTGATGAGAAAAATGGTGACGAAATCAAATGACTTCAATATTTTAGCTACTGAAAAAGCATTAATAGTCAATGTCTAATGTAATTCAAGCAAAAGCTAGGTTTTTTTTTTCTTGAAGAATTTAAATTTAACACAGTAAAGGTCTTGGTGGTAAAAAATCTGTAACAGACCAAATGGTTCGAAATGTTCCAGGTTCATTCAAAAGTGTCCACAAGCCAAGCAGCAGGGGACAAGGCTGACACATATCTGGAATAGGCTTCCAATGATACTTGCAGACGTCACTGGGACATGGGCGAGGTGGGCGTGCAGGAGGAGGAACGGGCTTCTCCTCCACTGCGAGGAGCTTTTCTGTAAATGAAACTGTTCTATTTTGGCAGATAATACTCTATTTACACATCCACCTTTAATACGTATCTTATAGTATGTAACACGCTGATGACATATAAACCATATGTGTATAAATTAGTGCACTGTTTTCCAAAGTAAAGGAGACTATATGTACAGGAACACACACACACACACACTCACCGCCCCCCCCAAGGAGAAGAGTTTTTAAAAGACATGGAAATCGGCTCACTCCTTTTAGGTGGACATGTATCTGAGTTCTACACACATCAACTGCTCTTGGTTTCTTTGGACTTAGGAACAGACCAGCTCACGGAAAGGCTTTGGGAACCCAACCTGTTCATAAATGGAGGGACTTCTGTGACACCGGCATGGCACGTAGGAAAAGGAAAGATCCCTCTGGTTACAGAGGCCAAATGAAACTCTACAGAAGCGGCAGCATTTGGGTGAGACCTCACTGTCCAGAGAGGACCCTGACCGTCTGGACGATGGAAGAGACGCCTGGCTCCGGACACACACGGGGTTTGGGAGCACAGAGCACATCCTAGAAGAGTACGTTAGACAATAACGGAAGGACAGGCTAAGGCCATGAAAAGCCTGGAATCAGACCTTCTAACTAGTCAATATAGAGCAATTAAGGAATTTTAAGCAAGGATAACCATCAGTGTCTGATCCTTATACACACTTAATAAGTATTTTCTGGGGAAAAAAAGTAAATGAACAAGTGAATAAATGTGATTTAAAAAGGATCATCTGTAAGATATGTCTAATACATATTTTAAAAAAAGAATCAGAATTTTCAGAAGCACAATCACTCTGGACAAAATGAATAGATGGAGGCACCATTTCCAAGTTACTTGAGGTGACACAGGTAAAATAACAATACTGCCAGGCCAATGGCAGCGGGACTGACTACAGGAAAAACAATGGATGAAGTCAGCACTGCAAAGAAAGGATCAACAAGACCTGATCGAGGCTGAACAAGAGGAAAGCGGCATCGAGTATTTATTGACTACTTATTATATATTGATTTTAAAGTTTCCAGCTGACTGACCATGGAATGACTAATAAAAACATACTATGCTATATAATATTAAATGTCATTACAACAAATTACCTATATGATAATTTATAATATTGACTTCCACTCTTCTCTCAATATTTCCACTCTATATCATATCTTCCCACTGTAATGTTATCACTAAAATAATTTTAACTGAATTGTTTGATAAACCAAGAGGTCACATAAGCATAACTAGTAAAAACATTTAAGTAAAGGAATGACTTTCAAACAAAGGACACTTCTAAAATTAAATTTAAAAAAGAAGGAAAACAAAAAGTTAAAAATACTTTTAAAGTATTGAGGAAAGACATTAAGAACTAATGTTGACGGGCATAAACCCAATGACGATTTAGTGATGCTCTACTGCTCAACAGAGAGAATGAAAAGAAGAAATCAAAACATTTTCATAAGTCTATTTTATTCAGTCAAAAAATATGCAAGTCCTAAGACTATACTTTCAGGGATCATTTCTACAGTCTGTTACTAAAAAATATGCAAGTCCTAGTAATATTTTTGTTTCAACATTTCTAGCATAACACTGAAATTATAAGTTTTCTAAAAACATGGATGTACTTTGTACCCTGTCTGTTTTCAAGGAAAATTCCAAGCAGGATTAAAATCAAAAGCATGCATAGTTTTAGGAATAATTGGCAGCTTTAACTTCTTATTCTTCAAGATGGCCCAATTTTCAATTTCTGAAAAGAGATGTGTAACTTAAAACAGCCATAAAAAACTTAAAATTGCTGATAATGTGTGATTCTTATCAAATCATAAGAGGAGTAAATCTACTTCATATTAAGTAAATGACAACCCCTGGCATATCCGCGCACACATACTCTACCTTTAAGTTGCTGAGAATTACATCTGTGCTCATACAATATACAACCCCAAATACTGCACACGCATGTGCATATATGTGTGTGTGTGCACTTGTGTGTATTTACACTTAAATGCTATCTACTTTATGGCAGAAGTTTAGTAGTCTTGGGCTAAAAGACCCAAATAGGTTTCATTAAAATTGTGTTTCTTGGGAGTAACTTTCCTAGAACGGGACATTTTTTAGTCTCTTACATCTCTAAAATTTTTTACTGTAATTAGAAACATTAAAACAAACAATTTCATGAAGGTTATTGTTAGAAATAACGTATTTTAGACAAGTAGGATTTTAAAATATTTACCAGCTGTGTTAGTACTCTGACATCAAAAGAATGACCAATCGCTGGGGCATTTCCTCTAGAAGATTTTTTCTGGAAAAAAAAAGTTAAAAAACTAGATTATTGAGATCAGAGTGGAACATAAAAGATGATTTGGGAACTATCCTACACACACTAAATAACCTAGAGGAAAAGACCTTATTATTTGTTTTATTTTAGCTTTTTCTACAGACATGTTATTTTGTGTATTCTGCAACAACCAATAAGGACTATTAAAAACCATTAATTTCCTACTTTTATTGCTCTAGAGCAAGGACTGGCAAACTATGGTCGAGGGGTCAAATCCAGACCCCTCTTTGTAAATGAGGTGTATATTTGTACACCCGTCTTTGTAAATGAGGTTTTACAGGCACACAACCAAGGTCATTCACTTACATGTTGTTTGTGGCTGCTTTCATGCTACAGCATCGGAGCTGAATAGCTACGACAGACACCAAATGGCCTGCAAAGTCTAAAATATTTACCGTTTGGTTTTCTCCATAAAGTTCCCTGACCCTTGCTCTGAAAAGACAGTGCACCACAGTTTCTCCTCAAATTAAAGCTATTTTTGGAGCCCATAGAGACCCCTCTTTAAAATGGAGAATCTTAGTCTTCAAACTACTATCAGGGCAGGATTCCAATTACTTCAGAAATTATCCTCCATCATTTTGAGGGAAACATCTGCCCTTTACTTTAAAAGATCTTAGAAATAAGTAGACGAAAACTGTTTTCATGAAGAAAAGGACTAAAGAACTAAGAACAGTCATCTTTTATTTTGCCTTAACACAAATAATTTCATCAGATGATTTTCTCATAACTCACCTGTCCTTCTAGTAGGTCACAATCTTCAGCTTTAACTTGTCCATTAATCAAATAAACCCCATTTTCTATTTGCTTGGCCCAGCGTGCCAGTCCGTTCTTAAGAGAAACACAACATGGTAGCTTTCAGACATGATGCCATCTCAGATAAACTCCCTAGAGTCAACTTCTTCCACCTAATACACTGAAGTAGTAAAAATCCCTAAGTATCGGTAAATCCCTAAGTATTGGTATGTAAACTTGGTCTCACAAACAACAAAAAATGTGTAGCCTCAAATTTTGGCACCTTACTTATATTTAATAACAGTGTTTCTAATCTTTATCCCAAACTACCATTCATATCACAGACTTACGAGGCTTAGTAATTTGCATGGACACAGTCAAATACACTCAGTAACTTCCATTACCTTTTAAAAATGTGAGAAAAGAGAAAGCGGCTGAAGTATATAAGGCGGCATTAGAGGGAAAAAGAAGTGACCTCCATTTGCCTCCTTCATTGGAAATGAGATATGAACAAAAGAATGATACAGAAATTTTTAAAAGGACTGAAGAGAAAAAAATCCATGAAACCCAAGAGAAAGCAAAAAGACCAAACAATATATATTCTTACAAAACTGTATTTTATAACATAGACAATTATGTTAATTAGCAAATATTTATGGAGCGCCTATTATGCTAAGTATGAGTATACCAATATTATGACATTGTAATCTTGGGTCATAAATTAGTTACCCCAAACAGTATCATTATAATTAGAATGCAGTTTTTGAGGATTATAAAACAAATGGCAGACAACCAGAACAAAAGCAGATTACCTATTCAGCAATCACTACAGGAAATTCCTTTTACCCCGATACCTTTGTATTTCTCTCCAGAGTATAGCTGACAGAAGTAGCAGACAGTGGGATGTGGATGTTAATATGAACTGTACACTCTAAAGAGTGCCACGAGGTTGAGAGTCCGTTCTGATACTTCCAATCTGCGGGTTTTGCTGAACTCTTTAGCAGTGAGGAAGAAGGAAAAACATAAAACGTATTAGGTCATAATATGTACGACTTAATAACTCATACAGCATACAGCTAACGAATGTGGCCACATTCTTTCATTAAAGGTCGATAGGTTAGAATTAAGCAGAAATAAATCATGTATTTCAATTGAGTAATCTTCAGAATACTGCACTTGGCAACCCTCCAGCAGCCTGGAAAAGGACCAGACAGGCCCCGTTCAGAACTCTGCCCAGTCCTCTGGTGTTCTTGTTCTCTTCTGCAGCTCAGACAAGGCCAATTCGGAAACTGCACACACGAGGCAAGTAACCACCGGGTGACAACGTGTGCCGGACATTCTCCTGCCTGTCCCATCCTTGCTAACACAACTCTAAGCAGTTACTTTCTCACACTGCTTTCAAACACCTTAGTAAAATGTCACCATGGATTCTGCTGAGTACGGGTAAGTTGCTTAGTAGTCACTGGAACTACCAAGAACCCACATGGTTTTACTACCAGCCTCTCAAATATAATACACATGAACAAGGTAGGGGAGAGTAATAAAAATATGTCAACGACTAAAAAACACTAAAGTTTCTTTGTAATAAAATTAATATTTCAAAACTAAAAAACTGGTGGCTGTGGACATCAGTAGGAGAGGATAGCATTGAGAATGATAAAACTAAATACAGAATTAAATTTTATTTTTAAAATAGTTTGAAACAGAAAAATCTTTAAAGAGCAATTTTTCTTACCTTTGGATCATGGACATCATAAGTTCGACAAAATATTCTTTAATAATTAAGGATATAAATAACCCAATAGAGAATTAATTCTTCATAATCAAAAGAAAATAAACCATCCAAAAATAAAAATAAAATAAAGTGTAAGTATCCAGGAGTTTTTATAAAGTCATGCCACTTTACACACTTAAACTGTATGTATATATGTGTTCGTACAAATATACACACATATAGAAATTGCTCTGACTATAGTTGTGGTGCCTTAAACTATTTCTTACTACTTGTAAAGGCTGCTGATCACAATGAATAGAATGAAAACACTTGCAACATTTCCCTCAAACACACACCCTGTATAACAAATAGGAGTGCTGCTTTGGACAAGTCAAGCCTGAGATTTTTAGTGGTTCAAGGGGCCCATGCATGGAATGTTTTCGCTGAATATCCAAAGAAGTTAGAAGCCCGGCTTCTGCAGGAAGAATCCCGTTCTGAATTTTGTCTTTTGCCTCCTCGCTCATTGGGCCCCTGCGCTGCTCCGCCCCCTCCGGGAGGCATTCTCTTGCTTTAGAAAGACGTACAGTACAGAGGCCAAGGAGGCCCTGTAAGTGGCTTTTAGTGTCACTTGATCTTGGCTAAAGACAAAAATTTCTTGGATGTCCTAATTGTCCAGTTCAGTGAGCCTGCGTTTTCAATTGAACATTTTATCAATACCAATTGGAAGTGAAAATTTAACATAATAAAAGCATCGCTTGGCCAAGACTGTCAGTTGGGACGTCTCCCTCTCTGCAGGGGACCCACTGTGCCTGCGGAGGAGACGGCTGTTGAACAGTTTCCAACCCTCATCTTCGCCACTGCCGTCAAACCCTGCAACCCTGAGACGCGATCGACAACCATCATTACGATTATTATTGGCAGTCCCAATTATGTGTTATTGACAGAAAAACTTACAAACTATGCCTATTTCTTAAATACTGATTTAAATAAATGTTTGGGGGGGACTTGCAGGAACATTATTTTGGTATCATATACTTTTAAAACACAAGCACTTAAATAAAAGATACTTTTTCGTAGAAGAACAAATGTGAAGTGCCACACGATCTGAGACTTCCTCTTCTGTGAAATTCCACAGTCTTTTTTTGCTCATAGATTTTTCCATAGCAAATACCAGCTGGAATGGAGGAAAACACAGAGCAACTGAATACAAAATGAAAGAAGAAAAGCGACTGTAGAAAAAAAAACAATTATAATGTCCCTAAACAGCACTTAGCTTTAAAATTCCATGATTTTACCATTAAATTATCTTTTCTTCAGAAGAAAGAGTAAAAGTGTTTATTAATCACTTGGGTTCCCTATTTACATAACAAATGGCTTTTAAGTAGAACACTATAACCCACCATTATTAAGCATCAACTGGATGTGAAAAACTAATTTGGGGCAACTAACATTTAAGTGAAATATAGAGACTTCTATTTTATATTTTATTTTATTAGTACTTTTTTAATACTCACTCAAGCATATGCTTGTTGACTGTTAGAGAGAGAGAGTAATTGATGTGAGAGAGAAACATCAATTGGTTGCCTTCTGTACGTGCCCCGACTGAGGATCTAACCCGCAACCTAGGTGTGTGCCCTGAGCCAGAACACAACCACCCACCTGCTGGTGTCCAGGAGAATGCTCCAACCAACTGAGCCACCAGGCCAGGGCTAAAGACTTGACTTTGATTAGAATGGGAATCAATAAAAATGAAGCATGTCACCATTTGGCATCTCTCACTTAAATGTCACAGAACGTTTAAGGCAATACATAAGGACACATTAAGTATAGTATTAACATAAAGGAGAAGTTTTAAAAAGTCAGAAACAGCCCTGACTGGTGTGGTTCGATGGGTTGGGCATCACCCTGCACAGCAAAAGGTCACGGGTTTGATTCCGGTCAGGGCACAGGCCTGGGTTGTGGGCGTGAGACAGGCAACCACACATCTAAGTTTCTCTCCCTCACTCTCTCCCTCCCTTCTCCTCTCTCTAAAAATAAATAAAAATATAAATCTTACAAAACTCAGAAATAGTAAACATATTTATGCCAGAAATAAGAATTATAAAAGTACACACTTGATCTGGCAGAGGAGTCATAAATTTGGCTCTAAGCTTTCTAACAACGATGTGCACAGAGAAACCTAATCTGTTAGCTAATTCGCATGGTCCATCAAGAAGAAAACAACTGTAGAAAAGGCACAACTTTTTTCACAATGATATCAAAAGAAATTTTTTCAAAGACAGTATTACATGATACAATGAACAAAGTTTGTAACAATGACCTTATGGGAGACACTGGCAAGTTTTATAAAGTTAGCTTCTTACAGTGTCCCTTAATGCTGGCCAATTGAAACAAAGTTAGACAATTCAAACTCAATGCAATTTCTGAAATACAGCATTTATAGTCTCACAGGCTTGCCAGGAACAGAGATACACAAGCAAAAAGGCCTCACTGTGTCTCTCCCGCCAACATTCGCCCCATCCAATCCAGCCCCAATCACAAAGGATGCACAACCAATGTCATTCAATACCTAAAGATTTAGATTATATTGCAGACTGCTAATGAAATTGAGTAACTGTGAAATATACATTTCTTTAAAACGGAAAAGACGGTCGAAGCTTGAATAACTTGCCAGGGCAGAGAAAAATCGGCCCTTTTCCCCCCTCATTTCCTTAGGTGCAACACCAAGGTTTTGACAGCGGGGAGTGTGACAGCAAAGGCTATAAGACCGGAAAAACCTGGGGCTCCTGGAATTCTTATCTGCACACTTTCTCACCAGAAGAAGTGTCGGGGGGATTCATTTCAGTTTGCTTTGGGTTTTAAGGGGTAACAGCTTGTGAACTTTCATCTTTACATCCAAACTACGTTACCCAATTCACTGGTGTAGGAATAAATAAAGAGCGGGGATCCATGATAACTACTCTGTCCAAGAATACAAAATAAGTATCTGACTGTTGTTACTCTCAGGATTCTGAGAGACTTGAACAGGTGAAGAAACACAAAACCCACTCATTTCACGTTACAGCCACCACTTGAAACTAAAAGGAAGGTCTAGCCGAACAGGGCTACTGCATGACAAAACCAGTCAAATCATCGTAATTTGTTTCATGACAGTAAAAATGAATCTTTCAAAATATATAGTTTTGATTGGAAATATAAATACTGACACTTATTGAACACAAGATACCAAGCAAGTCGGTGGGAAAGCTGTTTCAACATAATCTCAGCATAAAGAATACGGAGTGGTGATCTACATACGCCTAGGATCACTGTGTGTGTGTGTGTATATATGTACATATATGTGTGTGTGTGTAGATCAAATAAAATAAGGGATAACTGTGATCTTATTACGAATTATTATAGTTCAGACTTACTCTGCGCAGAGCGTTTTGAAAATCATTTCCCATTTCCAAAGTTGTAATAATAAACACTCCAAGAACTAAAAGACCCCCAGGGAGCATTCGGGATACCTAAAGGCAGAAATGTATTACATTAACATTTGGCTTTGTGTTTGAGAAGCTAAATATTAAATCAGCAAATACTTACTGAGTACCACTGCACAGCACTGAGGTAGGGGCTTTGAAAAGTGGTTAAAACATTGAGGAAGGTATGCTAACCAAGATAAATGGGGTTTCATCATATACATAATCTTCCTAAAGTATCCTGAGCTTTTATCCTAAAATTACCTTATGAATAAAACCATTTAAGAATGAAACCCATTAGCTACATAAATAAGCAAATCATTTTCTCAAGAGATCAAAGACTGAAACACCTTCTAAAATTTTTTCAACGGCTTCCACTATCAGCTAAATGAAACATCAATTTTGCCTTATAATGCTATTTCGGACTCTAACATCTGGCTAATCTGATATTCAGAGCACCCTCATCCGACACGACTTTCTGTGAAATGTTAAAACACCTCTCAGAAACCTCTCTCTGTTCTTCACGCGTAGGCCTAGGCTTTCGGACTCCACACCTTTACTCGGGCTGTCCCTCGGCCTGAGCGGACTTCTTGTATTTTGGGAACCTTACTACTTGGTCTGGGATCCTTAAGGGAAGAAATAATTCACAACTACCTTTTACCCTTTTATCCCTATAATATTTAGCAGAATACTAAAGCCTGGAATTTGAACAGAGTCTGACTTGAAAATCTATCATTTTCTATTGTTTAGGTTTACCTCAAACTTTTAAACCTATTTACTGATATAATTGAGCATTTATGTTATTTCATATTGGATAAAAACACTAGCAAGTCTTCCTGTGTTCACTGAATGTGTGCTCAGGATAAACCTCCTACGGTGGAAGTTCAAGAAGTTATGCATATTTTTAAAGTGTCTGGTACATACTGCCAGCTGGTCTTCCGTGAGATCTACGATCTCCCCACACACCCCTCTGGCTGCCTCTTAACGCCCTGGGGACTTCTTCATACCACCTCTCCCCAGTGATAAGAGTGCTTTGGTCATCTCTTGTGTAGTTAAAATATACAAACAAGCTGATCATAAAGTTCAGTCTTCAGAAAATTAGATACCATAGTATAGTCCCTCGTATGTTGCTATCGTATCTGCTGGTTGTTTCCTCTGACTGCACAAATTCTAATTTACTATAGTAACAAAAACTTGAAATACAAAGAATAAACTTTTCATGTTTAGCATGGGGCACCTGCATATCTTTTCAAAATCACCGACATAAAATTAAACATTCTTTTCTAGAGGAAAAATATGAATATACTTTGCTACATATATTTTGTTTCTATGTGTCTGTATGTGTATACGTACATATATACATATATAAATAAATACATCTTTCTCTATGCACATGCACACACCCTTGGGAAATTTAACTTTAAAATATTTAGTATTTTTAGAAGATGGTATTAAATATTTCCTTGATTTTTTAATAACTACGTACCACCCCGCATCACAAACACAGACACACAGACACTAATAAACATGTGTATGTGTTTAAAAGACTTAAAGTCGATTTTGGAGAAGGAAATAATTCTACTTTTACCTTACTCCTTATTAGATGATAGAATCCATTCAGTGACGAGTTTGAAGTTAACTTAAGCGTCGTTCCTTACCCACACCCCAGTGTGTTGTCCAGCAGCACCACCGTCCTCCCGGAAGCCCAGGCTAAAAACCTCAGTAATCCTTCGCTCTCACAGTCTCTCTCCACTGCCAGTCTACGCGGTCACTAAACTGTCCTGATACTAGCTCTTTCTCTGAAGTGCTCTGGCAATGAAGTGTTGTTAGCTAACTGCTTAGCTCATTCATTTATCCAGTGCTTTGGAGTGTTCTTTAAACACCAGGAAAAACTGTGCACAACAGACAGAACCTCTGTTCCTCAGGAAGCTGAGTCTAGTTTAGGTTCACATCACTGTTTTGCTTGGACTTTGCTGTTGTACCTGTGTGTTTTCTGTTCTGTCCTCAGTCACTCTCCTTTCTACTCATACTGTATCCAGGCATGAAAATCACTCTCTAAATTACTGACAGATCGATCATATGAACCTCTCAAAGTAGGGAACTCCGCATGAAAGTCTACCATATAGCTACTGCCTACCAGACTCCTCACTTCCTAGGATGGGACTCCCAAGTCATCCATAACTGGCCCCTTATGGCCGTACGTCTGATCGCATTTTTCTCAGGCCCTGGGTTTCAATTATAACCACATGCCTGCTCTTCTCCTGACATACCATTAACTTTCATGCCTTTTGGGTCACTTATCCACACCGTCGCTGGGCATCCAGTTTGTTCCCTGACTTCTACGAGTAAAGTTCTATTCATCCTTCCCATTCAAAGCCTTCTACGAAGCTGTCTGAATCCAGCCACTGGCACATGTTCAGTCATTCCCACTCTACATTCCTTCAGCACACTTCCATTTTTATCTCACTTCTCTTATAACTTATTTGGGCAATCTCCTTCACTCTGGTTGAAATATAAATCCTGAGGATTTTTTTAAAAGTTAACCACCATTTTATTGCCTTGGTGCCTAGCTTGTCTTTAAAACAATCTGACCAGAAACTGTATTATCAATAATTACTATTACTTTAAAGTAAAATCAGAAATAAGCTGCATGACTAGTAGTAGGAGATAAGTTGAATAAAAACATAAATATTGACAATGGGAAAGCACAGCACGTAAGACCAAGAAGTCAGACCACCTGGGTTCCGATCCCAGCTCCACCACTTACTCTGTAATCTTGGGGAGGTTACTGAACTTCAAGGAAGAAAATGCAAGTTGGGAAAACTTAGGAATGAGCACTCTGAAGTCCTAGTCTAGTGATCTGAGGGTAACATGCTGTCAGTCAACAAACACAAACCGAACCGCACAGAAGAAAACTCGGTGACCTGCTTTGCATGCTCCGTGGCCCACTCTTCATCCACGTCGTCCAGCTTATCCCTGGGAGGCTTGGGGTTCTCATTTTTTTCCTCTCTGGGTGGTGTTCTAGTGGCGAGAACCACATAATCCTTCTGTGAAGAACACTTAAAAACAAATTAGAAATGCTTATTAGAGTGATACCTGACTGAGGAATGTAATGCTCTTATGATGTGCAAAAACTGAGCAACATTTATAACAGCTTAAACTGCTAATACCTATATTATATGGACTCTAGAGAAACCAATTTTCACGGGTAGCCTCACTCTTCTCATGCTATCTCCCAATATTTAATATCATCCTGCTATTTATTTCACATAATGGTCACTGCCAATGGCAGTGAATCAACTGCCATTTAAACCGAAAGATAATGAATATGCTTGGTCAATTTTCTAGTTATTATATTTACTTCCTATATAATTTGAACAGATGTGGTGGTTCAGTAAAATAAAGCAACAAATGGCCTTATGCATCTTACTTTCATTGAAATGAAGAATAATGTCAATAGAAACTAAAAAAGAAAAAAGCAACAAAAACAAATAACAGTGGAGAATTTGTACACGTGTGCCCAAATTAAAGTGACATCAGATTTATGTTCCTTAAATGGTAATCAAAGGTGGGGAACTGAAAGATAAATCTAGGGGACATTTAATAACTCAGTTTTATTACACTAGACGTTTCCTATGAAGAGTCAAAATAAAGCTGATAATACAAGTTAGTACGGTGTCACCCTCAGACATGACCTGAAATTCCCATCACTGGTGTCATCTTGGCCTAGAAGATACAGGAAATTATTCCTCCAAAAACTGTTTCCAGAGAGTTGCACTCAAATGGACATGGGAAAAGGTAGGCACTGATGATGAACGTTCTTCCTTCTCATAAAATCTACGACTTTGAAAAGAAAATGACAGGAGGAGTAGGAAACAGACAAGCCTGAGAGGAAGGACAAAACAGCGATGAGCCCTGGAATGAAGAGGGGAAAACGTGTGGAACAGTGGAAGAAATGGAAAGGCAGCAGCGAGAAAGGCAGGAAGGAACGTCCTAAACTGCGGGAGACTTGTTTGTAACAGAGTCTATGCGCACTGCGGGAAAGTTCCAAAGAGGGGATTTCTCTCTGATGGTTTACCTTTATGGATCCCATCTTTCTCTACAGCTATTCTTCCTTTAAATTTTTTTTTTAAATAATGGGAAGTGAAAAGCTTTACATAAAAAGTTCCTGGCAAAAAGAGCCCTGTATTAGATACTAAGCACCCTGAATGAAAAGGTGCAGACTGTTGCCAAGAGAGTCAAGCCGGCCCCCTAAGGAGAGGCCTCATTGGACCGCACTGCCTGGGAGATGGGTGCAGGGTCTGCCCTCTGTCTTACAGGCTACGGAATCAGATTTGTGACCACCAAGGGCTGTGGCAACGTGAGTCCTCTGGACAGTGCTTTCTTTATAAGTAGGTAACGTGGGGCATCAAATTGCAAGAGGAGGTTGCTTGGGAATGTGGATAGAATCAGAACAAGCAAAGTTAATTATGTAATTTGAATGTTCTACCCCATCGTGATAAACTGTCCAGAAAGAAAATTGTTACAATAGAGCTTTATTTGCTACTAAGCCTCAAAACCACGCCCTTGGGCCTAGTGCGTTCCTTGGTAAGTGTGTTTAGGCGGATGTAGGCAGCTTGTCTATGTAACTCTTTTTGTTGTTGTCACCGTTACTTTGTATTGCTGTCCAGTCCTCCTTGTATATTACTTCAGTTGGTGCTCATGCTTTTTAAAATAACTTCAAATCTCTATTCCAGTTTGTGTTGATTTTTAAGGCTTAACTCTATAAGGAAAATAGAATATGACTCATATTCAAATTTCTCCCAACCCTTCCCCTACCCTCTCTTTTGAATCAACATTTTAAAGTCAGTAAGATAGGTGTTACACTGTGCAACAAAATATATGACCACTGTTGCTACAAGTCTGAGTTCAGACGAACTAGCACTGGAATAAAACTGTCAAAAAGGTACTTCTATAAAAAATAGTATAACCAGGAATTAATAAAGATTAGATGGGAGTACAATATACTTGGAAACACACATACACACGCAGATACAAATAATGTTGTCAGTAAAAATTCTAATTTTGGAGTTTTCACATTATAAATTATTTTTACAATTTTGAAAAGAAATGTGTGCTGACTTGAACTAGGCTGGTCTTACTGTTGCTCCACATTTTTTTTTTTAAATCCATTTTAAATCTCCTTCTACATTCTATCCCTCCATCCCCTAACCTTGAGTTTACTGCTAAATAGCATATATCAGCTTTATTTTTATGTCAACTTTAAGTAAACAGGTAATTTGCTCTGTCAATAAATACACATGAAAGACACATACCTGTCCTATTAAAAGACCGGAGACAAAAGACTTTTCTTGGAGATTGAGGTTGGAAAGATACTGGCCAACGGTCTCTTCTACGATGTAGGTTCTTCCCATTACTGATAACTAATTCAATCTCCTAAATCACCAAAAAAACACACACATAGTATTTTTAGGAAAAAATATAACTTTCAATGTTTTCCTTGTGGGGGAAGTATAGAGAAGTGGTACTACTTCAATGCCATCACAAAACTTACAGTGATTGCTTCTCAAATAGGGTATTCTTACCTGCAAAGTTCAAGTGCAGCTTCAGAATTCTCAACACGGTGCTGCAGTAAGCGACTACTAATCAGAGCTGATATGAGATGAGACTTACTTACATACTGAGGACAAGGGAGAGGACCCGAAATTAGCAGTCAACACACGTGACTTCTCATTTCAGATACACTGCTCCTTAGTTATCTCTGATAATCTATGGCTGAGCCTCAGCACCTGCATTTCTCATACAGAGATGTAACTTTTCATTTCCTCACTGGGAGGTGAGAAGAATCAAATTCATTCACTCAATAACCACACAGTGAAGAACTACTATGTGCTAAAAACTCTGCCTAGAGGGATGGTACAAAGATAATACTTGATCTCTGCTCCTGAGTAACTCACAGCACAAGAGGTAACAGATAAATAGCAGTGCAATAATAGCAAACATTTGTATAACTTCTACTGAAACAAAGAAAGGGAATGTAACTTGCCCAAGTGACAAGGCTGAGAAGTGGCCAAGGTGAGGTTTAAACTCATTCTGGTGCTAGAATTCATGCCCTTAAATATTGTGCTCATCTGTTTTGTAACTCTGACATACAACATGCTCATTGATTTATAAAATAACAATATGACTAATAAAAATAGGGGAGGGTAACAACATTTGAAAACAATGAAACAAGGGATAAAACAAATATGAAATCCTTCAAAACCAACAAAAATTCTGAATAAAAAGAGATTATAAAACTTCTCTTCAAAGACTTCTTGAAGCGATGCTGCAAAGATACTAGTTTGTCAGAAAAGTGACTAAAATTCATTTCTTACCAAATAATTATTTTGACCAAAACCTTATTATTGAACTACTTTCTTCTAAATTTCTTTTAACGTAATTCTATTTACTGACTTTGGAGTTGAAGAAGATAAAGCAAAGGAGTCAAGAGATTTGTATCACAGAACAAATTAGAATGTATGCTTAATTCCAAATCTTGAACGTTGCGTTAATAAAAATGTGGTGCTTCCTAAAACAGTTAAAAAAAACCCCTCAAAACTATGCTCACACTGAGGAATCACACCCAGTCTCTCTATTAAACGATACCAAAGGGTAACTCCTGACTGTGGATGAGAACCAGTGTGTTCCTCCTACTGGTTGATGTTACTTTGATTTGATTTTCTGTAGCTAAAATACAAAGATAGCGACTAAAAGAGCTAGGCCGTAATGAATGATGATCTCAAGGAGTTCACACCCACTGTGGGAGACAAAAATGTAAAGAGAGATGATATTCAAAACTGTTATAAAAGCTATAAAAGACTGCAGGAACACAGAGGCAGCATTCCGCATAGAAATAAGTCGTCTGAGTTCTACACATAATTTCAGTCTTAGTACAACACAGTCCAGGCAACTGCAGACGTGCTGGGGCGGCATGTCCAACACCAGGAAGCTGCCACGTCCAGTGATTTTGCCTTATCTAATACTAAAGCCCAGAGAATCAGTGCCAGTTTGAAATGGCCTACTGGATGCTGTTTTGTTTTTGTTTTTCCAAAGAGCCTGTTCAGTTCTGCCTGGAAATGCATTAAATTACTTCCTACCTCTTTTCTGACGACCGTGCAAATAAGTGGGTTTTGCACAGCATTTCTGTTTGGATTGAGTCTACATAGATCTTGTCTAAATCATTCATACCTCTATGCAGGTAAGAGCTTTCCACTTTTAGTAGTGACTTAAGGTCTGTATGCATTTCTACGTATTAAACTTTCCTCTGCTTCATCATACTATGCTACTCCTGGGGAGAGCCAAGCAGGATGATGTGTGCCAAGGGAGCTGAAAGCAGGCCTTGGGTTCGGCACATCTGCCCTAGTCCACAAAAGACTGCCTGATAGATTGTTGTAAGGAAAGAATGACTTGGCTGCTTTGCTATATCACTGTACCAAGGAGCAGCAAATGTTCTTAAGAAATAAAATGTACCTGGCCTGGTGGTTTGTCTTTCTCACCCTCTGCTTCAAAGCTGGCTCAATATATACAGCCTGACTTCACCAACAAACAGTTCCCTCCTCTGCATCCCAGAGAAGGGACTCCACCTGACCCCGCTCTGATTGTCTCGATTTCTCAATCCCCTGTCGCCTTCCCCTGGGACCTGAATCGGGGACCTGACCGATCGACCCGAGCTGGTTGAGGCGACTCCTGTCCTTCTGGCCCAAAACTTCCTAATCCTTGGAGGAAACAGCCGTGAGAGCGAACACAAAGTTATGGTATGTAACTTTCTAATCATATGTCTTCCAAGGTGTCACCTACCAGCCATGTTAATGTATAAGAAACTGAATGCAATAGGAAGATGAAAATGTATTGGGTTATAAAATCTGGTTGAATGTCAGATTTCCCCCCCCCCCAGTGTTCCTTTAAAACTTTTAAATATAACAAACCTTATTTTACAAAGTACACTACTAAAAAGGTAGGTCTTGCTTTCCAGAGGTGTCCAACCTTTTGGCGTCTCTGGGCCACATGTTAAATATATTGCGACACGTAATCACACACCCTCACACACACGCACACGCCCCTCATCATGTGTTAGGTAAATTTACGGTTTTGTGTCTGGGCCACATTCACTGCCACCCTGGGCTGCATGCGGCCCGCGGGCGCGTTGGCGGGTAGGACAGCCCTGCCTTACACAGCTCAATTTTCCCGAAATGCTGTGTGTTCGCATCTTTGCAAGTTGTCCAAACGCTGTAACGAGACCATTCAATTTCCCTGCACTCTGATTACGTAGTTTACAAAGTAAAGATTTTGGATCAGAACAGGTCTGAAAACCTATGTAATTTCAGGATTCTGTGAGTTCAAACTTCTCCTGGCTTCTTTTAAAAACCTTCTTCCTTAAAAATGAACCAGGCTCCTTAAATTCCTGTTACACATCACTGTTACACACACACACACACACACACACACACACACACACACACGAACACACACACGGCATCTAAATAAGCATTTCGAATAAGGTGAGTTTGTCGTAATATGATTGGAGTGAGTTATTCCGTAGTGTCTGCCCATATGTTTCCTATAGTCTCTTTCTTCCTTCAGATAGAAAGCTGTGTCCAAGAGCACACACATACACACACGAATTACAAACATCCTTAAACTAACTCACCTGGACGCGTGGCCGATAGACCCACCTGAGAAGTGAGTTTAGGGTTCAAGTACCAGTCTCCAGCGGCCAATGAACTCATCAGAAAGCGACAGACTTCCCACACCTCACTTCCCACTCCAAACCCTGGGTCTCCCTCCGAGTTGGGTGGCGCAGCCTGATGACGCCACTTGCCCCCTGCCTGCACCGCAGCGCCTCGGCCAAAGCCACTGCGGTCGCCACCCCGCCCCCTTCCGGGCACCGTTGTGAGCTTGGCGTGAGCCCGGTGCTTGCGGTCCGGCCCTGCCGGGACCAATGCCCTCTAGTGGCTCAGTGTCTAGAAACCGCCAAAGAGGACTCCCCATGGCATCCCGAAGCTTAGACGGTAAGATTGCCTTGCTTTTTGGGGAGGGACATAGGCTAACGAGTACTCTACGGCGCCACCTCGCGGACAGCGGTCACGCGGCCGGGCTAGGAGCGCCAGGGGGCGGGGAGAAAGGAGGAAGCTGAAGCGGCTTTGCGCACTTGGCTTCACCGGGGGCATTGAGACAAAAATACATTTCCCAGAATCCTGCGAGGCTTGAAGCGGAAGGGGAAGGGGAACCGGAAGTCCGAGTGCCGGGTTGCGTTACCGGCCTCCTCCGAACTCGTACTCCCAAGGTGCACAGCTTCCAGCGGTTGCGCGCGCACCCGGGTTCCGAGGTTGAAGTGTTACTGTTACCGCCGCTAACCTGAGACTCTGCTACTTAGGGTCCCGCCGCGGGAGTCTCCGGCGGGCCGGCACGCGTGAGCCGGCGAGCGAGGTGGCAGAGGTGGCAGGCCAGGCTTCGGGGTCCTCCTGGCCTTCGCCTTTCTTCTCCGTGTCTGCTCCATCGGCCGCTGTGGCTCCCTGCCCGACCGACATGGCGGCGGTGTTGCAGCAAGTCCTGGAGCGTTCGGAACTGAACAAACTGCCTAAGTCGGTCCAGAACAAACTCGAAAAGTTCCTGGCCGACCAACAGTCCGAGATCGATGGCCTGAAGGGGCGGCACGAGAAGTTTAAGGTGGAGAGCGGTGAGTACGATCCACTTCCCGCCCTTAGTTCTGGGCCCGAGTCCGCAGCCGTGGCGGGTCTCTTCCCCTTCAAGGTTCGCCCTGTCCCCGATTTCACTGGCAGCATCGCTTCCTCGGTACCGTGGGCCCCTTGTCCTTCCTGCTCTTCTCAGAGTTTGATGCGAAGGAGCCTTTCTGTTCATTTGTTACTGTAAGTCTGAATCCATATTTGGGTCCGTTTTCTTTGTAATGAGGGTAGTGTCATAATAAGAAATTGGGAAGATCTGGGTTTATTTACACGGGACTGCAGACTCCACAACCCCTACCTAAGCCTCACTTCATTTATTGAGGAAATATTGAATGGTGTCTAATGGTCTGATACTGTGCTAAACAGCACATCCTCAGGCCCCTTCCCACGGTAAGTTAACACATTTGTTTTTGCATAAGTTTAACCATTTAATGTTTTTAGATGTTATTTTGACTATTTCAAGCCCCTAGAGCAAAGCAGCTTTTAATCTAAATACGATTTTTCTCCATTTAATAAAGCTTTCTTGCATGCTTTATGCTAGGGTTTGTGTTTGACTTTATATTTTTTCTCCGCTCTCGTGTAGAACAACAGTACTTCGAGATCGAGAAGAGGCTGTCCCACAGTCAGGAGAGACTTGTGAGTGAAACCCGAGAGTGCCAAAGCTTGCGGCTGGAGCTGGAGAAGCTCAGTAAGTGTTTAATGACATCTTTATAATATTTGGAGGGCCAAGATCTCAGGCACCTTCGTATGCTTCGGAAACATTTACTTACTGATAGGAAACTATTGATCAAGTGTCATCGCTTTCATGTGTGGTAATGTTTTGATTTTTCATTCCTGGCGAAGACTAAAAGAACATAGAATTTAATGGTCAGGAAGTCTGGGTTTTAACTTTGCCTGCTCTTAAAAAGCTCTTCTGCCACATTTAACTCATAACAGTGTCTGAATGTTGGAAGGGTTTTTGAAAAAATGAAAGCAGTCATACAAGGGAAAAGGTAAGGAGAGTGACTTGTTTTTATGTTGTTGTGTTGAAAGCTTAAAACCTATTAGTTCCATTACACTTACTTGTGTTTTACCTCTCTTGGTTATAACTTTTATAAATAACTAATCTCAGGGTATTTCCTACTTCACTCTAATTCCAGGTGAAAAAAGAGTAGTTTATTTCCTTAATTACTTTTCTCACACCATTAAGTCCTAGGAGGTACACAGGGTCTGACATTCTGTGGGAGGAGGATGTATATTACTTTGTCTGCAGCAGAAGAAAGCAAATGTCAGGGAAGACCTGTGTGGAGTAGGGGCATACCCGTTACTAGGTACATCTAGATTTCAGTTGGGGAATTCAGAAAAGTAATGACAAGAATGCTTAAAAACGTCAACTTTCTGTATTAACCAGGTTCTTGTTCATTGGCTGTTTGGGTCATAACTTTTTTTCCAGCTAGTTTCAGCACAATTCATTTTTAAAACATTGGACATATAATGGTATGGTGTGGCTACATGTTAAGAAGGGCATAAATACTTACCGAGTAGTTAGATCCTGTTTATTATTTGTACATCCTGTTGCCTTGACACAATCAACGTGGCCTGTACAGTAGTGATGGTAAAGAATTTCAGAAAAATTACTCGACTATAGCTGCTTGCCTGAGATCTGGAAAAGCGAGAGGGAGGGGAAGATGGGGATAAACCTACAAAGAAATCTGACGTGTACAGTTACTTTTGCATTTTTTTGGTTTATCATTCTGGATCTGTAAGTTTGGAAGCAGTAAATAACCTTAAAGCAAAATAGAAAATTTAGCAGGGTTTTTTCTTTTAACCAACTAATTGTTTAAATAGAACTTAAGACTGAAAGTATAGTAAGTAGTAACATCTTTGCTCATTCAGTTGCTGGCATATAATATAGGTGAGTCCTAATGGAAGAAAAGCTTTAGGAAGTGCAGTGTTTCCTAATTACCTGTTTAGAAGAGAAACTGCATAAGGAGAGAGCCCGTTATAAGTGGATATGGTGGGATTGATAACTCAGTATCGAGCATAATTTTCTTCCATGTTAAAGGCTCTCTTTGGAGTGATAAATAAACTGAATTGCAATTATAGTATTGATTATTGTGATTTATTCTGTGTATATTTTATATAATTTAAATGTTGTTTCTTGATATTTTTCTACTTCATTTCCTTGTTTATATATATGATTCACTCTTTTTATAATTTACTTAGAAGATGTCTTTGCTTAAGGAAATTCATATGTTTTTTACCATAAGTTTGCTAGAATGATAAGTGCAATTTGGGAGATAAGATGGCTTATTTTAAAATTCGGTCTAGAAGTACAGTAAGTTTGGGATATATTTATGAATGTGGAATACATAGTATAACTCAGTGTTTCTAAGACTCAGTTTCTTATTTTTAAAGCGTGTATGGGTGGCAGTCGGATAAAACCTGTCATTGCGAGTTTTAAGCCTTTGTGTGTATAATTATAAAACTCCTTTTCTCCAGACAGTCAGCTGAAGGCACTAACTGAGAAAAACAAAGAACTTGAATTTGCTCAGGATCGAAATGTTGCCATTCAGGTAAATGTTCTTCCTATGAATAAAGCTAATTGTATACATGATACTTGAGGAAGTTTTCTATTCTGATTTTCTTTATTAGTTACGTAGTCAACAACAAGCTAAAATATGTTCTATTAAGAGAAGCTACTAACAAAAACATGTATACATAAATTTCTTAATTGAATATATGTTTTATTGATTGCACATTTCTTTTACTCATTAGAATATATTGGTACTTGATATTCAAAAAACTTTTTTTTTTAGCTTCGATGCTTTTAGGTTCTAATCTTATTAAATTCTTATTATAAGTAAAGTGCCACAGAATTAGACGTAGTATAGATATTTATAAGTTCATCCACCCACTCATCCACTTATCCACCTGCCTTTCATCTTTCCTTTCTCTTAGAAATTATCTGTTTGATGATTACTCTTGCCTAGGCATTATTTCAAGTGTTGTGATACTGCTGGGAATATGGGTGGATCCACACCAGAAATCATTTCCTTAGCGTAGTGGTATGAATAACAAATTGAATGCGATTAACAGGGGCTGTTGACCCGTTTGTTTAATGAAGTGATTATATCTAGTGATGTTTTGTTTTTAAGGTTTTGTATTTTTTTCTAGAGACTGGAAGAGAGGGAGAGAAACATCAATTGGTTGTCTCTTATGCACCCCCCATCCGGGGACCTGGCTTGACCAGGAATCTAATCGGCAACTTTTCACTTTGCAGAAGGATGCCCAGCTTACTGGGCTGTACCAGTCAGGGGTGTCCAGTGATTCTTTAACCAGATTGAACCTTAGACTCTTTTTTTTGTTTTTTTAATTGAAAGGTACTTGATATATAAAAAATATTGGGAAAGGGTAATAGAACTTGATTCAAGGTATAAATATGTATTTACACCTTGGTTCAAAAAAAATCCCCAGCGTGTTTAAGTAGGACACTTCCAGATGACAGTGACATGAGGAGTTTTTTCATGAGCCAAGGAAAAATAAGTTTTAAAAATCTAAAACATGAACAGAAATGTCGAGAGGATAGGTGATTTTTAAACTTTTTGCTGTGTGAGTTATAGGATAAAGAAAACCAGCAGTCTTTAAATCTTAGCTATCATTAACTAAAGTGACAGTTTCTTATTCAAGTTCCTGTATTGATTGAGGAGCTTGATTTTTTTTCTTATTTATGTATTATGCTTATTCCTCTGTATGACAGAGCCAATTTACAAGGACAAAGGAAGAATTAGAAGCTGAGAAAAGAGACTTAATTAGGACCAATGAGAGACTGTCTCAAGAACTTGAATATGTAACAGGTATGAAGTGCTTTAGCCTCCAACTTTGCTCTCTTCCTTTTCTTCTAACGATGCTAGGAATTGATTCCCTGTCCAGGCCTGTGGTATTTAGTTATTATAGGTCAGAATACAGTTCAGGGTAATAGCCTATTGTTTCTCCCACTCACTTATCTTTAGATCATTATCAAAAATTAATAATACCAAGTTGGCAGTTTAAATGTTCGTTTATCGAGGCTGAACTTTAATTTATGTATGAACCTTTGCTAGTATAAACTGTCCACAACCATTCAATATAGGAACCTGAAATGAGAGCCTGTATTTAAAGACGTGCACTGAAGTAGTTAGGAGGCAGGGAAACAGTGTGTAAACATGTAGACCATAATATATAATGCAGTTGATATATTCAGGTGAACATGACTCTTACACAGTTTAATGGTATCAAGTTCCCTTTGGTTACTTTTTGTAAGAGTTTTAAAAAGTTCCGTTGCTGTTCAAGGAAAAACTTCTGGATGTTTATGTTATATAACATTTAACTAGGCTTTTCCAGTCTCAGGAAAAAGTTACTTCAAAGTGTTTGTTGATTATGATCAGCTGATGGGTAGATAAAAGTTAGTCGATTTTTATTTAATTTTATTTTTTCATAAAAACCTTGATGTAAGGAACATAAAGAAAAGTAAGCGTATATACGCTGATTGTTTTGAATGGAAGCTCTTTGTATATATATATTTCTTTTTTTTTCTTTTACTTAACAGGTAAGCTACTTGTGAAATTTTAACGGACTTTTCATTATATAACAGAAAAGTTAATGTTAGTTTTGTATATTTAACTTAAGATGCTACATTTAAATAAAATAACCAGTGTAATTTAAATTGTTGGTTGAGGGCAGTAACTTGGCTTCTTTATCATTTATTCAAAACAATTATAATTCAGTACGGCAGAAATAAATGAAAATAGAGGAGGAGTTGAGAACGACGTATTTTTCGGACCATAAGATGCACCTAGGTTTTAGAGGAGGAAAATAGGGAAAAAATTTTGAAGCAAGCAAAAAAATGTAAAATATTTAATAACAAATAACATAATATTTCACCTAGTAAATGTAAACAGAACTAAACAGCAGCATTAACAACCATCATTCCTTCCCAAATTTGGGAGAAGGGTGGAGGGGAAGGTGAGTCTTATAGTCCGAAAAATATGGGCACTTGCTTAGTATTAATTGTTTGTATCCCTAGATTTAATGCATTTTTGATGTTTAGTTCTTCTCAGCAATAAATAATTACTATTTTCAAATTCTCTTCTGACCTTTCTAGAGGATGTTAAACGTTTAACTGAGAAACTTAAAGAAAGCAATGCAACAAAGGGGGAACTTCAGTTAAAATTGGATGAACTTCAAGCTTCTGATGTTTCTGTCAAGGCAAGTTAACAATTCATAACACACAACATAAAATTTTTGCTTAAAATTCACCTAAATTAAATTTAGGCCAGTCATTTATAAGGTAATTAAAGCTGTGTTTTTGAATGTCAGGGAATTAAGGATTAAGGCAGTGTTAGTTGAACTGTTTTGTTTATGTGATATTTAAGTTTCTTCTTATCTGATTATGTTTTCTGTTAAGAATTCTTGCAGATTCTTATTTGTATTATAACATAAAATTCTGCCTATGTTCCTTGGTTGCAGAAAAAAAAATTTTAATAATGATGTATTATTCTTTACTGTAAATATAAATGCTATTTTTGGGGAATTTCTTTAGTATCGAGAAAAACGTTTGGAGCAAGAAAAGGAATTACTACAAAATCAAAATACGTGGCTGAATACAGAGTTAAAAACCAAAACTGATGAACTTCTGGCTCTTGGCAGAGAAAAAGGAAATGAGATTCTAGAGCTTAAATGTAACCTTGAAAACAAAAAAGAAGAGGTATGTTAGTAAAATTGTATCTTCATATTAGTTACAATTTATATTTGTGTGGCAATTTATTAAACAGTTACTTAGTGGCATGCAAGAGTAAGTGCAGGATTAAGGTCAAATATGGATGACATAACTCATAAACATTTTGCCCAGAAAATTAATCAGTTGCTTTTAAATAAAATTTGTGATATTCTTTGTTGAATTTTGGTAGTACTACTCTCTTATGGTATATCTTTTCTAAGATGTGTTTAAGAAGTGGTCATAGGTTTTTGTGAACTAAATCCAAACATGTTTGCTTGTGAGCTATTATTTTCATTTTCTCAAATATCCACATTTTATATGTAATGCTTTTTAGGGCGTGAGGAATTATTTTGTGCTTAGTTGGCAGCTAAACTTAATATCAAAGTAATTTCAGTTAATACAACAACATTCTCCCCTGTCTGACTCCACCTTTCGTTTCTAGGTTACTAGGATGGAAGAACAGATGAACAGCTTGAAAACATCAAATGAGAATCTGCAGAAGCACGTAGAGGATCTGTTGACCAAACTGAAAGAGGTACAGTGACCACTATAAACTGTCTGTCTTACAAAAATGCTACAGCAGTTACGAAAGTGTTATTTGATGAAGCTGCTTTACGGTTTGTACTGCTCCCCGCACTATAATATAGTCAGGACCCTTACCTTAATCCTATGTGAGAGTTACATGCTGTATCCAAAGTAATGTCTCAAAATGAGTGTCATTAATTCTAATATTATTTTAAGTATTTCATTTTTAGATAAAGATATCATTGCTATTTATCCTTAAAGTAATTCATCTTTATCATGAGAACTGATTTTAATTTAAGATTTTAATTTTATTTGTATATAGAAATGTTTTGTTTTGTTTTTTTATCTTGGTGTTTGAATCATTCTAAATTCAGTTCAAGTGTGTCTGCTGTAATGGGTTGGTTGGTTTGTTTCAGGCCAAGGAACAACAGGCCAGTATGGAAGAGAAGTTCCACAATGAATTAAATGCTCACATAAAACTCTCTAATCTATACAAGGTAGGAACCCTACCACACATTTTAGTGCCCTAATGTTACTTGGTTGCACCTTTTGCTAACTTTTTAAGGTCAAATTTTAGAGTGCTGCCGATGACTCCGAGGCAAAGAGCAATGAGCTGACCCGCGCAGTGGATGAACTACACAAGCTTTTGAAAGAAGCTGGAGAAGGTAACTCTTCAATTACAGGAAGATGATTTTGTTTTTAGGTAGAAGGTACTTTTTTCTTTACCTTTTTGTAGCTTGTTGGATTTAGAAGTTAGATTAACTACATAGGGACACAAATTTTAGTATAAAAGATTCTGGATTTGCAGAAAATAGTGTATTTAAAAATACAGTGTTTTTCTCTTTTGTTCAGCTAAGAAGCTTATGTATAATATAATTTTTAATAGTTTTTCTTCCATCTTTAAAATATTTTGATTAATACATGTGGGTTTATAGTTTGGGTACTCTCTTAATCCATAAGAAAGACTAACTTAAATTATAAGTAGTGTATTTTGAAGTCTTTGATTTTCTTTTCTTTCTAATATATTTTATTGATTATGCTATTATAGTTGGCCCATTTCCCCCCTTCATTTCCCTGCACACCCTCCCCCACCCACATCCTCCTTAGTTCATGTCCATGTGTCATACTTTTAAGTTCTTGGGTTCTACATTTCCCATACTATTCTTACCCTCCCCCTGTCTATTTTCTACCTACCGTCTATGCTACTTATTCTCTGTACCTTTTCCCCCTCTCTTCTCCTCCCACTCCCCTGTTGCTAACCCTCCATGTGTTCTCCATTTCTGTAGTTCTGTTCCTGTTTTAGTTGTTTGCTTTGTTTGTTTTTGTTTTAGGTATGGTTAACTATTGTGAGTTTGCTGTCATTTTACTGTACATGTTTTTTTGTTTTTGGTTTTGGGGGGTTTTTTGTACATTTTTTTTTTAATCTTCTTTTTCCTAGATAAGTCCCTTTAACATTTCATATAATGAGAGCTTGGTGATGATGAACTCCTTGAACTTGACTTTATCTGAGAAGCACTTTACCTGCCCTTCCATTCTAAATGAAAGCTTTGCTGGATAGAGCAATCTTGGATATAGGTTCTTGCCTTTTATGTCTTGGAATATTTCTTTCCAGCTCCTTCTTGCCTATAAGGTCTCTTGAGAAATCAGCTGACAGTCCTATGGGCACTCCTTTGTAGGTAACTCTCTCCTTTGTCTTGCTGCTTTTAAGATTATCTCCGTATCTTTAATCTTGGTTAATGTAATTATGATGTGCCTTGGTGTGTTCCTCCTTGGGTGGGTCCAACTTGTTTGGGACTCTGAGCTTCCTGGACTTCGTGGAAGTCTCTTTTCTTAACCAGAATGGGGAAGTTCTCCTTTATTACATTTTTACATAACTTTTCCACTTGTTGCGCCTCCTCTTCTCCTTCTGGTACCCCTATAATTCAGATGTTGGAATGTTTAAAAATGTCCTGGAGGTTCCTAAACCTCTCCTCATTTTTTTTATTCTTGTTTCTTTGTTCTTTTCTGATTGGATGTGTCTTTCTTCCTTCTGGTCCACTTTATTGATTTGAGTCCCAGTTTCCTTCCCATCACTATTGGTTCCCTGTACATTTTCCTTTATTTCACTTAGCATAGCCTTCATATTTTCATCTAATTTGCAGCCAAATTTAACCAATTCTTTGAGCATCCTGATTACCAGTGTTCTGAACTGTGCATCTGATAGGTTGGCTATGTCTTCATCGCTTAGTTGTTTGTTTTTCTGGAGCATTGATCTGATCTTTCCTTTGGGCCATTTTTCTTTGTCTTGACACGCCTGTTATGTAGTGAAGGGCAGAGCCTTAGGTGTTCACTGGGTAGAGCAACCTGCTTCACAGGGTTGTGATGCTGTGTGTGGGGGCGGGGTCCAAGAGGGAACAAAGGCACTTGCTAGGCTCTATGCCAGGTGTCACTTCCCCCATGTCACTTCCGCCACTTCCTGCAAGCGAATTGGGTCCTTCTGGTGCTGATTACCGAGTGGGTAGGTTTGTGTAAGTCCTGGGATCCTGTGGGTCTCTCCAGTGAACTCTCCTATGAGGCTGGGAGTCTCTCCTGACATCTCAACCCCCAAAGCTGTTTTCAGTCGGTGTTTTGAGGCTTTATTTCCCGGAGCTGGGACCCTGGGTCTGCCTCACTCCCCAGCTCTGCCTGGTTTATCTGCGCATGTTCGAATTAGGGACCGCCCAGCCTGCCAGCCGCCTTGCTTAGCCTTGCGTGCTGTGGCCCTCCACAATCCACCGCCTCACTGGGTCTGCCAGCCACCTCTTTGGGAGGCTGGGGTCCACCCACTGCGGCCTTGCCTTACGCACCCAGGGGCTGCGAGCCACTCTGCTTGGAGCCCTCTCCTTCCCAGCTGCCTGTCTCCGCCCCTCCTCCTGGTCTGTACGAATGTGTCTACTTTAACTCCTTGGTTGTGGAGTTCCACGCAGTTCAATTTTCTGTCGGTACTGGTTGTATTTTTGTTTTTAAATTGTCCTTATTTTAGTTGTATGAGGAGGCACAGTGTGTCTGATTTTCTTATATTTTCACTGTTTTTTTGAAATGTAACTTACTTATGTATGATCTTTTTCAGTTGTTCCCTATGCTTTAGACTAAAGATCAGATAAAATCAAAGAGATACTTAGAGGCACTTTTTTTACAATTTGAGTACCCTTAATTTCTCTATGGATAGGAGACATCAAAAGGAGAAATAGATTTGCCAGGCCAGGACATTCAGGATTTATAAATAAAACAAGAGTTTTCAGTGGATGATAACTGCAGTCTGTCTAAAATTTAGTATTGTCTGGTGGAGGGAAAAATAACTATTCTCTTACATTTCATAAGCTCTAGCATTTTAATTATATATTTCAATATTGTCTTTAAAAATGTTTTTAGCAAATAAAGCAATTCAAGATCATCTTCTAGAGGTAGAGGAATCTAAAGAACAAATGGAAAAAGAAATGCTTGAGAAATTAGGTAAATTGGAGAAGGAACTAGAGAATGCAAATGACCTGCTTTCTGCCACAAAACGTAAAGGTATGGATTAAGATGCTTATTAATGTCTGGAAATCCTAGCACTTCCTTACATGGGTCTCTCTCATGTAATTTTACTAATAGAATTTCTCTGTCATTTGTAATGTGGGAAACTCCACTGAGTTATAGCATTAGAATGTATTTGTAGTTTAAAAGTAGTATTCCATGCATATTTTTACTGTATTGTCAGAGAATAATATTATTTGGTCACATGTAATTATGTGTCAGTTTTCCAAATATTTTTAACTATATTTACTGCATGATTTTTAGAATTGAGTTGTGTTACATTACTCTTTGATGACATTTTTAGGTCTTTGCGGAAATTTACATGTAATGTACCATAGGTGTCACTTCTCATTTGAAAAACATATTAGTGCCTTTAGTTTGAAGTTTTACAAAATACAGTCGATTTCTCTGTGTTGGCACAGGAGCCATCCTGTCTGAAGAAGAGCTCACAGCCATGTCCCCCACTGCAGCAGCTGTAGCCAAGATCGTGAAGCCCGGCATGAAGCTGACTGAGGTGAGGGGGGTTCCATTCTGTTTTCCCTTCAGCAGAAGTGCTCAGCTCTCTCCGAAACTCAGTCCTAAGAAAAACTACTGTGAAAATTATCTGTACCGGAAATATATCATACTGGGAGAGACTTTCTTGGTTCCTAGTTCTGTGTAACATACAGAAAATATTTCCATCTTTTTAAGTGCTAATGAGTGTTCATTATGAAGATAGATAGAATATGTACACTTATATTCTTATGTCTGCATTTGAAACAAACCCTCTTCTGCTTTCAGTTGTATAATGCTTATGTGGAAGCTCAGGATCAGTTGCTCTTGGAGAAACTAGAGAACAAAAGAATTAATAAGTACTTAGATGAAATCGTAAAAGAAGTTGAAGCCAAAGCACCGATTTTGAAACGCCAGCGGGAGGAGTATGAACGGGCACAGAAAGCCGTGGCAAGTTTATCAGTTAAACTTGAACAAGCTATGAAGGTTAGTTCCATTCCTAAATTTGGGCTCTGGGAAAAATACATGTAAGAAACAGTGTTTAGACATGTTAAAGTTTGTCATTACATTATGAGAGAACTGTAATGACAAAATATTCTACCTTCATTTGGCTAGAATTGTGAGAACCTTCTATGTTTTCTAGGACATTTAGGACCGTTTCTGTCGGGTTCCATAGCAGATGGTAAATAGCCACTTCGGGTCTGTCTTTGTAATAGAATACTTCTAAATTTAGCACAGTCTTGTGTTGTCGAACATTGTGGTGCAAACTTGATCACTAACTCCGCATGATCCTGCCGAAGTGAGGGTGTTTGAGACAGGTTTGCTAAATGGTGGTGATAGAAATGTATTAGCCTCAGAAGCTACTGAGGTGCTCCATTCTATCCTAGTACAATGTAAAAAAAAAAAGCATGATACTTGTGTCTAGAAATGATAAAATTGTTTCACCTTAGGGAAGAACATTTTTATACCATTTGATAGTCTGGCAAATCTTCATATACATTATCTGTCTTTTAATTTTTTTAAACCCACGCTCAAGGATGTATCCAATGATTCCAGAGAGAGAAAGAGAAAAGCATTGATTCTAGAGGAACATCAGTGGGTTGCCACCTGAACGTGCCCCCAACCGGGAACCAAGCCTACAGTCTAGGCATGTGCCCTGACTGGGAATGGAACCCACAGCCTTCTGGTTTATGGGACGATGCTCCATCCAACGGAGCCACATTGGCCAGGCTATATATATTATTTTGTTACTGTTTCTTTACATGTCAGAACCATCAAGGAAATTCATAAATGTATTTTACCTTTTAAGATTGCTTTTTAATACATAATAATGAAAGCCCTGGCTGGTGTAGCTCAGTGGATTGAGCGCAGGCCTGTAAACCAAACAGTCGCGGTTCGATTCCCAGTCAGGGCACATACCCGAGGTTGCAGGCCGGTTCCCAGTAGGGGACACATGAAAGGCAACCATACATTGATGTTTCTCTCCCTCTCTCCTTTCCTTTCCCTCTAAAGATAAATAAATAAAATCTTTAAAAAAAATACAACATAGATTAAGTTTTATTAAAAAAATACATAATAATGAAATAAGAGTATAGTCTAGTAATTTTACATTTAGGGCACACCTATTACTATTACTGAGAAATCTTTAAGATTTATTAAATAAGGTTTTTTGAGGAAATGCAATTAAATCAGTTTGTATCTGCTATTCTCGACTGATCAATTTTCTTCATTCCTCCTTTTCTTTCGTTCCTCCTTCCCTCCCACCCACCCACCCTTCCTTTCCTAGTACAAATAAGTTGTATCCTTCACTCAGACTTAAACTTTTATTGCTATTACAATTTAAATAGCAGTTTAAATCGGGATATACCTAATTGTCTCCTGAATCAAATGACATCTACCAGTTTTGCTTCAACCAGAATATTGGCTTTTTGACACCCCTGTTCTTCATCTGGTTTGAAAAGGGATCCCTTAGATCTAACTAGAAGTTGAGTTTTTCCACTGCTGAGAGTGAGCATTTTGTCTGGAGCTTATAGTCTGAAGGGGATAGATGGTGAGACAGGGGGGCTTTGAGTCAGAAAAAAGTAGCTGTTAATTATGGGAAAAGCTGTTCTTCACCAGTGTTAGGTAAATCTGTCTGTAATGTGCCCCATGTGTTCTTCAGTCTAGACTCTGTGATGACTATTTGTTAGAGTTTTAGGGTTTTATAACCAATAACTTCCTTCCTCGACATCTTAATTAATCCCATTGTGAAATCAGTAGATTTGTATTATTGGAGTAGTTCATGAATGTTCACTTGTTTCATTTTGTCATATACTAGTTGTTTTTGAAATTGGTTTATACACACTGTTAGGGCAGTGCACTACTTAAAACACCAGGATAAATATGAGCCATATTTTACTTGAATAGTATTTTTAATTTTTTTATTTGCAAACAATACATTATAAAGCCAAATCTGTATGAATATAAAGTAACACATAATGTCTCAAAGGTATTTTGGGCATATATGAGGCTCCTTAAAACTGCCCCTAAACCCCTCCTAGTCCTGTGATGCAGAACTCGGCAGAGCACTACGTATGTCACTGCGTGTTTTGTTGTTCTTTTGTGTTTCTCGATAGCTTCGTAACATTTGCTACTGATTATTTAGAATTAATTCCTAATGTGTTTTTTACAAAATCAAGTTTTTTATGCATCTTACCCAACATTTTTTACTTAATTTGGTATTTATTTTCAGGTCACCAGAGTAATAAATTACCTTTGTAATATTGTCCTTTGTTTTTGTCTTAGTAACAAAACTTTTGAGATTATTTAATGTGGTGGCGTGGCTATAAGATTGTGACGGTTAATTTGGGGAAAGGGGCACATTGCCCATTGTTTTTATGTAGTGATGAACATTATAATGAGCAATTATCGAGATACTAAGAAATACATGTTTTCATATTGGGTTGGCCAAAAAAGTTTGTTCAGTTTTTTCCATAGGATGGCTCTGGTGGTGACTGTAACTTCGTTTGAAACAATTTTCTTAGACTGTACTGTGATAATAGTGTGCATTTTTTAAAAAAAGTAGCAAAACTGGTGAATTTTTGTGCAGCCATTTTAATATTAAAGATGGAAGAAAACATTTTTGGCATATTCTTTCATATTTCAAGAAAGGTAAAAACGCAGCTGAAACACAAGAAATGATTTGTGCAGTATATGGAAACTGTACTGTGATCAATGTGTCACACGTGATTGGCCCAGTTTTTTGGTGCTGTTGACACTGTGGCCTAGTTCTTTGCCGTGGCTGTCTGGCGCACTGGAAGATGTTTTTGTAGCACCCTGGCCTATGCTCACGAGAAGCCAATAGCAGGAGATAGCCGACATAATCATATATCCAAACCAATACGTTACTTGTGAAAATTAAAAATGTCTTTTATTTTATGGAAAAAACTAAGCAGACTTTTTGGCCAAACCAATAATTATAAAGAATTTCTCTTAGGGTCTGTTATATAGAATATATGTTATATTGAATGTTTTTAGTTTGTAAGTTGATTACTATGGTACTTGAGCACTGTATATTTTTGTTGCTCATTTACTGCTTCATTTATCTCATAAGGAAATACAGAACGTTAACTTGAATTCACATTTTATAGGAGATTCAGCGATTGCAGGAGGACACTGATAAAGCCAACAAACATTCTTCTGTCCTTGAAAGAGACAATCAGAGAATGGAAATCCAAATAAAAGATCTTTCACAACAGGTTAGAATTTTTTCCTTTCCTACTTTCTTTTCCCCTAAACTGATGGCCCAATAATACTTGAATCTGTGTCCAGGTATCTAAGAGAGAATTGCCACATGCGAAATTTTCATCAGTTAGGAATACTACTGTATCAGAATTGCACCCTAGTCATTGATCTTCCATAGCCCCCTTTTTTTCTTTTAAGTTTTTGGTAAATTTTCAGATTATAAGTACTCATTGTAATAAATGAAACAATTCAGAGATAAATATAATTTCTTTCCCCCTGCCCATGTCCCAGGGTATAACCAGATAACAGACTTCTATATATCTTTCATGTCACTCTTTTTATATTGTAAACACGTGAGTAAATATAAACATGTGAGTTTTCTGTGTTTTTACTGATGCAAAACTATGCCATATTCATTTCTGTGCTACATTTTTTTTCTAAGTGAACTACTCAGGAAATGTAGACCTACTTTGGTCATAAATTTTACCCTAATTTTTTTGTTTGTGAGTCTATACACACAAACACAACACTAAGTTTTTTTCTAAATGGATTTAAGTCTATTTTCACTCTCTCCTTCATTAGACAGTACGTGCATAAGGACGCGAGTGCTAGCATAGTTGTACACACAATGAGTGTATGTGTTTCTGTATATTGCATCATTGTTTTACAGAAATTGAATAATGCTTCTGGAATTGTCATGTGGCTGCTTTGTAAAAGTAACAGCCTTCATTACATACTTGATAGAAATAAAAATTTTGTCACTAAACATTTTTAGGTTTTAATATTTAAAATGATATGCTTGATATTTTGCCTTTTAAGATAACGTAATACAAGTTGATGGTGTTTCTAAAGTAATATTTTTATTTGAAAATTTTTCTTCCAAACATTTCCAGAATCAAAGCCAATGCTCTTCGATATTTGATGATATTAACCCTTTCTTTTCAGATTAGAGTGCTTCTGATGGAACTTGAGGAAGCGAGGGGCAACCATGTAATTCGTGATGAGGAAGTAAGCTCTGCCGATATAAGCAGTTCATCTGAAGTAATATCCCAGCACCTAGTGTCTTACAGAAATATCGAAGAACTTCAGCAGCAAAATCAGCGTCTGTTAGTGGCTCTTAGGGAACTTGGAGAGACCAGAGAAAGAGAAGAACAAGAAACAACTTCATCCAAGTAAGTTACGGACTACCTTGCTTAGTTCAGCAAACATTCATTGAAAACTTCCGGCGTGTCCCCTAGCAGTGCCGGACTGGGAATATAGTGATTTAGGAGAGAGAAAGAAGGTGAGCAACAATGCCAAGAAAAAAATTTCAGGGAACTCAGTTTGTGGATGAGCTTGATAATTAGGTAAGTAAGTCGGTAGTTTTAGTTCAGTATGATCAGTGTATAATAGATAAAAACCTACTCGAGCGAGCTTTGAGGCGGAGGACCTAGCCTAGATTGTAGAGAACACACCAGACTTCCTAGAGAAGGTATGTGGGAATTACTCAAGCAAAGTGTTGTTTTGTTTTGTGTTTTTTTAGTGTGTTTGGTGCTAAGGGAGGAGTGGCTATGAAAGCAAAACTTCTGGAGTTTAGCCTGAGTAGAATTGGTTTAATTTTTGCAAACAGATTTTTCAGATGACAGTGATGAGTGTTTGAGTCCTTTATGGTGGGGCTTTAAAAGTGGTTATTACAATGTTAGTAGAAGAAAGAAAGGATAAGAGAGAAAAATAGGATACTTAATGATAGATGGTAAAAATGCTTGGTCTGTGTTACACAGTAGAAATGACAACTGCCTCTCAATGTCAGTGAGATGGATTTAGGATTTTTTTTTGTAGGATTACTGAGCTTCAGCTTAAACTCGAGAGCGCGCTTACTGAATTGGAACAACTCCGTGGGTCCCGACAGCATCAGATGCAGCTCGTTGACTCCATAGTTCGTCAGCGTGACATGTACCGTATTTTGTTGTCACAGACAACAGGAGTTGTCATTCCTTTACAAGGTAGGTTTCTATGTTGTATCTTAATAGTATCCAAGTATTTGGGGCCGTTTTCCTGAAATGGATATTAGGGACCATTCCATTTTTTTTGCAACATAAGCAACATGCACTCTATTTAACTAACCAGCATATGTGATTGGTCATAACAGCTCTTCAATCCTAAAGCGTACTATTGTTTAGTTGTCATTAAGGAAGCAGAAATGCTGACCATTGTTGAAATGTGTGCATCTTAAAAGTCAATGAATTATATATTTTTGGTCATGTTTTAACATTTAATCTGCAAATTTATCTAATCAGAAACCAAAAATAATTTTAGTAGGTTATTTAGTAGATTCTTTGTTTAATAATTTCTGTAAACTATGGTCCCTCAGTAAGTCTAGTTTGTTGATTTTGGTAAGGATATATTTGCAGAAGAATATTATATCTTTTCCCCCCCACACACACATTTCTGAAGCTTCAAGCTTGGACGATATTTCACTCATCTCAACACCAAAACGTTCAAGTACGTCACAGACGGCTTCCACTCCTACGTCAGTACCTGTCATCGAGTCAGCAGAGGCCATAGAAGCCAAGGCTGCCCTGAAACAGGTGAAGGTCCCACCTTTACACCTTCGTCTGGGGTTGGGTTTTTTGGTAACACAGTGTCATCTTCTAATAATCTCTCTACTATTTAGTTGCAGGAAATTTTCGAGAACTACAAAAAGGAAAAGGCAGATAATGAAAAACTACAGAATGAGCAACTTGAGAAACTTCAGGAGCAAGTCACTGATCTGCGATCGCAAAACACCAAAATATCTACACAGCTGGATTTTGCTTCTAAGCGGTAAGTTTTCATTTGTCCATGTTCTAAAATTGGAATGACGCAGAGAAGATCAGCGTGGTCCCTGCACGAGGATGACTTCAGATTTGCAAAGCATTCCATGTTTTTTGACTCCAGGTGTGGACATGCCGTTCAATACGCAGGTGATGTATCAGAATTGTACACTTGAAACCTATGTAGTTTTATTAGCCAATATCATCTCAGTAAATTTCATGTTAAAAAAGAGATCACATTTAGATTATCAAAAAAAATTGATGAAGTCCAAATGGCATACTTCAGTACTCAGTGAATCAAAATCAGGGGTTAATTTGCAATAGTATTCCTTTTTTGTGAACCATAATCCAGATGAGAAACTATGGGGGTTCTATTTTAATACTGGTTAATGATTGCCTTGGGCCATTGCTGAGCAATCCAGATAGTTATTTAAAACTGAAGTTTATGTGAGAAATGTTGTTAGAATTCCTTCCTGACAGTGAAGGGCTTATGGTTTCTGTAGGACATAATTATTTCATAAATGCACCAGAAGATAAGCACGATGTGAAAAATTTCATTCAGCCCTTTTCTATTTTAGGTAGAAGACACACAGGTCTTTTAGATAGTTAATTTTGGGACAATGCACTTTGTTGGTCACTTACAAAGGAGTAATAGTAAACTTCATTCCCTAGTTGTTGTTAGATCCATTGGATACTTGTTAGCTTAATAAGTAGGGCAAATTTTATTTCTGTGAATACAGCCACGGCCCTGGAGGTATCACAGGTTTAGTTCCAGGCTCCTGCAATGAAATGGATATCACAATAAAGCGAGTCACACGAATTGTTTAGTTTCCCGGTGCATAAAAAAGCTGCGTTTGCACTCTACTATAGTGTGTTAAGTGGGCATTGTCTAAAACATAATGTATGTACCTTAATTTCAAAATGATTTATTGTTTTAAAATGCTAACTATCATCTGAGCCTAAGTCATGATCTTTTTGATGGAGGAGGGTCTTGCCTTGGTGTTTATAAAAACGCAGTATCTGTAGCCCTGGCTGGTGTGGCTCAGTGGATTGAGTGCCAGCCTGTGAACCACAGGGTTGCCAGTTCAGTTCCCAGTCAGGGTACATGCCTGGGTTGCAGGCCAGGTCCCCAGTTTGAGGCATGTGAGGGGCAACCACGCATTCATGTTTCTCCCTTTCTTTCTCTCTCCTTTCCCTCTCTCTAGAAATAAATAAAAAATATATATCTATATATGTGTATATTTTAAAGATTTTATTTATTTATCTTTAGAGGGAAAGGGAAGGAGAGAGGGAGAGAAACATCAATGTATGGTTGCCTTTCATGCGTCCCCTGCTGGGAATTGGCCTGCAGGAAACTGGTCCGCAACCCAGGAATGTGCCTTGACCGGGAATCGAACCGCAATTATCTGGTTCGCAGGCCCGTGCTCAATCCACTGAGCTACACCAACCAGGGCTAAATATATATATTTTTAAATGCAATATCTACTAAGCGCCGTGAAACAAGGTTTGCTGTACTACATGTTTTTGTAAGGATGTGGCAGGCAGTTAACCTCTATAATATAATTTCAGGTTTGATATTCAAAATAAAAGCATCCTTTTCCCCCTACGTTCATAGTTCTAGCCAGCCATTTGCTAAGATTTCAAGCACATAAGAAAACAAGATGAAGTGTTATAGTGGAAAATAGAAAGGCAAAAATCTGTTACTAATTGCATAAATGTCTAAAATTGGATACTGCATTTTGGTGTCTAGTGTATCAACATTGTATTGACATTTTCAATATGGTTAAAATTCTTATAAATGAACAAGATTAAAAAAGTTAATTCAGCTTGAAATATTGTGCTTAGAGTTTAAATTGCTAACTTTGAAGTTAAGAAAAAAATACATGTTACAAAGCCACTTTTTAAAATATACTTTTTAAAACTAAGCTAATGTGAAATTCTTTAAGGAACTAAAATAGGATGTAGTGTCTCACAGAATTATCTGTCTTTCCTATAAGGTATGAAATGCTACAAGATAATGTTGAAGGATACCGCCGAGAAATAACATCCCTACAGGAGAGAAACCAGAAGCTCACTGCAACGACTCAGAAGCAGGAACAGATCATCAACACAATGACACAAGACTTAAGAGGAGCGAACGAAAAGCTGGCTGTTGCAGAAGTAAGACCAATTTCTCTCATCTGACTTGCCTTATAAATTGCATTTGTCATTCGATTTTTTAGCTATTTGACTTTACTGGTTGGTATGACAGAATTGAGAGGTTTGTGCAAGTTTCTGTTACATAGTTTCCAAATATAGTTGGCCCTTGATTAAGGTTTGAACTGCACAGGCCACTTACCCATGCATCTGCTTGTAAGTGAACCCAGTACAAGTAAACCTGCACAGTTCAAGCCCATGTTGTTCAAGGGTCAACAGTAGTTAGGTCCAAGATTGGAAATCTGTATGTGGAGGGCCAACCTCCCTTTGTGGCTGATCGATGGCTGATCGAGTCCCAGATTGCTACATTGTTGAAGGGGCAGCTGTATCCAGTTGTGTATCAGCTGGGTCACTGTTTCTGTTCAAACTGAAGGAGAAGTTTCATTTCCTTACAAGTCTTCCATTTCAGAATAAATCTGTAAATCACTCTTTCCATAGTTGTAACAAAGACAAGTGAATATTTTTCTTGCTTATTTATAGTAAGAGACGATTAAAAGTTTCATTAGCATTGGCTTATATTTCTGAATTTCACCATGAATATAAATGTCTTGCTTGAAGACATTGACATTACTTTCAACTACATACTGAATTCTTTGATGACTAATTTTTCTGAAGTGTTTTGCTTTTTTATTAAGTTATCTCTCAACTTTTGTCGAACTAGGTGAAGTTGTCCCCCATTTTACTTGTTGAAAAACAGACTCAAGAGCTAAGTAATTTGCCTATTTTGGCACAATTATGCAATATGAGTTGGTTGGGACTTAAACCTAAGGTTTTCTGAATCTGTTGGCTATGTTCTTTTATTTTTATCTTGCTCCCATTTCTTTCTGGGGAGTGCATTTTTTTCAAAATGATGGTTTGATAATTGATAGTTTATGACTTATGTAAATATGAATACTTTGAGGATATTGATCTTCAGATCACCCTCCCAGATGCCCTGAGACTCGGAGTCTATTCTTAATGGGGGACAGAAAAGTTAAAGTGCATTAGTCAGCACTCTTTAGGAGTGACCATGCCGCCTTACACAACTCGCATAGTTTAATAGCATGCAAGTGTGACTGTAGCATAATTTTGCAGTTTTTTCTCTTACTCTGACATTTTAGATTTTACACTGTTTTAGAGCAAAGAAATTGGAACTGTTTGTGGTAAAAGCAAGATTTTTCTCTTTTGATCTACTGGTGTTTCCATTTATCTTTGCTTATTTCAACACATGTAACTAAGTTCTATTTTCTTATATATACACAGAGACAGTCTCTAATTAGCAGTAAGGAATGTGGAATGATGAAGGAGCATATTAAATTTATAATTGTATTACTGCAGTTGACACATTGTTTTCCAATATTTTTTTCATTTGTAATTTCCTCAAGGTAAGAGCAGAAAATTTGAAAAAGGAAAAGGAAATGCTGAAGTTGTCAGAAGTTCGTCTTTCTCAGCAAAGAGAGTCTTTGTTAGCTGAACAAAGAGGGCAAAACTTACTGCTAACTAATCTGCAGACAATTCAGGTAACTAAATAAAAAGGCACATACAGAAACAGTTTAAATAGCTTTAACATTATATCTTCTTACTTATCTTAATTAATTAGAAAATTTATCTCATTTTTGTCATGTATTATGATGATCATGGAATTTTGATGTTTACTAAGATGTGTCAGTATTCTAAATAACATATTGGAAAAGACCTGAAATTCATGCAGTTGGCAGTTTTGATCTTCAGGTTTCTCTGTATTTAAAGAGCGCTGTGCAATTGAATTGCTTACAAGATTAAATTTGTGGTGTTTGTTTTTTGCTTTAAAACTTGAAGAAATCTGAATGACTATTGTAATATGGTTTTTCCCTATTTAATAGATATTTTAGTATTTAAATGTCAAACTAACTTTCTTAGTGTCACAGATCTTAATGTAGAAATGAGTTGTGATTCTATAATTCCCTATATCCTTTAATCTGTATTGCTTTTTTGACCTTTTTCTTAAGCGTAACCAAATTTTTTTTTTTTTTTTTACTGTAGGGAATACTGGAGCGATCTGAAACAGAAACCAAACAAAGGCTCAGTAACCAGATAGAAAAATTGGAACATGAGATATCTCACCTAAAAAAGAAGTTGGAGAACGAGGTGGAACAAAGGCACACGCTCACTAGAAACCTAGATGTGAGTGTCAGGATCCGACGAAGTCTGTAGGGTTATAGGTCAGCAGTCAGTTGGGTGTGGACACACTGCTGTCTTATGTTTTGATGAGACTTCTTACAAACTCAAGTTTTTCTTGCCTTTTTATATGCCTGATAATTTTTATTGGGTGCCATACATTGGGAGGTTTCTCTTCTGGGATGATGGATATTTTTGTATTCCTGAAAACCTTGAATTTTATTCTGGGACATGGGAAAGTTACTTAAAAGTAGTTTGATTCTTTTGAGTGTTACTTTTTAGGATTTATTGGGCAGGCCCAAAGCAGTGCTCACTCTTGAACAAATTATTCTCCATTACTTTTAGGAGTTTAGAGCTTCCTGAGTACTGGTCCCTAGTGTTCAGTGGATTATGAGTTTTTTCAGTTGGGCTACTGGGGACAGGCATTGTTCCTGCCTCTCTGTGCACACCAGATACCCTTCACTCCACTCTCTCCATATGATGCTTTACCTTGTCTGGGGTAGTTTCGCATACATGAACTGATCAGTTTTGCTCTATATTCAAGAGGGATTCTCTGCAAATCACCAGGGTATTCTTATCTGTGTGGCTTTCTCTCTCTAATAGCATATCTTATGTATTAGAGCTAGTTTCTAATTTAGCCTTCTTGCACTCTCAGTTGTGTCTCCTCAGTTCGCGTGGTTTGCTGGCCTCTGCCTTATTTCCCTTTCCCTGTGCCGTAGCCTGTGACACTCTTTTAAGTCAGTAAGCTAGGGAAGTTGTACAGACAGCCTTTTTTGTATCCTGTCAACCCGTACTTGTAAAACTGTTTTATACGGTGTATCCATTTTTGTTTGTGATTTTTGTTTGTGTGTTTGTTTCTTTAGCGGGGAGAGATGGTTTCAGATGGGAAGGTAAATCTGGTTTCTCTTATTCTATCTTGGCAAGAGTTTTAAAAACCTATAAAAAGATGGACTTGAACTTTGAATTACTGAAGAATCTAAAAACAGTATTTGTAGGGTTAATGTATTTTTTCTTATAGGTTCAACTTTTAGATACAAAGAGGCAGCTGGATACTGAGACAAATCTTCATAATAACACAAAAGAACTATTAAAAAATGCTCAAAAGGAAATTGCAACATTGAAACAGCACCTCAGTAATATGGAAGCCCAGCTTGCTTCGCAGTCCTCACAGAGAACCGGTAAAGGTAAATACGTGATTAGACTGGTGGTAATGTGTTTCTTTAGAAACATTTGTAACATCTGTCAATAAATAACCGGTGGGTACCAGCAAAGGGAATAAGAAACACTTCGTGTACTAAAGGCATGATGAGTAGAGCTTCAGACTTGGAAGGTTCAGAGTGGTTCTGCAGGCATCTGACCAGGGTGTGCTCTCGGCTTTCTGGTTGGTGAAACCGTTTATTGACACTTGAAAAACAGTTCTGAAGACTAATGTTTGAATTTTAAACTCCCACTTTTGTGATATGGTACTTGTTAAATATATAACAATAAGGCTCGTTTACAAAATAATTGATTTTTTTGCTGTCATTTGGAGCAGTCTTCCTGAGTGTTGCTCATTGATAGCCTCAGGTAAAAGATTGCTTTGATTAGAGTTTGTTTCTTTTTGGGAATATACCATCTTAAATGCAAAGCTTTTGTGTCCATATAATCTTTCTATATGTTGTTATTTCTTACTAAAAATTTAGTCAAACATGATAAAATAAAATAAAAATATCAAACATGATAAAATTGCATGTGTGTGTATTTATATGTATATGTGTATGCATAGATACATAGATGTATGTAGTGTATGAATGATTACCTTAAAGTCCTCTCTTATTGATGATACCATTTAATAAGAAATACTTCAAGTGCAATATTTCCCTTTTCCAAGGATTTTAGAGCGTAAATTGGGCTAAGTGATTAAGATTTGCTGTTTTAGAGTAAGCAATGTTTAAATAATAAATATTCTGGTAATTCCCTCAACACCTCCTCAGATTAGTGGAAATATTTTATAGTTTTCTCTTTGAAATATCCTTACGATCCATCACAGAGGATTTCAAATATTTGACTTTTTTTAAAAGATACAGCATACTGACAAAATAGCTATTTTTATTTTGGTATTCAGCATAGGTTGAAATATAGTTCCTAGGTAGTGAAGTGCTTGTACATTCGAGCCTTAGTCCCAGTTTTCCAAACTCTTTGATAACACTTATCTCTTAGATCATTTAGAATATGATGTTACGAATGTCAAACCTCTTAGGTCAGCCCAGCAGCAAAGAAGATGTGGATGATCTTCTGAGTCAGCTACGGCAGATGGAGGAGCAGGTGAACGACTTGAAGGAGAGGCTCAAAACCAGCACCAGCAACGTGGAGCAGTATCGCGCAATGGTGACCAGTTTAGAGGAATCCCTTAACAAGGAAAAACAGGTACACACGATTTGAATTAAGTATGAATGCACTTGTTAACATTTTCTTTTCATTAGGAGTCTGCTGTGTGTAAGGCACGGTGGTTAGGGTGAGTTGAGCTGATGTCATTCCGCTTAACCTCTCAAAAAGTGCTTGAGTGTAATCAGTGAGATTAAAACAGCCCACAAAATTCATAAAACAAGGGAGGGTATAAACGCTATAGGAAAGGTACAGATCAGATGTTGATGTGAGTGGGGGTGTTTGTCTCCTGACCAGGTACAATGTCATAAAAGAGATGGCATTTTTGTACAGTCTTGGAAGTATCATTTGGATAGTCAGAGAAAGTTACCGGGTAGCAGGAACCGTCTGCCAGGACAGGAAGGCTTCCAGAGGGTAACAGTTCGGCTAGTGTGAAGTACTGAGCAATGTAATCAAAAGTGTAGTCCAGAACCAAATGTGAAATGTTTTGAATGTCCTCTTTTGTAAAATGATTAAATGACTCCCCCCCAACATATTGTAGGTATAATTTGTTTTAATTAGCAAGATCAATATAGTAGATTGAAGAATATAAAATTCATTTTGGGAGGCCATAGCAGTAGTCTAGGGCCACAGTTTTAAAAGATCCTTTGTGGTTGGCATCATGGAAATCAGAATATGTGGGGGTAGGGGAATCCTTTCACTCGTACAAAGGACAAATTTGGCAAGTGGTTATACAGACTGAGGGAGAAATGAGAATTGGAAATTTCCCTTCAAAAGGAAAAAATGGCCAATAGCCAAGTTGAGAGGTAAATTATGCTCATAGTTTTAAGCTCTTTAATCAGCTATGGATGAATTTTTTAAAAGACAAACAATGTTAGTACTTTTCAAATTTAGTTTAGATTTGGAGAAAGTAGTGTTTTATTTTAAATGTGTATAATATGTGTATCCTACTGTTGGGGTGGTGGTGAAGGTGACAGAGGAAGTCCGTAAGAATATTGAAGTTCGTCTGAAAGAGTCGGCTGAGTTTCAGACTCAGTTGGAAAAGAAGTTGATGGAAGTGGAGAAGGAAAAACAGGAGCTTCAAGACGACAAGAGAAAAGCCATAGAGAGTATGGAACAGCAGGTAAAATATATCACTAACCATGTAAATCTTTCTGTGTGTATGGATTTGAATTCTTTTAAATAGCACATTAGTTACCATTTTATTCATCTCAGCAGATACTGATTGAACCCAAACCCAACAACTTTAGTTTTATGGTTTACATTGCTCTGGAAATCTATTCAAGTTTCCTTTGATTATTTTAAAGTACATTACAGTGTAGGTCCCTGTGCTGCTTTTTGGAAGCCTTTGTAAGTATAGTAGGGAGGGAGTATGGAGCTGTAAGTTTGCAGATTATATCAGGTATTAACTATCTTAAGTTACTTGTAAGAAGGCCCAATTGGGCTTTAAAAAAATACCTGTCCTTCAGTATCTTAAAAGTAAGTTTATAATTAACTGTGACTTTAATCTTGTTCTTTCAATTCAGTTGTCTGAATTAAAGAAAACACTCAATAGTGTCCAGAACGAAGTACAAGAAGCTCTTCAGAGAGCAAGCACAGCTTTGAGCAACGAACAGCAAGCCAGACGTGACTGTCAGGAGCAAGTAAGTGTCACTGACTCTTAGCCATGCTGACAGACGAGCTTTGGGCCTAGGGAGCAGTTCTTGGGGCCAGTTTGGGGATTGGTGAGCCTTAAAAATACAAGGTCATTTCCACTCTTGTGGAACTTAGACTAAGATCAGTTGAAAAGTGTAGAGGAAGGCTAAACATAAATAATCGTTAACAAAACAGTCTTGATACATGGGGGTGAAATACAAAGGTAGGAGTAGGACATTAAATGTGTACTTGCTCTCATTTGCAAACTTTTTTATTACTGCAGCCCACTAGTTCTGATTGTGAAACTGTGCTATAGGCGAGATAGAGATAACTTCCTCCTCAAAACATTTTTAGTACATTACTGAGGTTAGAGTTTTATATACCACTTTTTATGAAGCTTAAAGAATATAGAATGAAATTATTTAAGTATATGTACACACATGCTTATGTGGTAAAGCTTTTTATATTTTTAATGAATAAAAAATAATAAAACACAGTTCAGGAGATTATTAAAATGGTAGTGTGGGAAATATCTAAGATTATCACTGATGTTCTCATTTTTTATTTCAGTGGTATGTTAATAAGCCAGTTATTTGGTCTCATCTTTATTGCTTACATATTCATAACATGTATGTGTATCACAGTTGCTTTATAAATGGGGTGCAGGGGAACATGCTTGAGATGTAAAGGAGAGAAAAGGAATTGTCCTTTTCTTATTGCCAAACAGCATAACAGTGGGAATTAAAATCAGAGAATGTATCTATAATTCAGTTTTCAAATTATTTTCATTTCTTCTAAGTTTTTGCATGTGTATTCATGTATTTTTCATATGTGAGTTATATTTAGCTTTTATTTGATAAAATCTGTCCCAGATTGCTACATAGTCTTTATAAGTTTCATTTGAGCCAGTTCTTCTCATTAAATAGATAATGGCATGACTTTAATTATTTTATTTTGGTGCATTATTATTGTCCCCACTTTTATTATTTTACATAATGCGATGTGTACTTTTCTTGTGCTGAGTAAATCGGGGTTTTTATTTATTCGTGTGTGGGGGGATGATTTCTTGCAGGCTAAGATAGCGGTGGAAGCCCAGAATAAGTACGAGAGAGAGCTGATGCTGCACGCCGCGGACGTCGAAGCTCTGCAGGCTGCCAAGGAGCAGGTTTCCAAAATGGCATCTGTCCGCCAGCATCTGGAAGAAACCGCCCAGAAGGCAGAGTCACAGTTGTTGGAAAGTAAAGCATCTTGGGAGGAAAGAGAGAGAATGTTAAAGGTATTATCGTACATCATCACAGAATGTTTTGGAGAATTGAAAGTTTGGGGTTTTCTTTTTAATATGCATGGGGAAATCTGCAGTTATGACAAAGTCTTGACTTACAGGATGAAGTGTCCAAGTTTATGTCTCGCTGTGAAGACCTAGAGAAACAGAATAGATTACTGCATGACCAGATTGAAAAACTAAGTGACAAGGTTGTCGCCTCTGTGAAGGAAGGTATACAAGGCCCATTGAATGTATCTTTCAGTGAAGAAGGAAAATCGCAAGAACAAATTTTAGAAATCCTCAGGTAAATGCAATATATTCCTAATGCTTTGTTTCTGTGGTGTGACAACTGTGAAGTGTTAACAGATGTATACATTAGAGAGGCGGGGGCTATGTGCTATTTATTGTGTAAAGCTCATACTGTTACTGGCCAACAGACCCACTGCCGTCCACGTGGTGGTCACTTTTGACATTTAGACATGCCAGTTTAAATAAATGGCTTTAAGTTGAGTTTGGTAGTAAGAACTTGAGTGGGTTCTTTGAAAAACTAAATGCCTTTTGGATCATTTTAAAGATACACAATTCCAAAGCCACCATCTATAATAAATATGCCTCTCATTATTTATTAATGAGAACATTATGTAGAAGTAGTTATTAAAGTGTGAATGGATCTTGTCCTAAAATTACCCAAGTTTTGAAATGTCATTTTTTATTCAAATAAAATCTTAATACATTCTTATAGATTTATACGACGAGAAAAAGAAATTGCTGAAACAAGGTTTGAGGTGGCTCAGGTGGAGAGTCTGCGTTACCGACAGAGGGTCGAACTGTTAGAGAGGGAGCTGCAGGAACTGCAGGACAGTCTGAACGCCGAGAGGGAGAAGGTCCAGGTATGTGTCCGAGATGTAAGGCAGCAGCTGTTAAAGCAAGTGAAAAGGTCATTGTCGTTTCTGGTAACGTAAAATTTAACTAGAAATGAGCAGTCTTCCTGAACTCATCAATTCGTTGGACGTTATTAAACACCGATACAGTTTGTGTTAGTGTTAAGAGGCTAGTGGTAATGAGATTGTGTGGTTTTAGATTCTAGCTTCGTATCATTAGATGTGTGCCTCGGGTATATTGTTTAACTTCCCCTCTCTATTGTAAAATTGGGGTGATGATAATAATTAGGATTAAGCGAGTTAGTACTCGTGAAACATTTAGAATCATGTCTGGTACATAATAAGTGCTTACACTTTCGTAATCTTAATTGTTATAGTTGTCATTATATATGGGTATTCAAGGATTAGTGGGTAGAGACTGCTATAGAATATTTCTTCTCAGCAAAAGAGCAAAAAAATTGTAATAACTGTCAACCAAAGAAAGAAAGAGAACATGCTAGAATGAGTGAATGGTCTCAAGAAAAGCTCAACTCTTTAACCCTCACTAACGCCCAAAAACTTAGGGCATGACCTCATTCTGAGGAGCGACAGTAAAAAAACCCACGTCTGGAAGGGAGGCAATTAAGACATTGAATCACTTCTCTGTTTTTAACTGATATGTAGTTGGAATGACTGCTAGACAGAAAACATTGAAACAGGAAAGTGAACAGTTAGATTTTTAGAATATTTGTTTTCATAAAGAAATGAAAAGTTCCAGAATTACATCATGTTGAGAAAGTAATCCAACTTCAGATATATCCCATCATAGATACAATAAACAAATCCTCTATTTCATTTGGAGGAAAAGCAACAGAATCAGGGTTATTAACAAAGATTACGTATTCTCAATCTCTTCTGCTTCCTTTGTTGTTCTTTTGAGTTATAGGAAGACAAATAATACTAGAAGATTCCCAGCCCACAAACAAGTTCATAGGGGAAAAAATCAGCTCTTAACAGACAGTGAAATAAGGTCAAGAAGTAACACATATGTCAGAAATAACAGAACATTTATCCACTATGAACACTGTAGGATGGTAACCATGAGCCATGGCTTTGGAAAATGGCTAGGGATACTAAGTGCGTGTGTAGAAGGTGGATAATTACACTCAGAACCAGAAAAAAGTTCTTTACAATTGAACAAATACTCAGGAAAGGTGCTCGCAGCCAAACTGATGAAACAACTCAATGAAATGAGAAGGATTTTCTGAACAAGGGTTGGAGGAAGACAAAAATAATGTGTTAGAATTATTAATAAATTCAGTACACAGAGAAAAAGAGTTGATATAGAAAGACAGAGATCTGGATTGCTGTTTTTACCTAATGGTAGGATGGGTTATTTGTTGGTGGGGCTTGGAGTATATTTTCACTTTCATGTTTGTGATTTCTTGCATTTGTTTAAACTCGTAATTAGCAAGCAGCACAGAAAAATAAACATGTAAAACTTTCAAAATTTTAGTTTTAGAAGTTGACATTTAAATTCTTCAGGAAAGATAAGAACTGGTAGGAAAAGCTAGGTCTTCACCTATTGTTAGATATTGGTATATACCTGTGTTTCAAATCTTTAGGTAACTGCAAAAACAATGGCCCAGCATGAAGAACTGATGAAGAAAACCGAAACAATGAACATCGTTATGGAGACCAATAAGATGCTAAGGGAAGAAAAGGAGAGGCTGGAACAGGAGCTACAACAGATGCAAGCGAAGGTTTGTAACTCACTAGTCAAGAGGATAAGCATGTTATTTTTATTAAAATTACAAGGATTTATACATCAGGTGTTAAAAACAAATCGGTGTTGTTTTAGGTGAGGAAACTGGAGTTAGATATTTTACCTCTACAAGAAGCAAACGCTGAGCTGAGTGAGAAGAGTGGAATGTTGCAGGCAGAGAAGAAGCTGTTGGAAGAAGATGTCAAGCGCTGGAAGGCCCGTAATCAGGTAAGTACAGTTAAACCCATTCTGAACACGGAAACACGTTTTTCTTTTAAATAGGATGAAATTTAAGGGGTAAATGATTTGAAGAACTGGTGAAAATAACTTGTAACATGAAAGTCTAATATGTTACATGTATGTGCAACTTAGTTTTCTAAATTTTTGGTCATATTTTGCTTTGTATAAGCAGCTAGTTAATGTCTTTTCATTACAAATTTAGGGTTTTACTTTTTTATCTCTGAAATACTTTTGTACATGAAAAGTGGGTTTATATAGTTTATCAAAGCACTTTGAGAAGATTTGTTCACTGGAAACCTTTTTGGGGGGGGCAAAACCATCTTGCAGAGTGCGGTTAGCAACTCCAGCTCTGTACTCAGTCCGAAGGGTGAAACCCTGCCTTGCCATGCGGGACTCGTGGGACTTCCTTAATCTTCTGGGCCAGTTTTCCTCATTGCTGAAAATGAGGGTGTAATACTTATTACTTTTCATGTTACAAAAATTAATAAATGCAAAGCAGGTCACCCATCACCTGCTACCTAGAAAAATGCTCTCAGTGTTACCTGAGTAGGACTGTAGAATTTAAGAGCCCATTTAATCTTTTCTGTTAAACTTTTCTGCCTTTCCTAGCAGATGTTTAGGATTTTCTTTTTTTTTTTCTACATTACAATATATTAGAAACATTTTTTTCTTGTGAATGCTACTTCAGTGAAATTAGGTGTTTAATATTAAAAGCTTACAGATTTTTGGATCTCTGTATTTGGCTCCATTGTAACTATTCTGAAATGTTTGTTTGCGACTATGAAAATATAAGGTGGGGCAAAAGTAGGTTTATAGTTGGGAGTACACAAAGCACAGAGTTTATTCTTGTATTATTATTTATCAATTATTGATCAGTTATTGTATTATCTTCCATATGAACAACAGTAAACCTTCTTTTGCCACATCTATATAATGAATAGTTAATGACATTTTATTTGCCCTTTCCATTTTGGCTACACTTTTTTAGCTAAATAGAGTAAAGCTTCATTACCCTATGGTTTGGTGCTTTGTGACTGTGTATGCAGGATACCTGATACAAAAATAATTAGGGATTCTGCTATTTTACAGCACATTAATTTGATAAAACCTATAAAATGGCGTTATGCATTTTTGCTGTTTTAGCATCTAATAAATCAACAAAAAGATCCAGACACAGAAGAATATCGGAAGCTCCTTTCTGAAAAGGAAGTTCATACCAAGCGTATTCAACAGTTAACTGAAGAAGTTGGGAGACTTAAAGCTGAGATTGCAAGGTATATGGAAAGAGCCTTAAATTGTATAGAAAATGTGAAATCTTAACAAAGTTAGTTTCTATTCTTTACAAATAAAGACTCTCCCCCATGTACTTCCTGATCTTAGCATGGAAAGTGCCAGAGCCCTCACCTGGGACTTTCCCTTTATTACTTTCGGGAGCCAAGCATAGAGTAATTTATTTTATGCCCTTGCATACAAATTACTTTTCTGTATTTTACTTTTTTAAAATCTACACAGTTGGTATAAGTCTAAAGTTTAACATGTTTATCTTCTAAACAGTCAAAATAACTTGTACAAATTGGTTTCTATTTTTCTTTTGGTTAAAAGATATTTATGAACCTATTTTGAAAGATTTCAATGAAGGATATAAGTTAAAAATTTTTTAATGAACTTACATTGTCCTTTTAAAGATAAGTTGAATATTAAAATTAATGTTTATAGTTTACTTTTTTAAAGATTTAGTGTCAGTTGTCCATGTCATAAACCCTATTTACATAATGCTTGAGAAAGCTGAGATTCAGAAAGGTACCTAAAGTTAGAATTAGTAGTTGTCAAACCCCCGTTCTTAAATCAGGGCTATCTGACTTAAGTTTTTGTTAAAGTACAGGGTTTGGCAAGCTCTACCCCACAGGCCTGTTTTGTATGGCTTATACACTACGAATGATGTTTACATTTTTAAAAGGAAGAACAACATTGACAAAAAATTGTATGTTCTCTACAAAACCTAGCATTTATTCAGCACCCGATCAGGTGGAGTGTAGATTTTGCTATCAGACTGATGCGGATTGAAACACTGTGTACCAACACTTAACTCTGTAAAACTGTGCATGTTACTTGACCACTTGTAACTCAGTTTTTCTCCTCTCTAACATGGGCATGTACAGCATGTGTAATAAGCAAATAAGATCTTTGTATGGACTACAGGTTCATAAGTTGAAGAATTATCTTTTGAAGTATATGTTGAGTTTTTTAGGAGTTTTAAATAAAAGTTTTACTAATGCAGCAATAAAAATGTAAATTAAAGGATTTTAAAACACGAAAATGTCATATACTTAGTCTTTGACTGTTTTTTTTGTTTAGATCAAATGCATCTTTGACTAACAACCAGAACTTAATCCAGAGTCTAAAGGAAGATTTAAATAAAGTAAGAACTGAAAAGGAAAGTATCCAGAAGGACTTAGATGCTAAAATAATTGATATCCAAGAAAAAGTCAAAACTATTACTCAAGTCAAGAAAATTGGACGTAGGTACAAGACCCAATATGAAGAACTCAAAGCACAGCAAGATAAGGTATTTTGAAGGGACTTCCTTATTATTCTTATTATATGTGTACTTTGTGTGTGTGTGTATAAAACATTTTTGATGTATACAGTTTTGATCTACACAATTTGCACACAAATTTTATATATCAGGCAAATGGGCCAAGGACCTGAACAGAGAGGATGGCTTATAAAAACCTTATTTCTTCATAATTTTGATTACTGATTTTTACATTCTAAACTTGAATATAAGCTAATTTATGATGCTGTTATTTAAGATTCTTTTTTGTTGTTATGTCAGGTCAACGAGACCTCAGCTCTGTCCTCTGGAGACCATCAGGAGCACCACGTCTCAGTCCAGGAACTGCAGGAGCTCAAAGAAACCCTTAACCAAGCTGAGACAAAGTCCAGGTCACTGGAGAGTCAAGTAGAGAATCTGCAGAAGGTACAAGTGTGAGACAGTGAGGGGCGGGCTTGTGACACGGTTCTTTCCTTGTTGAGTACCTAAAGAAGAATAGTGAAATGCTGTTCAGTGGTATAGAGGAATTGAAAAATATATATACAGTAAATACTGATTTTTACTTGTCATATGGAAATATCTGTTTTCTCCTTTTTACTCTTCGTAACTGGTGTCTGTAAGTAATACCTGATCATTTTCAAGTGTTCACTTACGTGGTTTGATCAGCACTTTCTACTTCCACTTAAATAAGCAAAATAATGTTTTACATTTTAAGTCTGCAGGTCATACGGTTTATGTTGATTTGATTGATTTACGTAGTAAATACTTTGTTTTCCTTTGAAAGACATTATCTGAGAAAGAGGTGGAAGCAAGAAATCTCCAAGAGCAGACCTTGCAGCTTCAATCCGAGCTTGCACGGCTTCGTCAGGATCTGCAAGACAGAACCACACAGGAGGAGCAGCTCCGGCAGCAGATAACTGAAAAGGAGGAAAAGACCAGAAAGGCTATTGTAGCCGCAAAGTCAAAAATTGCACATTTAGCTGGTAGGTTCCTGGATGCTTTAAGGTTTAAACTTGATTGTGAAAGTTAGTTCATTGATGTGGGCTTAAAGTTAAGTGGAAAAGAAAAAAGTAAATGTTATAAACCAATCTCTGTGTATACACCAATCTCTTAAAACCACTCTAGTGTGTGTTTTAAGTATGAGGTGTATTTAAGTGGTCATACAATAAGAGCAATCTTAATTTTCAAAGGGTGAGGAGGTACTTGATGTATGAAGTTTTCCTTGTTAACTGTGATAAATAGGGAGTACTGCTGACTTTTTCTTTCAGTGTATAACTATTACGGCCTTTTGATGGAGGTCCTTTGAGTCCACAGGCCCTCCGTAGACTCCTGGAGAACGCTGGCTCTTTCCAGCCCAGGGATTTTTCTGTGCCTCACTTCACTGAGGGCCTCTCCAGCCCTTTGGGGAGCATACGAGGTTTAACTTCACTGTAACTTGCTTGCCCATCTCTTAGTAGATAAATAAAATGCCAAATGGGCTGGGTTTTATTATGAGCAATCTTTTAATGACCTCCAAGATAGTGTCCCAGGAACAAATAAGATGCAAAAAAATAGTTAATTATTTTTGAGTATATGCAATAGATGGTATGAAATGAAAGTTTTGTAATTTTACTGTTTTTGCATTTAATGATATATGTTGAAACCTTAAAGGCCATATAAAAGGACTTATGCTGACTACAGTTTATGGTGAATTCTTTATCTTTTTGAGATCTTTGTTAGGAAAAGTTACATATTTTTATGTTGGAGTATATTTTATACTGGAGCAATAAAAACATGTTTAGAACCTCACCTATTGAGATGTGCCGTGTGTCAGAATTATTGCAAATGTGTTAATGAAAGTTCAAGAATAGAATCTGATGACCTTTGGATATTTATTAAGTACATAAATATTCTTTATTTCCAGTGTTTGCTTATAATATTAATAGAATCACATGTTTACTTCTTTAGGTGTAAAAGATCAGCTGACTAAAGAAAATGAGGAGCTTAAACAAAGGAACGGGGCCTTAGATCAGCAGAAGGATGAATTAGATGTTCGTATGACTGCTCTTAAGTCGCAATATGAAGGTCGAATTAGTCGCTTGGAAAGAGAACTCAGGGAGTATCAAGAAAGACACCTTGAGCAGAGAGATGAGCCTCAAGAACCTACTAATAAGGTGATTAGCTGATTCTGTCACAGTGACAGATCTTACTGGAAGATGTTTGTTGATTGAGGAGCCTTTATCGGAGTGAATTTTGGCTAAACCAGGAATACAGGGAGAGTGAACATATTTTGATGGCACTGTTCGGTGGAATGCTGTGGTACAGGCGCCGTAATCCACAGTTGTTTTTCTTGTATGTGTAGGTCCCAGAACAGCAGAGACAGATCACGTTGAAAACCACTCCAGCTTCTGGCGAAAGAGGAATGTGAGTTTCGGTTTGTTTCTGTTCTATCCCGTTTTTGTTTTAAAGTTCCGTGGAAATAAAGATCTTTGGGGAGAAAACAGATCATTATACTCTACTACAAAAAGTATGTCCCATCGGTTAGAGCTTTGTGACAAAGAACGCATCTTTCATCCTTTAGTCTGTGAGTGACATCTAAGATAGGCTGCCAGGTTTCCCTGTGATGTTAAGGATACAAGTATAAGAGCCTGGGCTGAGACTTAGGTACAGTGATCAGCAGTTGAGTTTTTCTGCACAGATGTTAATGCTTAAATTCAAAATCTCTTCAGTAAGAGTTTTTGAAATACTTAGTGAACAAAAACTGTAGAATAATGTTTGCTATTTGTTTGTTTGTTTATTTTAATCTGCCAAGAGTCTACCCAAAGCAGTGTCAGGAAAAACATAGTTAGTAAGGTCTGAAGCACTCCCTTCAGGAGATAATGTGCTTTGTTTTCGACAAAGTGTGTGTGCTTTATAAAGAATATTTATGAGATTTAATTATTCTCGTATTTTTCCCTCTGTAAGTGCCAGCACATCAGACCCACCGACAGCGAATATCAAGCCAACTCCCGTTGTTTCTACCCCAAGTAAAGTGACAGCTGCAGCCATGGCTGGGAATAAGTCAACGCCCAGGGCTAGCATCCGCCCCATGGTTACTCCTGCAACTGTTACAAACCCTACTACTACCCCAACGGCCACAGTGATGCCCACTACACAGGTGGAATCACAGGAAGGTGAGTAAAGCCATGCAGGTACCACTGGACTGGCTGCTTATTTAGATTTGTTAGGGGAGGTTGGCAGTAACTCTAGAGAGAATTGACGCTTCCGGTAAAACTCTTAAGACATGATAATTAAACTAGGCAGTTAATATCTTCAAGTGAATACCTCCCAGGATACTTATTAATGCAGCAAATTTTCTCCCTTGTTACTTTGTTGGGTTTTGAATTAAAGAAGGGATAAAATTCACCCCTATCAGTATATGGCACATTTTTCTAGGACCAAAATTTTCACTTGTAACAGTTAAGAAGATGTGAAATCCACTTTGGGAAACCATACTAAGTCACTGGTTGAATCCAAATACCACTTCTTAATTGAAATTATCTGATCCTTTAATTGTTTTCTCCACTTTGTTTCCATGGTACAATTTCCTTAAGTACCTGCTTTTTTATTCCACTAGATTAAAAGGGTAAGAATTTTCATTATTTAATCCTTTCATTCAACACCAAGTTAGGTAGATGTTTAGTAAAACTTTACTAAATACAATTTCCTTGGCTTCTTGTCTTAACAAATGTTAGAATTTAGTAAGTTATTTAAGTATTTAGAAATATATAATGATGTGTATATGCTATAAAAGCAGAATATTTTACTTTAGCTACATTCAGTATCATGATTTTTAGATGTATTATTGTACCAGTTAAACTTTGCTAGTCATTACTTATCAATTAAAAACAATAATGCTCAGTAAAAACTCATAGTTCACTCTGAGCTCCTAAATTTCATGTATATTATGTAATTTTCTATTATTTAAATAGGGTAATAAATAAAAAACAATTTTGCATATTTATTTAATTCAGCTACTTTATCAGTCATACAGACAAAACAAAAATGAATAATACATTACCGTCTCTTTTGTCTAGTGAGTTATAAGAGACACATGTACACACATAACTATTCAAGATGTCAGCTGTAACACATAACGGGTGGTAATTTCGCCTTTGGTAAGCATAGAAGACTTTAACCTATCAGATCCTGTAATTCCTTTCCAGCCATGCAGTCAGAAGGGCCTGTGGAGCACGTCCCAGTTTTCGGAAGCACGAGTGGGTCCGTTCGTTCCACTAGTCCTAACGTCCAGCCCTCCATCCCTCAGTCCATCCTGACTGTTCAGCAGCAGACACAGGCCACGGCGTTTGTGCAGCCCACTCAACAGAGTCATCCCCAGATTGAGCCTGCCGGTCAAGAGCTGTCCCCGAACATAGTGGAGGTGGTTCAGAGTTCACCAGTCGAGCGGCCTTCCACTTCCACAGCAGTGTTCGGCACTGGTGAGACTGGTTTTTAAACGAAGTTAGGGGCAGGCCTGTGCATTTGTAGTGTCTTAGACATAGTACATACCTTCCATATTCTTTGTACGTACTTGTTTCCTACCAGGTATTAGACTCGATGGATGTGTTTAGTTTTTTAAGTTAACTGCCTAAATTGAGGAATTAGGCGCTAATTGAAGGTTTCCATTCAAAGTTTCAGCGACCCCAAGTTCTTCTCTGCCGAAGCGCACACGTGAAGAAGAGGAGGACAGCACCATAGAAGCACCAGACCAGGTCTCAGATGATGCCGTGGAGATGCCTCTTCCAAAGAAACTGAAAAGCGTTACACCTGTCGGAACCGAGGTGTGTGAAGGTCCTTCCGTTCATTTTTACTTCTGTCAGTAGAGCTAAGATACCCCTTCAGTTACAGCATTATGAAGGGGGTGGGCCTTTGGGGCCCCAATCCAGAAAACTAAAGTTACTACAAAATTTCCACTGACAGCTCAGGTATTATTGCTGTTGCCAACAATATGTATACCCTTTGCATATCTTTGAATGAATTAGCTCCCATTTAAATTCTAAAAATATAGTTACAAAACCAAAGTTGAACTCCTTTCATTTTTTTCTTTTAACTCAAAGAATAAGGAAGTTTATAGTCTCATGGACATTTTAAACTGCTACCTGCTATCTTTTTCTTAGGCAAAGTTGTACTCCTTTACTTTCTTTTTTTGAGGATAAATTGTAGTGAATTGTTTTACTGTCACACATTGAGACTATGAAATTAATTTCATTAGCATAACTAATGCTCATAGCTTTATTTTACTGAAGAGGTATGTGATTATATTTTGTAAGTAAATATAAATAAACACGGCGTGTATAGCTTTTTAATTACAGATGAGTTTTATTTCATTGGGAGAACTAGTTTAGTTTAACACTTTATCTCATGAACTGATAGACTAACCCACTTGTATATTGTGATTCAGGAAGAAGTTATGGCAGAAGAAAGTACTGATGGAGAGGTAGAGACTCAAGTATACAACCAAGACTCTCAAGATTCCATTGGAGAAGTAAGGAAAACGTAGTTAAAGTAACAAATTGCTGCTTTTAATGAATGAACTTATCTTTGACAATTCCGTCATTGTTTGAGCTTTCTTTTAATTGGCTGCTTTTATGTCTAATGAAATATTAGAATTACCAATGCATTTTCTGCTTTCTTTTACTCCTAATTAGTATAGTGCTCTCTAAACTTCATTAAAAAAATGCTTTTGTTTATACTTAGCATGGATTAACATGGACAACACTTAGCTAAGGTTTTCATGAGAAAGATTATCCACTCAGTTACTGGCAAGGACAAGTGCTGCTTGAGTCTTGCGTTCACCCATGTTTGGTCTTCTGCTGCTTCCCTTACTGAATTACATCACATTAATCCATGGAAGGAAATGCATGTATACGCTTCTCCAGTTTTTGAACTCTCATTAAGGCCTCTCTAGAGACAGCCTTACTAGTAGAAATGCATAGACTCTGGCGTAACAAAGCACCTTGGGTTCCATTCCTAATTCTGCCACTTAGAAGCTGTGTGACTATAAGCAGGTCATTAATTCTCTCTACACCTCAATTTTCTCACCTGTTGGAGTAATATAACGTAAGTTTTAGTATTGTAAAATACCCAAAAATATTATCACGTATTAGGCACTCAAAGTTTTCTTAGTTTCCTTCCATCCCTCTGCCCCATAAATTGAAAATTCATAATATAGTAATGCTAATAGTTAACAGAGAGCTCATTACCATAGGCCAAGTGTTGTTTCTAGAAATTTGCATGTATTAACTAATTTAATCCTCAAAACAACACTATTTTTTTAAAATATTTTATTTATTTCCAGAAGGAGGGGAAGGAAGGTAGGTAGAGAGGGAGATAAATGTCAGTGTGTGATTGTCTGTCATGCGCCCCCTACTGGGGACCTGGCCCACAACCCAATCATGTGCTCTGAGTGGGAATCGAACCAGTGACCCTTTGGTTTGCAGGCTAGCACTCAGTCCACTGAGCCATACCATCCAGGGTTTAGACCATCGAGATGTATTGTCTTCTTAAGCTCGAGACAAATGTGTTCTGCCTGGATAAATTTTAAGGATTATTTTATTTAAAAATTATTCTATCTTTATAAAATCAAGGAATTATTTTAAGCTAATCATAAGTAACCATAGGTTATAGGTAAACTTAGTTTCTTTAGATGTATTAACTCTATAAATTAATTTTCCCATTTTTCTGTGGCTAAAATACAGGAAAATAAATAAAACTTCAGGGTGAAGAGCTAACAATCTTAAGTGACATTGTTTTCATGTATCTTTCAGCAAGTATCATCTGAAGGGTGTAATAACAATTGAAACAATAAGATGTGAATTTCTGTTTTACTGCTAGATTTAAATTATACTAAAACTGCAGAGTTTTTCTCGTGTCTGGCAAAATTGTCTGTGACTCGGAAATGCTGTTTGGCTTTTCATTCTGCCCTCTAGTGCTGTTTACTGAACGTAAGAGTTCACTTTTCTGATTTTCTGATGATGGAGCAGATGTTCTTGATAAGTCTTGGTTTTCTTGAAATAAGCGCATCACTTTGAGGCACATTTTTATATCAGGATTCACTCTTTTTTTCTGTTACAGTAAACAGTCTCCATGAACGATTTAGTTCAGAAGACATTTTTGGTTTATATAAAAGACAGTTTTTGCTGAGTGCTTACTAAAATAGGTATTTTTTAATATAGTAAATACCAAAAATAAAGTTAAAAATCACAGTTCATTTGAGCAGCTAACAAAATGGAATTGTGAGGAAATAAGCAAAGAATAATTTTTGTATCTGATATTTTTGTATGTGGTTTGAAGGCTCAGAACAGTCAGTTCTGGGGGTGGTGGGAGTGTATTTGTAGAAAGACAGTAACAGTGGCTTATTTAGTGTGTCTTCCGGACTGTTGCTTATGTAGAGGATGGGGGTGTATTTCTGTGCTGTCGGGTCCGTGCAGTTCTCTCCCTGCCTTGGGTCTGCTGCTGCGCTGTGACGTGACCGGTCGGCTGTTCCGGAAGTTGGAATACGCTGAAAATGTAAACTACACGTTGGATTTTGAAGACTTACTACAGATTTGAGTACATGTTGAAATAATGTTTTGGCTCTGTTGAGTACATTATTAAACTTATTTCACTTGTATCTTGTCGTTTTATGTGACTACTAGAAAATTTTAAATTGCATATGTGAATTACATTGTGACTTGTTATATTTCTGTAATTCTCCTCTAGGAAGACAGTAAAGAAATCCTGAAGTTTAGCTTCTTTTATTTGTTTTTTAAATTCATCTTTTGCAAACCATATTTTTAAAAATAAAATGCTAGTAGTCCATAAGCATTCTTGAGTCTTTACGTGGATCTGTGGTATGTTGCTGATAGTTTTTAGGCATTTTCAGCTTTCTATAATTTTTTATAATTTTTAAAGGGGGTCACCCAGGGAGATTATACACCCATGGAAGACAGTGAAGAAACCTCGCAATCCTTACAAATAGACCTTGGAGCCCTTCAGTCAGATCAGCAGACAACTTCATCCCAAGATGGTCAAGGCAAAGGGGATGACGTCATTGTAATTGACAGTGATGATGAAGAGGACGATGATGATGAAAATGACGGAGATCATGAGGTAAATTTGGTTTGAAGTCATCCATTATTTTTATACTCCTGGATGAAATGCTGAAATCCACAGGACTACTAATGTTATCAGCCAGTAAATTCTGGTTCTCGGTATAAACAAGTTTCTTACCTTTCTTTTATCCTGATTAGCTTCTAAATGAATATTCTATAGTGAAATTGAGCAAGTGATAGAATATCCCAGCTTGTTTTTCAGGCAATTGCTAAGCACTTGAGGATTTATTAGAGTACTTAAACTTAATCTTAAATCTTATCGATAAGTGACTGTGGACTTAATTGTTAGATCTGTGGTTTCTGGAAATTATAGAAGAAACTAGGATTTTTTTTTTATTGGAGCCCCTTGGTTGTTTTCAAAAGATATTGAAGTATCATGGTAATTCAAGTGTATCGTAAGTGAAAGTTTGTGTTTTAGTTCGAGTTAATCCTGTGTTGACAACTACACATTTTCAATTCTTTCTTAATGTGTTAAAACCTTCTGACTGACCTCCTGTGAACAGTTAAATTTCAGAGTTGGTTGGTATTGTGCTCCTCTTGGTAACCTTCACAGTTTGAGATGTGCTGCCACTGAACTCTAACGCATGGCCGCTTTCAGGACAGCTCTGTGTCTGATAGGCAGCGTCACGTAAATGTCTAAACACGGTGCCTAGATGTGCAGAACATCTGTGCTGTATTCTAGGTCTTTATTTGTACTTGGGGAATTTTTCTAGGACTATGAAGAAGAGGAGGAAGAAGATGACGACGACGAAGATGACACGGGGATGGGAGACGAGGGTGATGACAGTAATGAAGGCACCGGCAGTGCGGATGGCAATGACGGATATGAAGCTGATGATGCCGAGGTAACTGGTGAAAATTTTGACCATTTGTTTGAAGGGCCTCCTTGGGAAACTCATGCCTCCCCAAGGGTATAAAAAGGCCTGTATCCTCAGCACACTAAAACTTTTTATGCCTCTGGGTCTGTTTTTACTGTGGTTTGGCTTGGTTAGTGTTTTTGAAGGTGATTACCACCCACTTACTTACACTCAGTGCTCATATTTTGTTTCTAGGGCGGCGACGGGACTGATCCAGGTACAGAGACAGAAGAAAGTATGGGTGGAGGTGAAAGTAATCAGAGAGCTGCTGATTCTCAAAACAGTGGTGAGATTTTTAGTCTTTTCCATTGAACATTTCTGCTGGTATTTTCTGAATTAGGATTGCATTTAATTATCACATAGGTAATAAAACTTGGTTATTAAATTGGCATGCAAAAGATTGGCTCTTGTTCTAGCTTTGTCATTTTATTGTCTTAAAGTCTGCTGTGTTTGTCTCTGTAAAGTGCACTCGGTGCGCTGTCTTTTCTACCTCATCGACTGTAAGGTTAGAGCGTTTGGAAGTCGGTAGAGTGTGACCAGTGTCATGTGTTGCTGCTGTCCTTACTAAGTGGAAAAACTAGGTCAGGAACTCCTCACAGCAGTTCACAACTGGAAGAGGTCGGTCTAATCGAGCCGCGTGTTTCAAGAGTTGTGGGCATTGGACTTTCACAGTATTGTTTGACTATCCAACAAATAAAATACTTTTTGACCAATAGAGCATGTTTTTTGTTAAATCTTTGAAAGGATGAGAGTCCTGGAGGGCCACTGAAATGTTATAGGCAGCAAACGGTTCTGAAATGCATAGAAAAAAAATTTCATTTTAGTATCATTTTTAAGTACGTTTTAAAGACCTGGTGATAATCTGGTATAATATCCTGGTTTTAAAGGTAATATTAAGCCAGAATCATTAATAGTAATGCAGTAAAAACCTTACATATTTAGGTTAGTGGGAAAACAGTGTCTCTGAGTTTTCATATGGCCTGTGTGTTTTAAAGTACAAGGTATATACTCATTTAAATGAAGGGAAGTAAGGACAGATAGTTTTTCCTTTTAAATTTTTAAGAGAAAAATAAACTATAAAACCATATAATGAAAAACCATTTTAAGGGAGATGAGGTAGGGGGTGACCAGTGATACTTTGGGTAACAATTTACATTTTGCAGAGCATTTTGTAAATATAAGATTCATCTTTTGTGTATCACATAGTTGAGATATAGAGAAGAATTTTTTTTGTCAAAACCAGAGTTTGTGTCTGATGCTTTGAATGGCCAAAATTCAAACATCAGAGTTTGGAGCAGGAGAGGTTTGTTCATCGAGAAGATTCCAGCAGAGATGATGGAAGACCTATTGGTACCTCGGATCCATCTTGTTCGCTGGGCTAATTTAAGGGGGGTTAAGTTCAGTTAGGGAAAGTGCGGAAGTGCTGGTGGGGCAAGCTTCAGTCGGAGGACCTTGGAACTTGACAGATTACAGTAAAGGGTGGCGAACACAGGTTCTCCCTGGGCAAGGGACTCTTACCATCTGAAAGGATTCCGGTGCTCAAGTTCCAGCTGTGTCCCAGATCTTGGGTGGGGGTGGAGGTGGGGGGTGAGACTTCGGGTCCAGGTGCTGCTGGAGGTGAAAGTTCTCTCCTCTGCTTTTGCTTATCTGTGACGTGTGGTTTTGGTCTGTTGTCTCAGAAAAGCAATTCGGTATTTTGTTATAGGATAGGACCATTTTGAGCTGTTTCTGTGCTTCCAAATCCCCATTAATATTCAGAGAAATTGGGCACATAAGTCCAGATTCAGTTAAGTGGGAGGATTAGCTTCCCATTGTGTCTGTCTCAGCTCTTAAGCCTACCTCTTCCATGATGGTCCCTGAGCCTTATAGAGGGGCAGGCAGGGTGTGCAGTTTCTGAGCAGACACCTCAGCAATGATAGAAGCGGCAGCAGGCCAGGATGCCTGTACTCTGAGGACATAAAGAATAAACAGTACTTTCTGTTATCATGTACTTAGGGGCCCAAACCATGATGAGCCAGCACGGTTCAGAAAAAGGGCAATTTTAGTTCCCAGTGATTTCAAGTCACCAGAAGGATTCAGGCCCCAGTCCAGTTTACAGAAAATAGAACAAAACTCAGGAGACGATGGACAGCACTGGAATCTAATATCCACAAAGGTGTGTTGTAGTCCCTATTGAAACATAATTTTCTGTTTAAAAATCACCCTTACATTTACCAAAGATAGTCAAATTAAGACTAATTTACCTGCAAAATAAGTAGGTAGTTTCAGTAAACTTGGCCTGTTTGTATAAATCCAGCAGGACTAGTAATTAACCATATAGGTTTCTTCACATCTGCTTTGCTGGAAGTTTCCTACGGAATATTCAGCTTGACCCTTAAATAGCCTTTCAAGACTAAGAAGCCCAGCTGTCAGACTTGTCAGTGCCTGTAGATTTGGGTGACTTCCTCTCTTCTCGAGGTCCCAGCATATTCTGAGGCTCTTTCTTTGCATCTCCTTAGAAGCAGCCTTATTATCTCACCTGCTAAGGCCACTGTGAACCATATAAACAAGGCACCAGGCCATTTTCCCAAGGGACTTATTGGCTTCCAGAGTTAATCTGAACTCCTAAGGCTTTCTGGTCATATCCAAGTCTATGCGTGACTCTCAAAAATGACATTACAGTCAAACATTGGTAATAAAACCAGTTTCTAATTGTATCCTGTTGCAAAGAGAACACATTCTTACTGAACTTTTGTAAATAATCACTTTACCATGAAGATAAAAATACTCCTTAAAAGTTTCTAGATTCTGGAGGGATCAAATAGGACCAAAAAAATCAATGTTTCAGTTCTGCTAACAGAAGTATAATTTGCCAGATTGCAAGGTCATTGTTAAACAAGTTTCCTTTTATCTGGAAACCAAAAGATTAAAATGTCAACAATCTCAAATGTAAGAATTATAAAAATTATAACTGTTTTCATCAGCTCATTCAGTGCTATGAAATTAAACTCATTCTCCTTGAATCCAGATCTTCCTGATAATTGCAAGGTTGTCTCTCAAGGTTCTTGTGGTTCGCCCCGTGACGTGAGTGGCTTGGTCACTAGAGCTTCGTTTGGGAAGGTCTGCCCCACCTGGGAAACACATTTTCTAACCATCTCTTTGCCATTGCAAAGGCACCCACCGTGTGACAGGGGAAGGCTTCCGCTCATTCAGGATACACACACACACACAAAGAAGAACATACTGATAACCCAAATTAAGTGGTAGTGGAATGAAGTCTAGCTTAAATATCCCATGGTGGGTGAAGGTGTGCAAAGGCCAGAGAAATGCCAGGGAGCTGAGTTAACCAAGCAGGCATCTGGGGTTTCCCGTAGCCCCAGCTATTCATTTAATTTGCAGTCATTGTTTACCCATCTTAGTTTCTCTGATCTGGAAACTGACTTGCCATGTTACAAGAACATCAGGATGGCAAAGGTCTGGCAGTGAGGAGTCATTTTTGCAAGGACAGAATGGACTTAAATCTACATGTGCTGCAATTTGATACTCAGGTTCAGTCATTTTAATGTGGCCCTCAGTTTAGATCAGACTTCTTGCATCAGGATATCTCAGATTTCAGGTACATTTCTGGAACATTTATAATACACAGATACAACAAAAAGAAGGCTCGTTGTTAGTTTTTACTTGACAGTGCTGCCTGTGTGATTTCAGCACACCAAAATAAGCCTAGTTTAGTATTTCTCTCCTGCAAGGAGAGAAAACAGACCTTCTGAGATGCTTCAGGGGCCTTTCTGGAATACTTCAGTTATTCCCAGGTCCTGGCTTTTTCCAACTTAAATTGGGGAAGTTGGTCAAAATATGTCAAAGGCTTGGACATTTGACCACAATTATAAGTAATTACGAAGCAAGACTGAACTGTCCATGTGCAGGAGACGTGCCGACGGCACGAGCACTGCGGTGGGGCTCTGGCCGAAGCCGTGACCACCCCGGTCTCGCCGTTTCTTGGGTCCAAAGTTGCTATAACTTTCAAGCAACGTGAATTTGCTTTGGAAGATAATCGTTCTTTGTCCCTATAATATGAAAATATGTGCTGCTTTTTTTTTTTTTTTTGTAAAAGTGTGTATCTTTTCTTTGGAGCCTTCTTCAAATTTCCCATAAAGTTCCAGAAATTTGAAGGAAAAAAAAAACCAGAAATTTACATAGCAAAACTTTAGTTCTTACTATTCAGGAGATTCAGTTTTCTTAAATAATCAAGTACCTGACTATATAGCACAAAGTTATTTTGGTAAAGGACAGAATTTTTGCTTTTTAGGCAGAAATTTTTTTACAGTATAGTAGACCAGTAGTCCTTTTTAGCAGAGAGAAAACCTAACTCTTATTTTGTAACAGCTTATTCTTATATTAAATTCACTTACTTAACTTTTTTAGAATTCTTGTTTGGTTATGCCTTAGATATTCAGTGAACATCCATCATTTAATATATTTAGCTAACAAAACTTTAAAGTTCCAAGTTACCAAAGAGATTCAGAAAACCATTCTAAGTACACTTAACACAGTATGGTTATTACCAAAGAGTTAACCTAAAAGAAACTTTCTCTTTGTACTTATATTTATCTAATTTACTTGCTCCTAACAATTGAGTTTAGATTACTTGGTATGAAAATTTTATCCTATCAAGTTAATTTTCTTGCTGACAGATTTTGCAGCAGAGATAACATGAATTTATCTAACAAACAAAGGTAGGATAAAAGTATTATTTAATGCTGATGATTCTGAAGACATGCCTATTAACCAAACCAACTTAAAACCAGCTTTAATGTCAAATATTTTCCCAGGTCACATGATTCTGAAAAGCATTTGGGTTAGTCTGTTCCATTTTTTGAGATTTCTCATATAAGACCGTGTTTGTTCAAGCTAATTTAATACAAATTAGCAATGCCATTTAGGGTAGAAATACCCTATAGACCTGATAGCTTTCTTTGTAAGGTGCTAGCTTTTATGGCCCAGGTACATGAAAAACTCGGAGGTAAAACGGGATCCTCTCCTTCCAGGGTGTCCTTTACTGTGGACTTGTCAACAAATACAAACTACAGAAAATGGAAAGCAAGTGTGCACAATAAGGGGGGAAGCTCAGGAGGTACAAAGGGCGGCTTCAGAAGGCTGGAATTAAACGTAGTTTTACCCAGAGGAGGATGGCACCAAGTTCAGGCCTGAGTGCAGATACCAGCTGCCAGGTGTCAGGAGGTGCGGTCGGGGAGGGGAGGAGGCCACAGATGCAATATTGCTTCTTAACGTCCAAGCAAGTAAGCAAAGTACACACAGAGGAAGATCAACACACAAACCAGACAATTGAGTGCTCTGCCGACCACATCTCAGATAAAGTACACAAGTTACAAATTTCCAATTCAGGTGCTCAGACAAATAAATGCAAACAAACTGGTTGAAAAATCAGATAAAAATTCTACAGTTATTCACCTCACCAGCGGGTACCCCAAATCAAAACAGTTTGGCTATTCCAAGGGAAAATGGATGAGAAGGGAGTTCCCCGTGGTACATACCAGGGTGACTTACCCTATTTCCACATCAAGCCCATCGGCTGGCAGAGACATGTAGACATGACAGGCACACTGAAGGTGGCCGGCCAAAAACAACAGATGGGTAGAGCCCAACAGCCCCGATCCTGCTCTCAGAGGGGTGCCCCCAGCCGGGTTTAAAATACAATGGCCTTGTCCAGAGGGAAAGCCCATGTACTGAGATAGGATTCTCGACTGTGTACTTACCCTCCAAATGAAACAACTTTCCCAAAACAAAATCAACTATAGACCGAAGTCTGAAGCGTTTTCTTATTCCAAATGGCCTGTGTGCCAAGGGTGGCCAGCACCTGCCAGGGAAGGCTCCTTCCAAGCCCCTAAGGCAAAACGTCCTTGGTGGTGGTTCAGGACTCGTAGAGGGGAACCCCAGCCAGGGTTGGCCATCCAAGAGCACAGTTCCTCGCTGGCTCACCCAATTGTTACTGAAACCAGAGTTGGTATGCCAGCACTTCGAAAGGCCACCCAAAACATTGGAGTTTGGAGTAAGGAAAGGTTTATCGATCAAGAAGACACCAACCAAGAAGACGAAGACCTGATGGCACCTCATATTCATCTTCACTGAACTACGTTAAGGGCTTTTAAGGGGCTAGGGGGAAACAGTGCTGGCAGGGTGTGTTTTAGTTGGGGAACCCTGGAACTTGGCCACGTATGGTAATGGGGTGTCAACGCCAAAGCTTCCTGGACGTCTGAAGAGATTCCGGTGTTCAAGTTCAGTTACGTCCTGATCCTTTGTTTTGGCGGGGTGAGGGAGCGAGACTTCCGTTCCGGGTACTGCTGGAGGACAAAACTCTGCATAATTCTGTCTGACTTGCGGTTTCGGTCTGTTGTCTCAGTAGGATAGGGCCATTTTGAGCTGATTCTGTGGTTGCTCCTGTAGGTGTTATTATCTCTAAAAGTTCAGTATTTTGACGGAAAGTGTTCATAACCATTTTTCCCAGATACAAAGCATGTAACAGACATTCATCAAATGCTTGTTAGAGAGTTGTGTTCTTTTTTGTTAATAAGTAAAAATAGGCCTAGCCGTCTGGATAAGATTAAGTTAGTGGATAGGTTATGTACATTACCAGTGGTATAAAAATGCTTTTCCTAAGCATGCACACTTGTCCTGACTTAATTCTCACAATGAGATGATCAGGTGTAAGTACCAGTGTAGAATCGCAGAAACAAGCCAAGTAACTTAACCGAGACCTTGGTTGGTTAAGGAGCAAGAGCTGTTACGTGTGAGAGCAAGAATCTGACTGTAGACCTCAGGCTTTTAAACTACTAAATTCTGTGCTGTCCTGTCCAGCTTTCAAAGTAGGGAACAGCTTCTCTTGTTCCTACAGTGTATGTAGAAGACCCAGTCATCTAAAGAACCATTAAATTCTAAATGTAGGAAAATCAAAATATAAGAGTGTCATCGTAAGGCTTTTTCCCCAATTTTCTTCATCCTGTTTGAATGACACTGATAACCATAGCGGTCTGACCTTTAGGTAATTTGCCCATTTAAATAATATGAGCCAATACTTATTAAATATTTCTTTTATCACGTGTTAGGCTAAGTGCTTTGTGTCTATTCTTCAATATCTTCAGAAAAACCTTTCTTACAGGTTACACTTGTTCCATTAACCAATCAAAGAAGTAGACTGAAAGGGGTTAAGGGACTTGCCTAACAGCCACACACCTGTCATCTCTCAGTCCACTCGGCCTCACTACTGTCCTTCGGAAAATGCTAGTGAGGCAGACATTCCCGGTAGCAGGATTTATACTTCTAGGGATTGTCCACCTTATTTTGTGGTAAATTTGGTAGTTCAAAATAAGCTGCTTTCGTTTTACAGGTGAAGGAAATTCAGGTGCTGCAGAGTCGTCTTTTTCCCAGGAGATTTCTAGAGAACAGCCGTCATCAGCATCTGAAAGACAGACCCCTCGAGCACCACAGTCACCTAGACGTCCACCACACCCCCTGCCCCCAAGACTGACCATTCATGCCCCACCGCAAGAGTTGGGACCACCAGTTCAGGTATGAAAAGTACTGGTCATTCCGAAAAATGAGCTTTTGAGAATCTTGACTTTTCCCCCTTTCCATTAGTTGTTATTGTTGTTTTTATTATTATTATTGTTATTATTATTATTACTAGAAATTAAGTGAACTCTTCATGTTTTGGCCTATTTTCATAAATTTTTGAATTGCAATTATTGTCTGATTTCTCCTCCTTAAAAAGGCAGAGCTGACTAAAAGTTGTAAGTTGAAATGATTATAGTCACAGCAAAAATGTCTGGTCTCTTTCCACAGGTTACAAAAGGGAAAAGATTTTCTTGGATTTTAATTCATGTAAAATGTATTTTAGCATCTGACCATGTGTTTTGAAGGTTTCTTTCTCTAAGGTGCACATGTTTGTGTTTTAAAAAGGAAGCCTTCTGTTCTGTTGAAATTTTTCTCTCATTTTCTTACGATCACACATGTTAACCTGCATTTGAAAACTGATGAAGGTGCATGTGGCCCTTTCCGTGGGGCTCTTTGGGCGTCTCTGAGTCGGGAGCCCTTGCAGAGACAGGAGGGAAGGTGCAGCACAGGCTCTATAATAATACGTCTTGAGTTTTAACCCATCGGTACAGCTCATGCTGAACTACCACTGGTGAAGAAAATGGCATTATGTGAAAATGTAAAGTCTGAAAAGATTGTATGTGGATCCTGCAAAATATACCAGATGTATCAATTTAGAATGATCTAAATTGAGAAACAGTTTATTTGTAGTTAGTACTGCTGTTTGAACTCCAAAGGATAAATAAGCCATAAGATCCAAAAGGATACTTACTAATTAAATAAATTAGTTACAAAGAAATAAGACATGATCAAAGATTGGTTTAAAATATTGGCTGATATTTTGTCTTATTGGTTAATGAAATCTTTATCTGCTGGTTAATATCGTGGTCTGTATAATTAAAAAGTTACACTGTTTAAAACTGATTTCTATAGTTCAAGATTAGCAGCAATATTTTCTCCAGAACTATCCTGACGATTATTTTACATCATCTGCTGACATTTCGATTATTTTATTACCAGCGTAATAAGCTGTATCTGTGGGTGTTTCGTGTTTGTTTCGGTGTCTAATTTCTTAAATGCAATTCCTTTCTTGACGCAGAGGATTCAGATGACTCGGAGGCAGTCTGTGGGGCGTGGGCTTCAGTTGACTCCAGGAATCGGGAGCATGGTGAGCACCTACCCCACGCGAAATCAGTTCATGGGTTCTGTGGGTGTTTGTGTAGTGGAGTGTGACTTCTGTCATCCTGCTCGGCTCCCACTTCCTGCTTTTGTTTCAGCAGCAGCACTTTTTTGACGATGAAGACAGAACAGTTCCAAGTACCCCAACTCTCGTGGTGCCGCATCGTACTGATGGGTTTGCGGAAGCGATTCAGTGAGTTAATGAGAGATTGATTTCGGGGCTGATCAGATTCTTCCTGTCTTCTTGTTAATCTGTTTACGTTTGATTGATTCATTACTGTAGAGTCCTTCCTACTGTGTACTAAGTTTTAGGGGGTAGGGTAGGAGGGTTGAGGATGTAGTTTGAGGAAAATTACGTAGAGTTGAATGCAATACGGTTACTTCCACCAGGAATTTGAAATTCAGAGTCACTATAACAGTGGTTAAGCACATGGACTTCAGAATCAGAATACCTGGGTTTGGAGCCTAGCTATTCAAGTTATTTAGATTCTCTGTTCCTGAGCGCCCTCATTTTATTAATGGGAATAATGATACAGTACTTCCTACCTTGTTACTTGTGAGAATTAAATAAATTAATTCATGTTAGCATGTTTAGAATGTTACCTGGCACACAGTAAAATGCTTTGTGCATGTTGGTGATGGTGTTGGTAATTACAATGATCCTGGTGGATGGCATTATTATGGAAGCTTAGCTATGAGCACATTACTATAACTAAAGAATTCCTGACACTTATTGAGCATGTCCATGAATCAGTTCATTTCATCTTAATGAGTAAGAGTAGACTCTGTTGATGTTGCTCTTTTATGGAAAAGGAAGCGCAGAGATGCTACTGAATTTGCCAGAGGTCAGCCAGCCAGGACAGGGCAGTTTTTGTGCAACCACTCCACTTAAAAACAGAACGTTTGTGAAAATCGTGGTTCATTGTGGCTGAAGTGTTAGTTACCTCACAGGATATACTGGAAGATCAGAATTGAAGTTTCCACAGACTGGGAAAAGATCGATTGTTCTATGGTATGTGGGAACACATGGCATTAGCACCAGTTTGAAACTCCCTCAGCTGACTGTTTGTAAACCAGGCTGTGTGGGCCCCGCTTGGCTGAAGGTCAGCCGGGCAGAAACCCACTCACTGTGATACACAGCTTCTGAGCGCCAGCCCATCAGCAGTGTTCCGTTCTGGCGTAGCTCAGAAGAATGCAGGGTTTTCCCAAGTCTAAAAATCCACCTGAAAGAGAATGTCCTTAACTAGAGTAATAGTGTTGACCTGGAAAAGAAAATATTCGAGAGTTATCATAGAGGTACACTTCATAAACATTAGCAGCTGGCTAAGGAAGGAAGGAAAGGTAAGGAGTGGGCAAAGAATGGAATGATGCTGCTTTATATCCTGGTTGTGGGCAGGACATGGGTGATAGAGAGATTAGGACAGGAAAATGAGTTTCTGGTCATCTTAGATTTTTCCATGACCTTGGAAGTCATCTGGTGAACTCTCTCAGATGGGAAACGAGCTAGAGCAGCAACCTGCTTCATGTCTGACTAACCAGGGAAAACTGAGACAGTTTGGTCTCGTGACCGCATTCTCACTTGGTTACATCTCCTGCCGAGTTTGTGTGGCTTTCAGGAGACCTGCACAGAGATTCCTGGCAGATTCGGGAAATGTGAGACATGTGTAAATTGCATGTAGTGTGAATGGATTCATATTGTTAACCAATTCTTTGACTGCTAATATTTTGAAAATATTTATATAAGAATTCCTTTATCAACTTTATTTTTGATCTGTTTCCTTCCCATTTTGTTTATGCTTATTCTTTCTATATTCGTTCGATCACTGTGGTTTAAACAGCGTAACTTTAAATTTCATCCTAAGTTAATTTTTGTCCAGCTCCCCACAAGTCGCTGGTGTCCCCAGATTCCGGTTTGGGCCGCCTGAAGACATGCCGCAGACAAGCTCGAGTCACTCAGATCTTGGCCAGCTGGCTTCTCAAGGAGGTAAACTGCCCAAGAAACACTTAGATTTCCTGGGTTTGCATATATTTGGTAATAAACTAATCTGATGTGATTTTCATTTAAGTGAAAATTACGCACTTTCAAATAGTTTAAAAGTTGATATATAAATGACTCCTATGCTGATTTATGGGAAAAGCTATATTTACTACTTAATAAACATTGTACTACCTATAAGGTCTGAGTTCTTTGAACATGAAGACTGGCTTTTACATTTGTATCTTTTCTGCTCTAGTTTAGCATCATACACATACTTAGTATTCACAAGTAGTTCTTGAACCGGTAAATATACCTAGATACTACCAGCTGGTTTAAAGTTTTTAGAAGGAATGCAACATATTTTTTCTTGGTTCAACATTTAACATTTCTAATTAAATGCATAAAAAAACTAGTTAGACATTTTCCATTAACATTAAAAGTCGGAAAAATAAAATGTTAAAAATTTGTGGAATAAAATGACCCCTAAACTAAGTAATAGTAGTGGGTTATTTGGACATGACTCATGCTCTTTCGGGAATTAATTACCCTTTAACTTTCATTTGGTACTAGAATCGCCCACTGCGTTTCTGGGGTGCCGTGACAGCATTTTATAAGTGAACATGGGTGCAGACTACTTTCATAAGCCCCAAACAAAAGATCAGTCTGCAGTGCTCACGTGTTTCATGTAGTAGATCTCTGTGCATGACAGTGTAGGGTGTTCTGACACTGCACGCCTCTGCCAGTGTGAAATAGTGAGCTGACTTCATGTAAATTCACATTTCTAGACTGGGGAGTCAGCCTTAAGTTTTATGCAGAATACCACCACTTCACTAGCTTTGTCACTTTCCGACAGTTAATTAACCTTCTTGAAATTCAGGGTTGGTTGGTTGGTTTGATTGTCTGTTTTAGCAGAAAGGGGACTGATAATACCTTGCAGTTTGGGTGAGAGGTAGTTAGTTTCTAACAGTACCTAGTTCATGGTTGGATACTCAATAAAGTTAGCTTGTATAAAACTAAGAGCAGCACTGTAGCTGGGTTTTGTGGGGTTTTTTTAGGATACTTTATATTAGTGTTAGGGAACTTAAATGATGTGTTTACATTGTATTTACATTTTTAGGGGACTGGTGTTTGGTTGATGTGCCGCTTGTGGTCCTTAACAGTTGTGTGTCTCTGCTGATTGTTTTCTTTCGGGACCTGCACGCTGACAGTCTGGGTTCTCTCCGTCCTTCGCTAACACTCACAACTGTCTTTAGGTTTGGGGATGTATGAAACCCCCCTCTTCCTGGCTCACGAAGAAGAGTCGGGGGGCCGCAGCGTCCCCACCACCCCTCTGCAAGTCGCGGCTCCAGGTGGGTGTCAGAGGCAGACTGTCGGGTTGTGTGTGTTGTTGGTGAAATGGAAACTTGTGAGGCAGCTTTTGGCTAAAAATGAGGTAAACTGCGAAGTGAAAGCATTCATTGCTTTTCTGGTCTTCCACTGTGAAGTGAACGTGTTCACCGAGAGCACCGCCTCTGACGCTTCGGAGCACGCCTCGCAGTCTGTCCCAATGGTGACCACGTCGACTGGCACTTTGTCCACCACCACCGAAACGGCCACAGGAGATGACGGCGACGAAGTGTTCGTGGAGGCGGAATCTGAAGGGTGAGTGTTTACTTCGTGATTTTCGCTTGCTTTAGATTTGCCAGGCTTCACACTTGTTTTCCTTCAGCCTGGAGTCGGTCTGCTGAGCTGTGTTTTCAGCAGCATCCTGCTGCTAAAGTAAACCGAGCCATACGTTTTGAAAGACTGGTTTTTGCGTCTAATAATATTTTGGAGGTTGTTATTACAGAAGACAAGTGTTAGCTTCCTGAAAATTGCGTGAAATACTCATTCCAGAGCAAAATATTTATTTAAAATCACTGGTGTCCTTCCATTAATGTAACTGCTTGAACTTTTCCCCAAGAAAGAAGTCTTTCTCTGAAAATTAGCAATATCAGGAAATGACTCAACTCTCCACGCAGTAGTGGGCTTTCGGGTGAACCTGCCTTACCTTTATTTATAGGCACTCAGAACTTCCTACAAATTAGAGATTATCTGGTAGTTCTCAAGGCCCGGCTACATGTGGAACACACGTGTTCCACACAGTTTAACAAAGGAACTGTTTCATGACAAATCATCTAGATTTTTTTAAGCCAAAATAAGTAATTTACTAGGAAGAACTAGCGGACAGTGGTATTAGAGAAGTTTAACTTTGAAGATGGGAACCTAATTCTTTCTTAAATAAAATAAAACGTTGTACTGGCTTATGGTCAGAAGCAAAGCTAGATGTAGAACCCACATTTCCTTGGTAGAGCCCAAAGGTTTTATGTAGCAGTATTTTCTTAGCGTGATTATAGGCCAGTCTAGTGTATGGGGGATAAAGCAGGCCTGTTATCATGCTCGAACACGGTGCTCCTTCACTTAGGGAGGTTGTAGACCCTGCTGGGAAGACAGCCTGCCGTTAATTCCATACCTTTTGTGCTGGTCACTTCACACATGTCGTTTTGACCCACACATACCTCTGCGAAGGTCATCTCCTTTTTACAAATGAGAAAGCTCAGAGTCAGAGTGTCCACCGTGGTGACTGACTTCAGCCCCTTGTGCTCTGTGCTTTTCACTTGTCCAGCACTGTTCAGTACCCGCAGTGGTCACGAGGAAGGTCTTTCAAGTACATTGTTGCTCCTGACTGTGCTGAAGTTCACGGTGATGAAGACCAGAGCGGACCCGAGCTGGTCTTATACTCTCATCTCCCTCACTTGCCTCCCGGAGTGGGGAAGGGGTGGGTTACTGCCATCCCTTGGGGAAGGGATGGAGCCAGGGGTTCTCCCCGCAGCCTGGCTCATCTGCACTAGAGCCCCAGCTGAGTAGTGGTCTGTTATCCATAGTTGGGACCGTCGTGAATTATTCTAGTACTGTACTTTCCTAGAAAGTTGTTCTGAGAGTTATCAGAATCTGGATAAATATGTCCCCGTCAGTGTTACGAATGTAAACATCCCTTGTCAAAAAGAAAATATATATAACAAAAAAGAGTGGGGAGGTTTGGAATGTGTACTAGTAAGAAGAGGAGGAGGGGGAAGCGTCTTGAGCTCTCTTGCCCCTGCCCGCTAAAACACTGCCTGTCGCTACCAGGACCAGAGCCTGCGGCTTGGGGCTGGGGTAGAGCTCTGTCTACATTAAGTGATAAACTGTATCGAAGAGTGTGGAAAAGCAGCATGCGCTCTAGGATTAGTTTTGTATTTCCTAATGAGTTTTTGTTTTCCTTTCTTAGTATTAGTTCAGAAGCAGGCCTGGAAATTGATAGTCAGCAGGAAGAAGAGCCTGTTCAGGCATCTGATGAGTCAGATCTTCCTTCCACCAGCCAGGACCCTCCTTCCAGCTCTTCTGCAGGTCAGTTCCTGCTGTTGACCGCAGCACAGCCTTGCTCATCGAGCCTGCTTGCAGCGGACGCTTTTGGCAGTAACAATTTAGTAATCTCTTCTCCTGAATCTTACATTGCTTTATTGAAAATGGAGACTTTATTTTATTTTAGGGAACGTGGTTTATATGGAAGGGAATGGTCTGTGCTGTGTTGGCAGTGCTAAGGGGCTGGGGTGGGTGCCTGGGAGGGAGCTGAGGAGCAGGGCTCCAGGCCTGTCTCTCACCTGTTTAAACCAGAGCAGCTCATTGTTATGTGGCTGCCTATAGGGGTCTACATGAAATCGGGGGGGGGGGGGTCTTTAAAAGAAGTTTGAGATGCACTGATGGAAACAGTTTTGAAGTGTGACATTTTAACTTTGAAAAAGGTTATTTTATGTCTTTTTTTAAGAGTATAGTTATTTCTGCAGCAGTGCTTTTTAAAGATAACGTTTGTTGAGTACTCGCTGTGTTTGGGGCACTATGCTAAGCTCGGGTCCTCCTTTTATAGTCGTGGGGGCGGAGACACTGAAAGGTCGCAGGACTGCACTGCAGTCACATGGCCGGCAGAGCGAGGGGTAGCCGGGCGGGAGCTCACAGAGTTTGGCTCCAGAGATGCTCGTCTTAACGTGCCATACCAGTCTACCTACCTCGAAATGTTACGTGTGGAGTTACTTTTGTTGTTAAAGAAATATAGTCCGCGGTCACCCACTCGGATTATTTTCATCGAATTGTTACAGCGGTCATTCTCAAACTGCGCCAGGTTTTACGGAAAAGACTCTGGTTGTTGACACTTTTAAGTCATGGCACACGGCCACATCAGGGTCCCCTCAGCCGAGTCTCTGTGACACGTCAGCCTGTTAGCCAACATTTCTAGTTTCCAGTCTCGCATCCACCTTTTATCAACTAGTAACTTTACATCACTGCACATTTCATCAGGAAATAGACATTCACAACTAACCTCACAGCCAGAATTAGAAATAATGTATATAAGTTGTATAACTCTATACTTCACACACAGTAAAGCTCAAAAATTATAACTGTCATATTTATTATTAACACAGTTAGTGCCCTGGCCAGGTGGCTCAGTTGGAGCATCATCCCGTATACCCAAAGTTTGTGTGTTCGATTCTTGGTCGTGGCACATACCCAGGTAGCAGGTTCGATCCCTGGTCAGGGCATGTACAGGAGGCAACAGACTAATGTTTCTCTCTCACACTGATGTCTCCCTCTCTCTCCCTCCCTCTCCCCCCTCCTCTCTTAATTCTTCCCTCCCTTCCTCTCTCAAATCAGTAAGATACTTTTTTTAAAAAAACCTTATCCTCAGGTGAGGATTAAAAAAATAATAATAGCCCTGGCTGGTGCGGCTGAGCGGATTGAGCACTGGCCAGCAAACCAAAAGGTTGCCAGTTTGATTAAGGCACATCCCGGGTTATGGGCCAGTAACCCAGCTGGGGACGCATGAGAGGCAACCGATTGATGTTTTTCTCACACATCAATTTTTCTCTCCCTCTCTTCCTCCCTCCATTCCCCTCTCTCTGAAAATAAATAAAATCTCTTTTAAACAAATAAAAAATACAATATCAGTGAAGTTCTGTGCCCCCAATTATATTCTGACGTCCATGAGAATTGTCTTTTCTCAGCACAGTTGGAAACTTCTTACTAGAGCTGGCGTGAAAAATACTGTTCTTCTTCAGTTTTACAGTGTATTATGAAATTAGGGTCTCTCTACATTTATTCGATAATATAAAACACAAAACTTTCCCATCTGAGCAGTTATTCATTTAGTAAACAAATATTTGAGTGCTTGCCATGTGCCAGGCAGTTTCACTGAAAGCACTACTAAGAAAGTGGCTTTTTTTTTTAAGTTTATTTATTTTTAGAGAGAGGAGGGAGAGAAACATCAATGTGTGGTTGCCTCTCATGTGGGCCCTGCCGGGGACCTGGCCCACAACGCAGGCATGTGCCCTGACTGGGAATTGAACCAGTGACCCTTTCGTTCGCAGGCCGGCACTCAATCCACTGAGCCACACCAGCCAGGGCAGAAAGTGACATTTAAGTAAAGACCTGAAAGAGGTTCGGGAGTGACGCTGTGCAGTCATGTGGGGGAGGGTGTTCTAGGATGAGAGAAGTAGCAGACACAGAGTCTGGGAGGCAGGGGTGTGACTTGCTCAGGGTCAGCAAGGAGGCCCGTGGCTGGACTACAGCAAGGACAGAGACAGAGAGAGACCGCAGTAACAGAAGCTGTGGGGAGGGTAAGCCTCGTGGGCCATCGTAGCTGCTTTCACTTCCAGGGCAGAGGAAGCTTTTGCGGGGCTCGGAACAGCAGCAACATGATCTGACCTAGACTTAGCAGGGTCAGTTTGGCCGCAGCGTAGAGGAGGGGCTGCAGATGGGTGGTGGGCAGAAACGAGCAGAACCTGTGGAGGGCGTTGCCGTAATTCAGGGCAAAGATGGAGTTTTAGACAGAGTCGTAGAGCTAAGGTTGGGAACGGAGGTCCGGTTCAGGATATGTATTTAACGGAGAGCTGGCGGGATTTCTGACGATCGAGTGTGGACGTCTGAAAAGGGGAAGAATCAGTGTATCGTAACGGGCTGTCCTTTTCCTGTTTTTATTCTCCGTTGTGTTCCTCACCTGCCAGCTCGCGGTTGACACAGGGATAGGCACCAAGTGAATATTCAGTTTGTTGAGTGAAAGAATGGAAAAGTCAAGAACTTACCTTTTCAAACAAAATATTTTCTTTTTATCCTGTTTGTTAAAAATGCCATCTTAAAAAACTTCTAAATACTGAAAACAAACGGACCCCTCTGCATTTTACCCCTGCATTCAGTTTTTGCCATTATCACTGCTTTTTTGTTTTTTGACTTGCTTTCCTGTATCTTACTGCCTTCCGTCTTAGATACGAGCAGTAGTCAGCCGAAGCCTTTCCGACGAGTGAGACTTCAGACGACTTTGAGACAGGGCGTCCGCGGCCGTCAGTTTAACAGACAGAGAGGTAAATTCCTAACATACTGACTACGTGGTGTGGGGCGCCGAGAAACAGCACTTTTCAGTCCTCAAGCTTCCAATTTGTATGTTGTTTTTTTAATGTTCTAAGAATTGATTAAATAATTGTGCATTGAGTATGTGACATTCACTGATCTGTAAACGTCTTGTAGACACATGTTTATACCATAGGTGTGTAATGAGTGTGTGCTTCTGTTTGTTTATTCCTTGAATTCGAAGTAATACTTAGAAAAGCTGACGTGCTTCAGTGCTGTGTACTCGTTTGGGGTGTCTCTGCCCGTTACAGTTTATTCCACAGAGTAAAGCTTTGTGCGGCTGGTTTAAAAAATGTGAAGTTTGAATACCTCCATGTTTTCTAATGTAACCATTAGAGATTGCATTCGCGTGATAAAAACATTAATCTAATTGTATTGAAAATGCGAAATGTTGAAATTAATAATCTTTGAAACACATTTTAGAATGAACTAGAGTAAGTGAATATTCTAGCTTCGGGCTAACTTCTTGAAAGACACATTCAGTTTGACTCTTCTTTTTTTCTCTCATAGGTGTGAGCCATGCAATGGGAGGGAGAGGAGGAATAAATAGAGGAAATATTAACTAAATATCCTATAAACTGTAATAACTGTGAATAAGATTGTTCAGACTGTGTTAGTGTTACGATTGTCGAGCTTAAAAAAATTTTGTATTTAAATCGGTATGCTTATCTCAACATTCTTTATTAATAAAATGTATTTCAATGTCAAAATTTATCCTTTTTTGCTTTCATTGTCAAAATGCATCACTCTTTCCTCGCTTTCATTGTCCCTTCCCCTGCTCGCCGGCCTGAGGGCAGTTGTACCAGACGTTGGCTAAGGTCCTCCCGGGGCGGGTGGAGAGGGCTCTGGCTGTCCTCCTGGGCACGTCGATGCTGTAGTGTTGGTCTGGAGAGAGAGTGTCGTTCATTAACAGGGGAAAACGCACTCGCGTTTAAAAATAGGTTATGTTGATTATTATAGTCAAAGGCGGCGGGGCATATCATGTTACTATCAGAAATGTTTCTAATTAATTTGAACTTTCTAACAAGAGGGAAAATAGTTATGTTGACAGGCTGACCTTTCACCACCTGTTAGTAAAATTAGGTTTAACTCCTTTTTCAAAGTGAAAATTTGAGAAAGCCAAGTTCATTTTTAAAAAAATATTTAAAAATTTTTACAGTTTAACTTCTCACCTGAGTTACCATTCAGCACTTGGCGGGTTTTGTTTTGATTATATTTGTATTTCAGAGATTAGAGCGCTTTTCTGGGAGGCTGTTCGGATTTTAACTCACCCCTAGAAAAGGCGTAGTAATCGTAGCCGTCGGGTTTCCTGATGTTGGGCAGCGCCACGGCCGAGGTCACCACGCTGGGAAGTCCTCTCCACAGTGAGCTCACTTTGACCTCATTGTGGAGGAAGCCTGTGGGGGACATTGGGAAGAGCAGCCGTTAGAGTCAGACAGACCCGGCTGGCCTGGTCGTGCCCCTCTGCCGACGTGGTGTGAACACCTACTTCTATCACTGTTCAGAGGGTTACAGATTTGTATGTAATGTTGTCGGTAAGAGATGCTTGATAAACAGTATTTATTACAATTCACAAACATTCAAACTGCAATCCTTACCTACAGAGAAAAAGTTGATCTTGGATCATTCATGGAGGCAAATTGATGTCAAAGTGTTAGGGTTGTTTGGTCAGTATTTATATTTAATAAGGCTTACTTTATAAGAAATTCTATTACATCCGCTTCACATGTAAGCATTTTGACACAGGAAGAGACGTTACCTTTGTCTTGGTAATGGACTCTGACGGGCGTGTATTGAATTCTGATGGTGTGCATTTGCGGTCCAATCGCCCGCTGGAAGCGACGTCTCCTGACCTGCGTGGTTTCTCCAAACACTGGGTAGTTAATGGCAGGCCTTCTTGCAGCGCACTTCCTGGTGGGTTCCTGTTTGTAAGTGTACTCCTGCACTCTGCCGCCTGGCGTGTATTAGAAAATCATACTTAAATGGAATTAATTTTAATCCCCCTGCCCCCCCAAAAAATGGAAAAGAGCTTTTACAAGGTGGAAGAAACAATGTTTTTCATAAAGGAGGTATAGACAATAATAGTGCTCAATCAAGGGTATTTTGAAACCGATTACTACATCATGCAATACTTGAATTAATAAAGCCAACAGACTGTGTAGTTCTGTACTTAACTTTGTGTAAAAGTAAATGATGACATTCTTTTTATATGATGACTAGAAACTCAGGTGAAATTATGGTTTGCATGTTGGGAGATGTAAATATGTCTTAGTGCCCTTGATTTTTTTTTTTTTACTGAAAACTTTTTATCCAGCTATTAAAGGTGTCTTTTGACAGTAAACCCAGTAGAAAGTGGAAATATATTCAATAAAATTGTCCTGGCAAATCAGTTCTTGAAAGTTGTACAATGTCGATTATGTAACACACACCTCTCTTGAAAAAATACACAGCTTCAGGTCTGTCCTTATATTTAGGTATGGAAAGAGCTGCCACTATTTTTCCCGTTAGTCCTCCAAAGCCTTTTACAATTTGTTTGGGGTACCCAGGGTCTTGTACATCATTGGTGAAACGCCAGTACTGGGAATCCTGAAAATTTAAAAGAGGAAATGAGGTTAACAGCTTTGGGGGAAAAGGTTAGGAATTTATTCTTAGATTTAAGTATAGGGAGAAAGTTTTAACTTCAGTATTTGAATAAGTTGGCCATGAATGTGACCAAATTGGGGTTAACTTTTTATTAAATTTTGATGGCGGAAGAGTTCATTAAAATATGGAACCCTTCTGAAGTGGAAGTTAAGCTGATTTGTTTTTATAATAAAGAATAACTATTTGCTGATTTCTCGCCGAAGATACTTTTCTTACCTTAAAGAAGAAAGTTTTGCCTTCACAGTTGCACCTCGTAAAAACAGTGTCGATGGGGGAGGGGATACCCCAAACTTCAGTAATTCTACGGGGAGGAGGTGGTGGGCTGGATGGATTTAGCATCCAGAAATAATGACCTAGAATTGAAAGCGACAGATCAGCCTACAAGAGGAATGAATACTAAAACCTCTCCAAAAGAAACCAAAGTGAAAAAATTGTTAATCATGGTAAAAACATTGAATGGGTTCACAAGCGTTGTATGACCAGAAGTTCAGTGGGAACTGGGCTGGTACAGAACGCAGTATTTGAACACCTCGGAGAGTAGAACATGAGTCTCAAGTCTGAAATGGAGCATAACCTTGGAAATATTTTCGTTTCTCTAAAAGCCTTCTGACTTTGTGACTTAGAGAAAGCAAAGCCAATTTTCTCTCAATGTCTTTAGTCTTTCAGAATTAAGGACTTACAATTAAAGGACTACTAAAGTCGTTTCCGCCTCCACTGAACAAGTCAGAGACTGACTGCCTTTCAGATTTAATCCAAGTATAAGAAGCCAGGCCAGGTGACTCCTCCGCAAAGAGGGGAAACGACTACAACACAATCAAGGGGTTGTTTTCAAGTGCAGTTAGAGCAGGGAAAACACGTCCATATGTCATCTACTTGATAGGAAGTTAAAATCTGAACTAACCTTTCAATTCCTAAGAGTAGGAAAACTCAGTATCATTTCCAGCTCCTTGTCTGTTACTCTAACATGTCTAAACTTGTTAATCCAGTTATTCTAGTAATTACCCTTCAGGTTTTCCTAAATTGTGTGAGATAAATGCCGAAAGCAGAATGATGGGCAGAAAAAGAAGTATGTGCATAGCTCACCTCGAAATGCAACCAGTGTCCCGTTGGCCAGCGTCGTCAGCCCGTCTACTGGCTTACCGTTGCACAGATTAGTCTCATCTAAAACAAACGAAAAGTTAAGTCAATACAAAACGAGACAAGGGTTTGCTTCTTTCAGTTCCTCGCAGAGTTCCATTTTCTCTGTTCACCCCTTCCCGAGCACTTGAAGGGTATGTAGTTTGAGGTGTGTGAATTCCGCAGGTGGAAGAGAAATATATTTCATAATTGTTTTTACTTAAAGGTGATACTGTTCAAAAAGTATATAAAAATGAGTGAGAGCCCTGGCTGGTGTGGCTCAGTGGATTGAGTGCCGGCCTGCAAACCAAAGGGTTACTGGTTCAATTCCCAGTCAAGGCACATGCCTGGGTTGGTGGGGGGAGTGCTAGAGGCAACCACACATTGATATTTCTTTCCTCTTCCTCCCCTCTCTCTAAAAATAAATAAAAGCTTTAAAATTTTTTCAAAAAGGAGTGAAGAATTAGAATAGGCCACGTTAACTAATCTTCAAGTAAATTATTATTTCCTTGATCTCAACATAACATTCCATTTTCCTGTTCTGATTGCCCTTTGGAATTGACTTGGAAAAGAACGACACTGCAGATTTTCGCTTTGCATTGCACCTTCTTTTAAGGATAGGCTCCCAATTAAATATTTTTGGCATTCTGTACACTCTCTCTGCTTACGGATGCACTAAGTTCTTAACCATGGACATTACTCCATTTTCCAAAGATTAAATAATCTTACAGGGATTAGTTCTCTGCTTACCTAGAGAGAAGCTGTGAAATTTACCGAGTTTGGGGATCTAGGTTAATACACATTATATTAAATCAGGGCTTTCCAGTTCTGGCAGAACTACGTTAACATGACCAACTTCAAAAAATGAGTCACGGACCCTCTTTACCTGAGAGCATGGGGTTGATGCCGATGGCTTGGTTGGGTCCTTGCACTATGAGATCGGAGCCTGGAACGATGATAGGAGTTAACACCTGGGGCCTGAGGATCACGGGAGGTTTTTCTCCTTCAGCGGCATTTGCATCTTCGTCGTTTGGATTTTCTCCAGCCACTTCTGAGTTGGGAGCTTCATGAGAGCAGGGGCTGGTTGGGGGCGTGGCTTTCCCCGGAGAGGCAGGGTTTGGTGTAGGCGCCGTTGATGGAGTCATCTTGGGGGGAGACGGTGTCGGCTTCGGTTTTCTCACTGTCGGTGTTGTGTTTGGCTTTTTGGTAGAAGTGGGCGTCCGGGGTGCTTTAGTTGGATTTGGGAGTTTAGGAGTCACTTTAGGGTCAGTAGCTGTGTCTTCTGGTGGTGTCATTTCTTCAGGTGTATTCACAGACTCTTCGGTCGTAGTAGTTGTCTTTTTGGTTGTCGTCGTCACCTTGGAAGCAGGGGTTGTTTCCTTAGGAGTAACTTTGGGTGATGTGGTGGCATCCTTGGTTGTGGTAGTTGTTACCTGCACAGTTGTGGTAGTTTTTTTGGATTCAGTAGCCGTTTCTTCTTTTGGTGTTGCCGCATCTACTGTTGTACTCTTAGATGTAGCGGTTGTGATCTTAGTTGTAGTCTGTGTGGCTTTTTCTGTTGTCTTATCCTTCACTGTAGTAGTCGTTTCAGGCTTGGTTCCTTCAGGAGCCTTGGTTGTAGGTACAGCAGGCGCCTTGGGACTGTTTTCCAGAGCCTCTGGCAGGGGTTCTACAGGAAACTCAGGAGTTGGTGCAGCAGGATTCTTGGGAGGAGGGGGAGGAGTAGAGGCCTTTGAGATGGTTGGAGCAGGTGTCTCAGGAGAAGTGGGAGCCGGCTCCTTGGGAGTGGTGGGTTCCGGCTCCTTGGGAGTGGTGGGTTCCGGCTTCTTGGGCGTGGTGGGTTCAGGCTCCTTGGGCGTGGTGGGTTCAGGCTTCTTGGGAGTGGTGGGTTCAGGCTCCTTGGGAGTGGTGGGTTCCGGCTTCTTGGGAGTGGTGGGTTCAGGCTCCTTGGGGGTGGTGGGTTCAGGCTCCTTGGGCGTGGTGGGTTCAGGCTCCTTGGGCGTGGTGGGTTCAGGCTCCTTGGGCGTGGTGGGTTCAGGCTCCTTAGGGGTAGTGGGTTCAGGCTTCTTAGTGGTGGTGGGTTCAGGTGCCTTGGGGGTAGTGGGTTCAGGGTCCTTGGGGGTGGTGGGTTCAGGCTTCTTAGGGGTAGTGGGTTCAGGCTCCTTAGTGGTGGTGGGTTCAGGCTTCTTAGTGGTGGTGGGTTCAGGCTTCTTAGTGGTGGTGGGTTCAGGCTTCTTAGTGGTGGTAGGTTCAGATGCCTTGGGGGTGGTAGGTGCAGGCTCCTTGGGGGTGGTAGGTGCAGGCTTCTTGGGGGGGGTGGTGGGAGAAGGCTTTTGAGTGGTGGTGGGAGTAACAGATTTGGTTGTAGTTTCAACTTTGGTTGTAGATTTAGCAGAAACTGTCGTGGCTCCCAAATCTTTAGTAGATGTTGTTTCTGTGCTGCGTGTCTCTTTGCCTGAAGTAGTTTTCTCCTTCTCACTAGTTGAAGTCTCTTTAGTTGTTACAGAAGTCTCTTTAGTTTCAACTGTTGTCTCTGTATTGGCCGTCGAAGACGTCTCTTTGGATGTTTCAGAGGCAGGCGACGGGCTGGGTTTAGAACTTGTCGTTGTCACTGTTGTCACCTTGGAGGTTGTGGTTACTTCACTGCGTTGAGTGGCAGGTAGGTCCGGGGTTGAGGTGGGCTTGAAGTCACCATTGTCCAGTCCGCTTCCAGCTTCATCTCCAGCTGGTGGTTCTGGAGCAGGTTTCTTTTTAGGAGCTTGTTTCTTGTTATCTTTTACTGGAGAAAAAAAACACATGTTTTATTTGGGGGTAATTTCCTTGTCTTTAATAATGATATACGATCCCATTCTTATCGCTGACTAGCTTTGTGTCTCTAGGCAGGTTGCCAAACTCTAATATGTCTATTAATTTATTATAAAATGTTAAATACTTAAGCTATCTTATTGGGCTATCTTAGGGAGTGAAGTAGATAAGGAGTGAAAAGACGAGTAAAACTATACAATTGACCCATGGAAACAAGTGGCAAATTTGAAATTCCAACATGATCAATGTTTGTGTCTTTACACGAAAGCTCTTGGCCCTTCCCCTGCCCCACTGTTGTAGTCCCCACTGCTCAGTGCCCCTTTCTGCCTCCTGGAAACCTAGTTCTAACATCTGGAAGACTCTGCATCAATTCCCTGAGAGGCCTCTACAACTACACCCAAGGATGCTCCAGTCCCCCCCGCATGCTCCCTGCTGAGCCCCAGGTCCACACACAGGACTGTTAGTTGGTCTCTCCTCTTCCCAGTCCCAGGGGATGCGAAGAGGAGAGTAGGATTCCAGGGCAGTAAAAGGACCCCTTTTAACAGTATCCGCCATAGCAGCTGCCCCAGGGAGGAACTAGAGCCCCAGGGGCATTTCACTGAGACGGGTTCCATTTCATGGACTCAGGTTGCATTCCCACTGTGTGCAGGACTCTGTGGATGACTCAAAGATTAAATATCTGGCTATCCAGCTAGAGAGAAGGCTTCGGGGAAAATCACAACCACCCAGGGAATAGTTCTTTAAAATTCCAGTATCCAAAATCCAGTATTTTCCTGGAGAAAGAGAATATAGTTTAGAATTTCAGGAAATAACAAGCAGAGCGAAGGGAACCTCTCCTCAGAAGGCAATAATAGCCTACCCTGCAGTATATTTTCCACTACAGACAAATCAGCCAGATATGACACCTAATTCATTAGGAAAATAAAGAAGACCTGTAAAAATGTGGAGAATAATATTGTCTTTCCCAGAAAGGTGTATGAGAATTTAATAAGTGAACGGGCTAAAGCAGTGTATAAAAAGTGTTTGTGAAATAAAAGAAATCTGGGAAAAGAAAAATGAAAATGTAAGGAAGATAGAGGACGAAGAAAGGGAGATGGTATTGGGTAGAAGGGACCACAGTCATTGCCGGCGCCGTCCTGTGGATCTGCAGTTTCTGTGAAGCATCTTCTTAACCTTTGCTTTAAAGGGGTTTCTCAGCTGCGTGGCACTAATGTCCTATAATAAGCTTGCATGGGCATCTTCTAAAATAACTTGTAAAGTCATACCCATGCCCCCCGCCCCAGTTCTGAAACATCCTCAAATCCCTCTACCCACTCCCATATACTTTTAGGTAAGCATTGTAATGGCATTGATATAGTCTTTGATCTTTATCAATGCTCAAACCTTTGGGTTTCTTCTTTAATTCTTTATTAGCAGCTGAATTTTTGGAAGACTTGAATTTCCGAATACTCGAAGAGGAAGAGGAAGAGGAGGAGGAAGACTCTTGGTTTTCAGAAACAGAATGTTCTACAAATTAAATAAAAAGGTTGATCACACCAATTGTGATTTAAAGCAAAAGAGAAGCGCCAGTCCAAATACAACACAAAAAATGCTGTTTTCTGGTCTATAAAAGTCTGCGTTCTAGTTTTATCAGTAACATGGCCCACTGCCCTTCTGATCTGTCAGTTAAAAGCTAGACACCTGAGCTTATCACAGACACTAGAAATATAATGATAACTTTCTCAAGTCTCAGCAGAATCTATTATTCTGCAAAAAAAAAAGATCGTGCTCTTTTTTTTTTGGTAACATTGAGACTTGTTTCTTATGATTATTTTAACCTAGACCCTTCCTGGGTTCAGTAAATAAGGAAAATAAATATCTGAGTAGGGTTTATACTTTAGCTTAAACTTCAACTCCAAACAAAGTAAACAAAAAGTGTAATGAGCCTTTAATGACTCAAGGTGACCCTGTTCTATGAAGAGTCTTAAAAGAACCGTCACCGAAAGGTTATTCCTTCTCAGAAACCTCCTCTTGTTCCATCTGTCATCTTCCTACCTTCTGTTATTTCCTCTGATTCTACAACTTTCTTAGTCTTCTTCTTGTCTGTGGATTTGGGTGAACGTTTGGTGGTTGATTTGACGGGCGGACGTGCTCCCGCAGGCGGAGGCGCTCCCGCAGGCGGAGGCGCGGTCTTTGGAGATGGCGGTGTGGTGGGGTTATGCACTGAGGCCAAGCAAGACAGGCGGGTTAACATCTGTTCACACGCGTCACCAACTTAGCGAGAAAGCCGTGGTGCATCGGCCTTCGAGGGGACATGCTGGTGACCGCCAGCGTGGCAGGCTTTAGCCAACCAACACTAATGACTTGAAACCAACAAATTCTGAGGGTGCATCGCTATAAAATATTGGTTCCCAAATTGGTATAAACTATGACCAGGAGCTCAGGAGTCAGAATTCCAGTCCTAGGCTCTACCATTGTGACCTTGGGGAAATGGGTGAATCCCCTTTGAACTTCACTTCTTGCTTGCAAACTGAGATGTTTCTCCTAGATGATTTCTGGAGCTCTGTGCTGTCTAAAAATACTTCATAAACCCCGTCCCGTGGGCCCGCCTTCCATGAGGATCAAAGTAATGACTGTGTGTGGGTGGGAAATACGATAATTACACTGTGTTATTTTCATATTCTTCTAAAATAAAGGATGTCAATTTACCTTTCATTTACTTTTTAATTACGGAAGTTCTACATGAGTATCTCCTCTTGTGAAACTTCCACGGCTTCACATTATGCTTCTCCCAAAACTCGTTACCCTCCCCCAAGTTACACAGCTGTTAGGGGTTCGAGTTTCTTCTAAACTTTGAGTCACCCCTCCGCCCACCTCTTTTCTTGTCTAGAGGAGAAGCTGTGGTTTGATCATTAGGAACCTGAAGAAAAGGCGAAGGACGTCTGAAAGATCAGGCAGCAGAGAACAGCATGGGCGCCCGGGTGGCGGAGCCTCGTCCCTAAACCCAGCTGCACTTCCCAAGCCTCTGCAGTGTCCAAGAAGTGACTGTAGCCCCTCTCTCCCCAGCTTTCTTCCCCCAACAAAAGTGACAAGTACTCAATCTGAGAAACTGTTCCACCACAGACTACTAGCTAGGGACCTTCAGCAAAACACTTAACCGCCTGGACTGTTTTCTCACCCATATTCATAACTGGACAGCTGATTCCTTCCATTCTTGAAAAGTTAGGACATTGAGATTCACAGATGCCTACAGGCAGGCTCTCTGGTAATCTCGAAACAGCTACGTGGTGAGTCACAAGATAATATTGCTTGCTGTTGTTTAAAGTGTTGAAGCTCTGGCTGTTTGTTTGTTTGTTTAATTTTCAGATGGGACCCCACTACCTGTGAATTCTGCACCTGAAAACTGTAACCCTCATCAGTTTTTTCCACTGAGTCCTCCTCTAACCTCGGGCAATCTGACCGACCACTTAGTAGCAGAAAGCTTCTTCTTTCCAAACGGGTTCTTCAATGCCTCATCACTTTCCCACCATCCTCATTCCCCACCTGTGCTCTGCCCGAAATGCGTTCTTAGTTTTTTGTCTCTCAGCCAGAACAATTCTCTGGGCAGAGAGTACATAGGTCCCGCCCACGCGGGTCCTTCTGGTAGCTGCGGGAACTCTGCACTCTGAGTTTTTGATTACAAGGGTGTTGCCTCCCTTATTTTTGGAACGCTTTCCAATGAAAACATTGAACGGTGAAGAAATGTCCGCTCTACCGCTTAGCGGTTTTCCACCCTGTTTCTCCACCGTTTGAAAGAAGCAGCAGGCGCAGCCTTGTTTAAATAAAATGATAAGGTTATGCAAGCAATGCTTATTTTCACGTTCTTCCACAAACATTCTTGTTTTAACAAAAGTAGGCTTTAAGAACAAACATTTGGCAAAAAAAAAAGGAATCCATTACTTAAACATATTTTTAAAAGCTTGTGGGTTTCTTGGGTAAAATTCAGAGGGGTTTATTACACTCTTGGAGGACTCTGCAGGCCCTAGAACCAGAGAAGATTTTTGGTGGGTCTATCTCGCACAGGCACTTGCCAAGAGAGTCTTGAGCCGGCTGTCAACAAGGTGGGAAGAGACATACAGTGGACAGTTAACAAATCCTTGGCAGGCTGGTTTGGAAATTTAGTGCCTTAAACTAAGTCCTAAATTTACTAGTTCAAAGAAGCTAAAAGTGTGGATTCCCTCCTTGAACACACTGAAAAACGTTACTGCCCAAAACACAGATAGCTCAAACGACAGTGGACACTGCGGGGTCCGCACCACTCAGGCGAGACAAGAAACCATCACGTGAGTGGGTTGCTGTGGATGTAACCCACAACTGAACCACACCTGAAGAAAAAAGCATTTACACTCAGGCCCCGCCCTCTCTCCCCGAGCCTGGCTGAGCCAGGGGGCCACTGTTGGAAGAGGCTTTCATTCTCTAGTACATCTTGGTGAAACAAAGTGAATAAGGAATGGCTTATGTGTTAGTAAAATCAAGACCTTGGAGGGGCTGCGTGTTAGACATCATGGGAGAAGATGCGGCAGGCGCACGGCTCCGGCTGCGCCCACGTGCGCTCACTGGCCCTGGGATGCTTACCTTCTTCGCAGAAAGCCTCATAATCCGGACAGCACTTGCCGTACTTCTTACAGTCTGAGTCACAGTCACACTCCCTCCCTCGAGAAAAGGACTCGAAGCAGCGGCCTTTACAGGAAAGCTCTACCCAGAGCAAAACAAAACATCAGGAATTATTGACATGCGGCCACGCCCCTGTATGGAGAGCCGTTGCCCACCTGCTAGCTACCCAGGGCTCCAAAAGTGTCTTCCTATGGACTTTATATAGAATTTGGAAAATGGGTGGTGTCCCAAGTAAGAAATGTGATGATTTAGGGCTACTTTTCTTGCCCTTCATGGCTTCGAGAGATACATCCCAATGCTACCTGAGTCATTTGCCTGTAGGGACAGTGGAAAACTGGGAAAAGTCTGTGATAAATCACCCTTTGTACAAAATCCCTCCATCCTCTCTCCTCCTCACACCACTGCTTTGTAATAGATGTTTTGTTAATTTAATGTACACATTCTACAACAATAGAGTCCAAGCGGGCCCATGGTTCAGCTCAGAATTATTTATAATGCGGAGACCTTCATTAATGACAGACAGGGCACCGTGTCAGGTTGAAAGATTTCAGCCGAACCCGGGGCAGGACCATGTAAGACAGGTCAGCTCTTATCAGAAACAGCTTCGGTGGAAGTGACCCCACCGAGGCCTATTTGAAATAATTTCCTACATAACACACACATTGCATGACAATATACTTATCACCTTCATGAGCAAATGCTAAAGCAAAAATAACTTTGATACACTTTTAATTACAATTTTTTTATAGAGAGTAAATATGAAATGTTTCTAGGTTGACAACAAAATGGCCCAAAATACATTCACAAGTGAAATACTATCATTTGAAAATCAGACCCTTTGGCTATTTATTGAAACTCATCATTAAACACTAATTCTTTGTCTTTCAAGTGCCATTTTCAGGTAAATTAGAAACATGTTAAAATAAAAAACAACATCAAGTGCTAGACAAGATCATTGTATGTCCATGGATTCCAGTGAAAGTACGGAAGGGCCCCACCACTAAGCAATCACATCTCGTTACTATTTCCTTAATGACTTTGGAGCCAGAGCATTAACTCTGTCTTTAGAACGAGACGTTTTACTTGGCTCTGATCAAAATTCTGTACAGCCTTTGGCGCCGTCCTGAGGTACAGCACAGGGCAATAGGTAGGCAAGTGAAGGGAAAGGCACCTGAGCAAAAAGAGGTGAAGCAGGGTGGACACAGCACAGCAAGGGGACTCTGGAAGACAGCGGTGATGACAGAGGAGGGGACAGCAGCTCTCAGGACTTACCCACGGTGCAGACTCTCTTGAAATCGGGGCAGCACTCCATGTAGTGTTGACAGTTATAGTCACAGCTGCAGGGGGTATCTCTAGAATACCCTTCCCCACATCTCCCTGCACAGCTTGATATATCTAAAATTATACAATATAATGTAAACATGGCCAATCCACTTTACAGATAGGGTGAGGTCCGATGAGGACAGAGCCATCTGGGGAGAGAGAATTCTGTCTGTTGGAGAAGGTTGGGAATGAAAGCAACAGGTCCAGGTGATCTTTGCCCGATCTTTTAAAGACCCTCTTTGTTCTTTTACTACACTGAGCGGAGCAACACTCTTTAGAAAATCACTCAAAGTAATAGCTTTGCACCCCTCCACCAGGAGGAGGATGCCAGCGACAGCGCCATGCTGCTGCTTAGGTGAGGGCTTGTTGCCAGTATTTGAGCATCTTCATGCTGGGCACTGAGTCGTGCATTAGAATAATGCGTATGACAACGTTGTCAAGGGGTATGGTCACCTCCTCTTTAAGAGATAGGAAAGCTGAAACATTGACATTTTAGTAATTTGTTCAAGGTCACCCACCTAGCAAATAGATCTGGTACACAGGTGTTACAGTTCTGCTATTTAGCTAATCAGAAGTGTCCTGATTTGGATGATGAACTTATGTGGCCATTTAAGTCAACAGCCCATCCACAACTGGATGTACGTGATTCTGAAGCCTGACTCGTTCAAGCCAATCACAGTGCCTCTTATTTTTTAAATTATTTTATTGTTTTTCAATTACTGTTGTCTGCATTTTCTCTCCACTCCTCCCCCTCAATAGTGCCCTTATTTTTTATGATAAGTTTAAAGTAAGCTGGTTATACCAGCTCCAACTTTCCTAGGCTTCCTGTTTTTGTTTTTTTAATTGGTGGGGGTAACTGGGTTCTTTAATTGCTGGGGAAGTCAGATGGTCACAACCACTGCAAAATAGGTAACTCTTGAAATAGCATCTGGACACGAATATAAAGATCATGAACAGAGTTTTTCTGGGTAAAGCAAAACAAAAGCGTCATTTTCCTCATATATGTTTTCAAAGTCATTTGGAAAACACCTAGAAAACCTCCCTGACCGATGACCACAGATTTCTTATATTAAATCAAGTAACTTTTCAAATACAAATTAAAGATATAGCCATCCTCTTCTTGACACGAGACTTTTTAACGTGATCAGCTGGAATTCTATAGTAAATGTTTGAGCATTGGGTTGAATCTTATGCAGAAGAAATCAAGTCACCAATTTTTCTGTAAGAAAGCTCAAAACAACCGAATCCATCTCTGGAATAGAAATTGGCAGGTGCAATGTCCTAAATCCATAGAGAGACGTGGAAACACACTGAAAAATATCTCAGAATGATGAGTCCAGGAGAGTTAAAGTCTTAATATGCAAATAAAACAGCAAATATTAGGACGAGTGTCAGACGTATGCACACAATACACACAAAAGACATAAATAGCACATATATATAAATACATATATATAAAGAAAAAAGGGAAAGGGAAAAGGTTGAGAAAAAGGCATCAATAGCATATGTATATAAATACATGTATATAAATACATATATATAAAGAAAAAAAGGGAATGGGAAGAGGTTGAGAGGGCAAGACAAGCAGACGACAACATCAAAATTCTTCTTTCACAGCAGATTTCTGGAATAGGAAATCAAATGTATTTATAGGAAAACTTATTTTCATAGGTTAAATGTCTGTCCTACTCTTGCTATTCATTTTAACAACTGATTTTAAATGCACTTACGCAAAGGAAAGCAAAATAATTTCAGTGAACTCTCGACTCCCTTTCAGAGGAGAGGTGGGTGAGGAAATGCCCCCGGTGTTGGGAACCCTGTAACTTTATTCTGAGAGCAGACAAGGGTCCGGAGGTTCCCAGATGGCCATCCTTCCCCATGAAATATTTGTATCTGCTTTGGTGCATTTCCAGCTTTTCTTATCTAAGTGCTTCTCTGAGGTTTGTGATAACTTCAATTATTTTACTGGAAATGTCTATTTTATCAATGTGATTTCACCCTAAGAGCTGTGGACCTAAGACCCAATGACATTCCCACCTGGGTCAGTCCATCTGGGGATGAATGGTCCTTATAAGAAAGAAAGAGCATTTTAAAGATTAATAAAGTGCCATTTCAAACACTGCAAATGTTCTCTGCGACGTGATATCTATATCTACAGTATACCAAAGTAAGTTATTTATCAATAATTTATTTTATGGAAGAGATTAGATTTCTTCGTGAACACGTGGATAAGAATTATATGCTACTTAAATATTGTTCCTATCAGTGTATCCTGTAATATTGTCTTTCCAGCAACATCCATATATTTTTTAACTTTCGAAAGAACCATGGGAATAATGAGTACAAAAATATTCTATTCGAAAGCTCAAAACATCTTGAAAAATTTTGTGATCCAGGGGGAAAATTGAGGATTTCAAAATGCTTACAAATATGTTCCATATGTTTTATGTAACTATAAGTTTTTACTCTGCATTAAACTTAAACTATACATCCTTAGAAATCTAGTTCTTTTGCTGTCATAAAAGTCAGAACTGAATGATCAGCAATGGCTGTGGAATAAAGTTATTTTTGACGTGAAGGTACCTTGAGAAGAAACTTGCTGAATCAAGAACACAGAGAGCAGCGACAAGTACACGGGAAGCAGTTTCCACTCCATCATGGTTCTCAGGTACCAAGCCTTTGCTGAAAAGAAGAAAAAAAAGCATCAGAAAAAAAGCATCAAAACAAAGCATCTTTTATGCTACCACTAGTTTACATCTGGGCTTTATACAGTGTTTCAGTAATTTTAAAATGCAATTTAGAGATAAAGCCATCTCCTTCTTGAAAAAAGACTTGTACCAGTAACCAGCTTTAATTTTATAGTAAATATTTGACCATTGGATTGGATCTTATGCAGAAGAAATCAAGTCACTGCCTCAGTCATGTTGTGGAACATTACAATTCTTTAGAATTTCCCCCAATAGAATACAAACTTATCTTAAAATTCTATTCAGATTAAAATCTATACTTACAGTGCAAAGTTTAAATCCTCTCTTGGGGAAAAAAATAGCCAGCTTCAGTATAATTTAATTTAATAAACACAGAAGTTACAGTTCCAACTTTCCCTCAACTCTCAATATAAATTGACAAGCTTCCAACAGGTGTGTTGCATAAATGTGAGCTTTTTTCCCAAAATTCCTAACTGCTGTCCTTGTAAATCTTTTTCAAATACCTTCAATAAGGTTTCCCTCTCCTTAATTGAAAACACATTTACCTCCATGAAGCAAGTTAACTTTGACACTTACCCGTAAAAGGAGAGATGAATTTCTCCAATATCCTGGAAGTCTTATATATCAGTGCAAATACATTGAGATGAACCAATTAGTCCAAAGGTTAGACAAAACCAACAGCGACAGCCAATGAAATCAAACTTTCCTCATTTCTTGGAGGGGAGCCCAGACGACCAGACTTGGGCAACATCTGGAAAACACTTCCATTAAGAAAAATGACTACTACAAAATAAATTTAGATTCATTGGCCCAAACACTTCTAATTTCTAAGTGAACAAATTGTTCTCAGAGGGTGAAGCGCTCTGCTAGCTCGTGGCTAGTGCATTGAAACAGCAGTTTTAAAATGTCAAATGCTGGTATCTTTTCTTTCTTTTCCTCCCAGTTGATCCAGCAAAGAATGGTCTTGAAATTTATCTAGTGTTAGCTTGTGTCCTGTGTTTTCGGGACTTCTATTAAATCAAATGTACATTTTTTTTCTTGAGGTTTGTTGTTTTCATGGAGCTCACAAAATTGGCTTTCAATGACTTACAAGTGCCTGACCCACGGTGTGGATTTTCTAGTTTCATTTATCATGTAAAAAAGAAAAACCTGCTTAAAAATTGTATTGCTCCCTTAGTTCCATTCTTTAAGCCCAGTAGTGTTTGGGAAAGGTCTTTTAAAATCACTAATTTAGCTTCCTTGCCACAGAGAAAATGTCAACGATCAGCCTTGCAGAGCTGAGTCAGCTCCGTTCCAAGTTTTACCCTATTTTTTAAATGCATTTTTTAAATGCGAATCCTGTCTATCTCCATAAGGCCTTGCTTTGCCCTCTAGTCTAGCGCCTTTGTGAAACCTTCCCAGATCAATCGCAAATCAGTCACAGCCAGAATCATAGTCAACACATGCACTACATTTTTTTAAGTTTAATCTTTATTATATTTTTTCATTACCATTTAGTCCCCTTACATCCCCTCCTCCCGGCTGTTGTCCACGTCTAAAAGTCCTTTTTCAAGCCCTGGCTGGTATAGCTCAGTGGATTGAGCGCGGGCCTGCAAACCAGACAATTGCGGTTCGATTCCCAGTCAGGGCACATACTGGGGTTGCAGGCTGGTTCCCTGCAGGCCAGCTCCCAGCAGGGGACGCATGAAAGGCAACCATACATTGATGTTTCTCTCCCTCTCTCCTTCCTTTCCCCTCTAAAGATAAATAAATAAAATCTTTAAAGAAAAATAAAATAAAAGTCCTTTTTCTTTTTTGCTCAGTCCCTTCACCCCCTCACCCCACCACCACCCCTGGCTGTCATCTGCTCTCCATCTCTGAGAATGTCTCTGTTTTGCTTGTTAGTTGAGTTTGTTCGTTAGATCCCACATAGGAGTGAACTCATATATTTGTCTTTCTTTGACTGGTTTATCTCACTTAGGATAATGTTCTCCAAGGCCACCCATACTGCTGCAAAGGGTAAAGTTCTCTTCTTTTTTATGGCTGAGTAGAATTCCATTGTGTAAATGTCCCATAGTTGTTTTATCCACTCATCTATGGATGGACACTTGGGCTGCTTCCCAATCTTGGTGATTGCAAATAGCGCTGCAATGAAAATAGGGGCGCTTATGTTCTTGCAAATTTAATATTTTTTAACATTTTTGTTGTTGTTCAAATACAGTCTTCTGCCTATTTCCCCCACCCATCCCCACCATGCCAGCCCTCCCCACTTCCCTCCTGTTTCCACCCCCCCCTTGTTATTATCCGTGTCCTTTTTAATTGTTCCTGTAAACCCTTCAACCGTTTCCCCTATAATACCCTCCCCTTTCCCCTCTGGTCACTGTCAGCCTGTTCTCAATTTCAGTGTCTTTGGTTATATTTTGCTTGCTTGTTAATTTTGTTGATTAGGTTCCTGTTAAAAATGAGATTGTATGGTATTTGTCTTTCACTGCCTGGCTTATTTCACTCAGATAATGCTCTCCAGTTCCATCTATGCTGTCACAAAGGGTAGTAGCTCCTTCTTTCTCTCTGCTGCATAGAATTCCATTGTGTAAATGTACCACAGTTTTTTGATCCATTCATTTACCGATGGGCACCTAGGTTGCTTCCAGCACTCGGTTATTATAAATTGTGCTGCTATGAACATTGGGGTGCATAGGTTCTTTTGGACTGGTGTTTCAGGGTTCTTAGGATATAATCCTAGCAGCAGAATTGCTGGGTCAAAAGGAAGTTTCATTTTTAATTTTTTGAGAAAATTCCATACTGTTTTCCATAGTGGTTGCACCAGTCTGCAATCCCACCAACCGTGCACTACATTTTATTGAAATCATCTGTTCACCTGTTTCCTTCCAACCCCAACAGACTGGTTTCCTCAAAGACAGCCAGCATCTCTGTCTTAATTCTGTTGCCAACATCTATCCCCGCGATTCACCAAGGTATTTAACACAGGCTCACTGTAACACACTGTTGTAACCTGTTTTCTACCATGTTACCTATTTGTTGGGTGTTGCATCTAGTTATTGCAAAATGCCTTTAAGTTGAATTCAATTATATCCGTATTTTACGTGAAGACCCACAGATGAGGAACCTGTGACCCATCGAAGGACACAGAGGAGAGGGAGCCAGAGTGAAGATTTGAACCCGGGTCTTTTCATTTTAACTTCCGTCACATTCCCACTCTATCCTACTCCCTTTGAATGAAAGCCATCACTTCATTATTTAATCATAGGACTGAATTTTACTCCTTAGTATGCGCGCACATAGATTTACGAGATTGATATGAAGTTCCTGTCTTTGTAAAGACAGAAATTATGATATAAGCATCTCTTTTGTTCCCACAATGTTTCTTCTAGGCTAAGTATGTAATGTACAAAGACGATTTAGAGACTCTCTGCTCCCCTCGAAATAATTTCCTCTGTCTGGGAAGTTCCTCCTTCTCTTCAGGGGTATTTCCCTTTCAGCCAGTGTTATATACGTGATCTTGTTGCACCAACCACAGCTGACAGGGTTACCCACAGGAACCTGAACTCAACTGGGCCGATATGTTCCCCTGTCCTGGAAATTTGGAAGAGTGATTCAGAGATTGTAAGTCTGTCTAGGTAGATAGTTAACCTATTCACTTCTGCCCATGGTCTAAAGAACTAAGAGAAAGTGCTTCAGAATAAAGAGAAGGAAAAGAATGAAGCAGTCATGCATGCAGAGAGAATTCTGATAGCTTTGAAGGTCTTGCTTACTCTCTGGTCCTGTGCTCTTGATATCTTCTTGCTCTTCTTTTTTTTTTAAAGATATTTTATTTACTTATTTTCAGAGAGAGGGGAAAGGTGGGAGAAAGAAAGGGAGAGAAACACTGATGTGTGAGAGAAACATCATTTGGTTGCCTCTCGCATGCCCCCAAATGGGGACCTGGCTGGAAACCCAGGCAGGTGCCCTGACAGGAAATCAAACTGGCGGCCTTTTGGTTTACTGCCTGGTGCTCAGTCTGCTGCACCAACACCAGCCAGGGCTGCTCTGTATCTTTATGGCAGGCTCCCCTTTGGGTTTGAAGGTGGCTAAAGATGCTTTCTGTTCCATAAAGCACTAATCATACATAGTAGATGTTCAAAAGACCATACCGGATGGAATGAAACCAAATTCTCTTAGTCTTTCATTTTACTGAGGTCCAGAGTAAGAAACTGGGAGCTTTGTAGCTTTTTCAAGTCAGACCTTGACCGCATTCCCTTATTATTTTGTTTGACGTGCTGGGAATACCAAGAAACCCGATACAGATATATACACAGACCCATATTATTAAAACAGATATAAATTTGTAAAGCAAATACAAATAAGCTTTCTGATTATTGCCTTTTAGAACTATCTGTAGTATCATTTTTCTCCATTAGACAAAGTCAATATAATGGTAAGATATTTTGAAATCGATTGAATAATCGGCTCCAGTAACATGTATTCTTAGCTTCCAGCTCTAGGCTTGGAAAACTGACAAATAAAACCACACACACACACACACAGAGTTATGGCCAACCCATTAACACATTCTCATGGTCATGAAGCATGTTTTCTCTGTATAAGAAAGTATGAGAAAGAAAGAGAAACTTTCTTAGATGCCAGGTTCCTGAGGTTTAACTTGTAAATACCTGATTTGCATAATTCTGTTGGAGAATGAGGCTGTCTGGATAAATAAAGCTTGTCTCTAAAGCATGGAAGCATTTTTAATTTTATCTATTTTTTTATACACTGTACTAAACATTCTGGTGACTCTTGGGCCGTTTGACCTCCCTAAGTTGATCTCACAATGATCATTTCCTTAGGGTTAGGTTCTTCCTTTGAGATTTCTCTGCTCATTAAAGGTATTTTATTCATGTTCACTTAAATCTCATTTGATTGGGATAAAATTGTCTCAGCATTGGCTTTCGTAGAGGGCAGAGAGAGTAAAGAAATGGAAAGGATGTAAGTAATATTGGATCCTGTTCTCATCTCCTAGGCATGGCTTTCACACCGTTCGCCCTCCCAGACCTCCAACTCTCTGCTTGGCAGTCCCACAGTGCTGCCTTCAGAGAACAGTCAAGTGTTTAGAAATGTTTCCTCTGCAGTAAATTACCCCAGACCACTGAGCCCTCCCACTTGTGCGCCCTGTCTCCATCCCTGCTGTTCGCTGTCACTTTGTTCAACATCCAGTGTGTCTGTACCTAGTGGCTTCTCTCCACCTTTTCCACGTCGTTGATGTGTTTCATTTCCTTCCAGCAGCAGCCTAGGAAAAACTGCAGCGCGCCAGGGGGAAACCGCAGCTGTAAGCCATCTCTTTATGGCCCCAATTTGCCTCAATTTTCCCCACGATTCTAAGTCCGTGTACTCTAGAAGTGGAATATTTTCTCTGCTCTCATTTGGAGGGAAGAACTGGACGTGGCTTTGTCTATTCTGTTGATGG